ACTTTTCCTTGTGATTTTTTAAACAAGGATCCTTCACAGAGTTTTACACAAGATTATTTATCAATTTTTCATATGTATTTTTACGCAAGCGATTTTAAATTGTTATAACTTTTAAAGATTTAACTCCTTTACAGCATATTTTAACTAAACAAATGTTCTGCAGTTAATGGGAGACTACAAAGTTTAGGATACGTAAAAGGTGCTACAAACTATAAGTTTTAACCTCTCCTTTGCTTATGTTCTGTTATTAAAAAAGTACTGAAATACCTACACCATATAATTATTAACATTGAATACTTATAAACGTTATGTGCGAGACATAAAGTTATAATGTGAAGAAACAGCCATGTAGTAGGGATATAAATGTATTTTTGTGACTTTTATGACCCTGATGACCTAGTGAACTGATCCAAAGATAACCAGGGTCATTAGGTACATCTCTTTTATTGTAATGTCTCTTTGTTTTGAATTTGTTTATAAATTTAAAAATGTACTGTACAATAAAAAAATACAAGGCCTACTCAAAAAAAAATGAGTTTGAGTTTTAAATGTATATTAAAGAAGTCTTTATCAATAAATACTGAAGTGAACGACATCGCAACTGACGCGACAGTGTCCAGACACTGGAAATGTTTGGGGTTGCTACTGTCAAGCTAGACGCGTCAATCGATAGCCGCACACCGACTCTGTGACGCCGTTACCGTCGTCATTATCATTCAGAATATTAGTCAGACAATTACAGGTTTAGTTTATTCACTGACTTTAAAGAGGTAAAGGTAATTATGTGTATCTTTATAATATGTGTATAATAGTATCTTTATAGTTAGATAAAGCAAACGATAATTACTCCTATTCCAAGGGTATCCGATCCTAAAACGTAGTATAAAACCGAAACATATTATTGGCAAAACTGCCAATACGGTAGTACAATAAATATGCGCCTTTAGTTTTCTTCTATGTGGTGACGTGGATAAATGTTTATACTGGTTATAATCAGACCTTCGTCTATAGTTATCTGGATTGAATTGTATTTCTAAATAATGGCATTTTTTGTTTTCCACATCTCACACACGACCATTTGATTCCAAACTAGGCAAAGCCTGTGCTATGGTAACCAGACTGCTGATAAACATACTTATATATTTCTAAATACATACATAATATAGATAAATTACACCCAGACACAGAAGAAATGATCGTTCTCATCACACAATTATTTGTAGTGGGTGGGAATCGAACCCACGACCTCCGCTCCGCAGTCAGGGTCACTAACCACTAGACCAACAGGCCCGTCAAATATACAATAGACTATTAGCTGAATGATTGTGTTTCAACCTGGAGCTCTAACGTCTTCAGATTATATTATTGCTATAGCTATTATAATAGGTGTAATATACCTATTGACTAGATGCGGAGGTAAGAAGGAAATTAAAAGTAATTAATTATACTCCGTTCGTTTGTTTGTTTGTTTTCTTGTGAAATCGACGAATCATTGGAAGTGGGTATGAGAGGAATACCAGCCAAATCCCTCTATAACCTGCTTAAAGACCTTGGATTGCCAAGAGCTTCAGTAAGCTCCTTTCTTGAACGAATATCCAAAGCGGCATTGCAAGGCTCGTATCAAATATGGTTAGGTAGAGGGGGTAACACTACAGACAGTGCAGGTGAGCGTTGACGCGTCGCAAGGAGTACTCCCTTAACCCACTCCTCGTTCGCAATTGCCAGGCGCTGTCGAAGTCGCATTTGTTGCCCCCATCTATCACGCGATGGACCCGGCAAAAAATAGTAACAATTCTTATACATACATATGTTTATTTCAGACTGATTAACTTACTTAATTGCATTAATAGTTGAGCTCATCTCGAAAAAAGACTATTTATAAAAGCTAACTCTTATTTAGTATAAATCGTCTTTATAAGTACCTTACTCTGCTTTGTATACATTACATAAAACAGTAATTAGAGCATTGTCGAGCGCAGCCTTAATAATAAATTAACTTGGCTTCAAAACCTCTTTAGACATTTTCTCTTTGAGACTTTTACTACTAAGCTAAAAGAATGTGCCCGAAAGTATTTTTTAACATGAGTTAACGTAACTAAGAAAATACAATGTTAGCCTTTTTCTTGAGCTTTATTAAAAGAACTCAGATGTCAATTCCCCCGAGGCTGGTATCCTTCACAGAATTTTATATAAGGCCGACGTCTCTGAAAAATTATTTACCAAAGTCTTTGCGTTTTAAATATACCCAAGATATTTTAGTTCGTCGTTTGGTTTGTATTTATATATAAATAGGCACATATAGAAAACTTAGTGAAAAGGTTATTGACAGTAAACACAAAGCCTTTGCTTACGCATAACAAAAAAAAAGTTGGGTATATAGTATTGTATAAAATAAGCTACATTTATATCAGAGCTTGGCAGACAAAACAGCCTAGTGCGGTGCCTCAAAAAGATTCGACTTATAAAATTACTAAAAGGAATGAAACCATATTTCAGAGTGGTAGGGTTTAAGTAGAAAGCTCAGAAGGCTTACAGAATTGGGCAACTCCAATGCGAAGAGTGATTCTTTGAAAGTAATATATTGATTCCTTCCATCAATAATTTCGAAAAACCCGCGTAACAGGTACCGGTTTTATTTATAGTTTTTTTTTCTTTATTCCCTTCTAGAGCTTACAGTACAGCCTTAACGGGCAGAGCAATAAACCGTGTCAGAGAAAAACCTACCAAAAACTTTACCTTTTAGCAAAATGAAAGTTGTTTGAAAGGTTTTGCTTACGTAAATTTATTTGAAACCATTTTAGCAGACGACAGGTAATAAAACCTCTTGCCGGGGCTTACGTCAGTAGTTTTAAGAAAGAGATAGAAATACTATTTATAAGGATTAGATCGAAAGTTATATTTATCGTAAAGTATCTGTGACGTCGGTTTTTTATACTATTAAAGGTATTATAAGCCTATGAAAGTTTTAATGTTCGTGGAGGAAATAGTTTAGGAGGAGGAGAGGGGAAGGCCAGAATCTGACTACTCTGTAAAGAGAAAGACTTGAGTAAATATATTTGTACATATTATAAGGGGCAAATCCTGATATATAAACGCGAATGTAAATTTGTTTGTTACTACTGAACTAATCATCACAATTCTTTTTATATGTTTCAAGCTCAGTTTAGTTCAGCAGTTTATACTGACGATACTCAAGTACTCAATCAGCAATCGCTGAATTAATATCTTTTATATAAACGTATAAATTCTTGAGCTTTCAAGTTCTGCCTGCTTCTTTTAATATTTCCTATGTATCTCTAAGTGCGAACCAAGACCAAAATTGTAAAATTGTATGTACTTACAAAAACCGGCAAAAATCTAAATCAGAAGGCCAATTCTCGTAATAAAAGTTTAAGTCAGTTCAATTCAGATCCAATCAACTTTTCAATCTCACAACTGTCATAAAAGGTATTTTCGTAGTAAAAACTTCCGACGTTGACTGTAATGTGATTATATCGTATTGTAACCAAAAATTGTATCGGTAATCTGCTAGTCTTATTAATACTTTACTATTTTACTACGAAAATACCTGTTATGACAGCTGCGAGAGCGATAGCTGATTAGAAATTAATTTTGGCCTAATTTTTATTACGAGAATTGGCCTTCTATTAGTTATTATAATTCACTCTCAGAGGTTCCATGATACGAAAGAACGTGCTTGAAAAAAACACAACTCCCAAAGTAGGAAGGATTAAAGTAATGGACAAAAAGCATCTTAATTCGGGACAACTATTTTTATATCACTTGTATCCGCTTTTCTTCTCAGGCGGACTACTCACCGGCTGACCCAGTGGAGAGATCTATGAGATTACCTCAGGGCGCCTTCTAAGAGAAAAGAAGTGTGTGCGTGTGGGAAACCTACGGGACTCTTTAGAGGAAAACAACTTACACCTCAGTCATACATACATGTATATTTCAAAACAAAATTAAATTTACAATAAAAAAAAATCAGAGGGTATAAAAAAAACCGCAGCGGAGCGCGTCAGAGCCGAGCTGATGGTGCTCGGTGCCTCCTCGTCGTCCCTCCAGGAGGTTACTTCCTCTTCCGCCCGAGTCAGCTATTTATATTGGATATGGATAAAAGTTTAACAAATTTGTAATTATAAGTTTAAGTACGTAACTCTTGGGTACGGCTGTCCGCTTGCGTCGTGAGCCGCGCAATCACCAGCCTTGCCAGAGGGTACCAAGAAACTTGAGTCTGTACCAGAAGGCCACAAAAGAGCAAGCACGCCGTCTGAGACTGACCGTCTTGAGCCCGAAATCTGGGACCCTACGAATGGATTAGCACTCATATAATTAAACAGGTTCCAGAAACAAATAGGTTTAAGTAGAATTAAGAACATACTCACCACTTTAGTGTGGGTACTTTAAACAGACTACATATTACGAAATTCAAATTACACGACAATCAAAACACTATTTAAGGTTGGAAGACACGAGATAGCAGAGTGTCTCCCGTGGCAGAAAGCCGGACTTATATATCCTAGGTTCAGGAATCTTCCAGAAATTAACCCCTCTTCATCATTTCACTTTGACATTTAAATTGAGAAAGAAAACAACGCTAACAAAATCAAACGTAACTTGCTTTCCACCATAGCTGAACACTCTCAACACCTATACAATTTGACATGACAGAATAACAAAACAGATTAAAAAAGGAAGTCTTTTTATCAATCTATTATGTCTCAAACCAACGCCATCTAGTGGTCCGAAAGTGAACAAAGGAGATCAATACCGTAGCTACAAACTACTTTAGATAAATCAACAACAAAGCGATGCGGCCAACAGGTGTCGCTTTACTAATATACCAAAAAAATAACTGTTACACACTATTTTTAAGGACATGGGAGAATTAAACTCACACCTTAGAAGACGGAAAATCTTGATAAGTCCTCAATGTGGGAAATCAGTCAAACTGAAAGTGTCCTCTTGGAGCTCTTGGTCCTCTTAGGTTTACGATAATGCCGTCTCATGTATTTCTATTGTTTAGGGTATCTTTATTACTGGTACTTGTAAAGATAGACAGTACAGTACTAATAGTTTATTTTCTTTGTTAACAGGCGGACGCGAGCACCGCGTTCCTGCGAGCTGCTCGCGCAGGCCAGATAGAGAAGATTATTAGCCTGCTGGAGCAAGGCGTTGACATCAACGTTAGCAATGCGGTAAGTAAAACAAAGAATAGATATACATATCAATAATACGGTACATTCATGTTAAAATTATTAATTTGGAAGTGTTTGTTTGTAACGATTTCACGCCTAAACCACTAAACCGATGTTAAAAATTAACAAACAAACAAAGAAACTCATTGCATCATTTATAATATAAGTAAGGATGTGTTTTAGTGAAAGATATACAATGTTTATGAGCAGTATAGTTCCGATAGTGCAGGCTCTATCTAGTTTTGGATCAACGGTCATATATGAATTATTTCATAAAATTATCAGTACCTGGGTGACCGGTATTTTTTTTGGTAAATATTCTAAAAATCACACCTAGCTAGATCGATAAATCGCCCCGAAACCCTTTTTTTTTTTTTGTGTTGATGTTGATGTTTTTAGCTTTCACGCTTATTTAAACCAAAAAACTTCAATGTAATAAATAAAACAGTTATTACTTTTGTGCGATACCTACGGGAAATGACCTTAACCTTTGACAGCTGATTGCATAAAAGTTTAATTTGCCGGCAGGAAATTCCAATGATTTTCGACTCAGAATGAAGGTATGAATACACTATTTCACTATTCGTTACGACGTCCCTTACACCGTGTATATACAAGAATTGCTCGTTCAAAGGTATTAGATAGATAGTTATATCTGGATGAACATAACAAAGCCATTTTGTGCTTTATTGTGCGTCAACAAAGGTACAGAATATACTGTTCATGTTTTTAAGTGATTAATAACATGTCACGTAGAACCACACCCTCGCACATGGTTGTTGTTACTTGTTTGATGTGCAGTCCTTGACCTGTCACAATATAATTTGACCTGGTTATATAAAATAATAATTTAGAAGCTACAATGTGGGACAGGTTTTTTTTGTAAGATGATACTAATTGGTCCGTGAAATTGAATCTCTGCTAAATGATAATGCGGAGATTCTTAATTGTTGTCCTAATTAAGTAATAGTCCTGAATAATTACTTCCTGAATTTCGTAGTGTAGGAGTAGATTTACAACCTTATTATCATAAAATCGTCATTTTTTTCAGTAGGTATGCCAACGCTAAAAAAAATTGGATAACCAAAGGTGTATAAATGATTAAGTTTTTGAGAGTTATTTTAAAGCTTTAACTGGCCAGTTGGTCTAGCGGTTAGTGACTGCTACGCCAGAGGTCGTGGGTTCGACTCCCACCCAGGACAAATAATTGTGTGATGAGCACGATTATTCATTCTGTGTCTGGGTCTTATTTATCTAAAATATGAACGTATTAAAAATAACATAAGTGTGTTTATCAGCAGTCTGGTTACCATAGTACAGACTCTACCTAGTTTGAGATGAGACGGCCGTGTATGAGATGTGTGAATTTATTAACATTACTTTTTTAAAGACTAAAATACGTGTAATATTCTTGACTTATTATTGATACCGGCGTATGGAACACACAGAAGTTAATATGAGTGTTCAACTTAACAAGAATAAATCCTTTCTAAAAAAGGTTGAACCGACTTCTAACAATACTAACAAAGAGCACTAAAAACCTAACAGCAATCACGGTTGACTTGTTATCTTTTTTTTAAGAGTTTCGTTGTCTGTCTCCGAAACTCATAATCAGATCTAAATGAAATTTAAATGGGACCATTGCGGAATAAATCCCTTTCGAACAAGAAAAAGACTTTTGAAAATCCGTCCATATATGACTGAGTTATGCCCGAATATAGATAAAAAAAAATATATATAAACATCCGAATTCATAACCTCCTCATTTTTGAAATCGGTTTAAAATACTGTAGAAACATAGAGTAACTTGCAAGCTTGATTTGAAGCCCTTTTTTAATAAAAAAAATATATGAATACAAGCAAAACTGTGGTAAGTAGCTAGTACATACAATAAGGCTCGCAAAAAGTGTGGCACATAGTAATAAAAAAAAGATATGACCCAAAAGGTCCATAAATGTAAAAATTCTACATTAATTTTGCAAGAAAATTCTTCTAAGTATAAACTCTTTGCACGTTTAATATAGACTTAGAACTTTTGCGTATAGGGTTGAATTTTGTTAAACAAGTTTGTTCGTACTTTATTAACCTTTTCCGAGCATTTAGGTTAAGCACGCAATGCTGTCACGAACTCAGTTGTCATGTAAAGTACAGATATCTAAATACAACCCAAAACTGTGTCAGTTAGGCGAGTACTTAATAATGAACTTATTTTTTGTATGGACTAGCTGGTACCAGCGATTGATTGATTGATTGATTGACTGATTCATAATTTTTTAACTTTCCTACCCATTATTACCCTATTTTTAGTACCTAAATATTGTTTATTTTTTTAATTTGTGCACTTAATTTACAAAAACAGTATTTATGTATTCTATCAGTCAATCTAGCTTTTATAGTACTAGCTCTCTTTAGTTTGAAACTAGATGGCGTTGTGTGTTAGATGTCCGAAAATATTAAATATATATACAGTCTGCTGCATTGTTGCGGGCTTTTCGTTACCAAGGCAGAATATAAATCGTACATGCCACGGCTCTAGGCCTTAGGTTTTCATACATTTGCATAAAGTACATCGTCAACAATATTTAAAAATTTATGCACCTGTAGACATCGGCGGACTTAATGCCCTGGGCATTCTCTACCAACAGTTATTTGTCGAACGAAGATTTCTGCCGTGATTAGCGGACAGAAAATGTAAATAGGGATCAACTCCAATATGCGGTCCAATTTGCAGTTCTGACTTGTACCTGGGTCAGCCAAGTATTATGGTCGCAATGGCGTGATATAGACATCTTCATGCCATGTCATCATGCGATGGGAAAGATTGCGTGTGTTTTATATACGATTTTACATTTTTATCACATATAACGCTAAGGTGAATTATCGAATAAGGTTGTGTAGTTCATTTTCTTTGGTTTGTCTACTTTTTCGATGTCTTTATAGAATTGCGTGATTTATATAATCCTGTGTAGAGACACTGGGATTTATACACTAGAAGTCATAAAATTTATATTAGTAACATTTAAACTAATAGTAATACACCATACAAGGAAAGAAGTAAAATTCTTTGAAAAAAAAAGGAGTACACAACCGACACGTCCTCTATCTTAAACTCGTACAAATTCTTAAAGAACCTGCCGTTTTCAAGTTTATTAAGAAATAAATTGATTATTTTGATCGTGCCGTGCCGTATATAACTGAGAGTCATATCGTAAACAGCCCCCGACCTGATTTTATCCTCCACTGTCCTTGACCTTTTTTCATGAAAATAGATCACTTTCAAAAACAGAATTTTGTATAATATATAAAGTCTTTATTAATTTATGGCTAATTTGAATGGTATTGGATTGGGTGAAATAATAATACATTAGTAAAATACTAAATTATAAACCACTATCTGTATCCTGCCACGCTTCACTGTGCACATTGTGGTTGCATTGATGAGAAATGAAGCACAAAACTAAAGAAAAATAAATGAAATCAATATTTAGAGCGATTGGTACATCATGTCAAAATTTGAGCTCAAACGGTGTAGAATTTTTTGAGTTTTTGGAGCGTACACAAACCAACTAAATATTTTAAGAAATATAGATTTGCAAAAATGATAATAAAATAAAAGTAAAATAGTCACTTTTCTGTTACGTGGGTGAAGCCTTTCTGGATAAAGTCTAATACATAGATACGATATATCATAACGTATACGTAACTTGGTGTATTTATGATAAGGTGAGTAATTTTGACACTAAGTCACTAGAATCAAATACGTCACTAAAACCCTGAGAGTGAAAAATACATTTCATCATCATCTTCCTACCATTTTGCTGCCTCGGTGGCGCAGTGGTAGCGTATGCGACTGATCTCCTGAGGTCTCGGGTTCGATTCCCGGGTCGGACCAAATATTTGTATGCACTGCAAATATTTGTTTCCGAGTTTGGGTGTTTTCTATGCATAATATGTATGTATTTATAAAAAAAAGTAAATAAGTATTCTATCAGTCAATCTAGCTTTCATAGTACAAGCTCTGTTTAGTTTGAATCTAGATGACATTGTGTGTAAAATGTCGAAGATATTATTTTATTACTATTATTATTAAATATTATTTTCCTAATTTTATTTGGAATTGGCGCAATGTGTAACATTACAAAGGGTTTTTTTCTGGTATATTTTATGGCTGCTCGCCTGCCTGTACAATACTCTTTGGGAATATAAACGCTTTTATGCAAAACAAATGAAATAAGCAAATTGCGGCAAGGTAACTCAAAAGAAAGTTAAAGTGAAGTGGGTTTAGGATGGAAAACAGGAAAAAAAACAGTAATATTTACTCTAAATCACAAGAATAATAGTGTTACGTTTTAACGTTACATTCAATATGGTAATAATTAAAATGTTGAGATACAAATTCAAACTTCATAAATTAGTAATAAATTCAGACATTGACGAAATTTATCTATAAGTAGATTTAAACTTCAAGATAAGAGAGTAGCTGAGGTAGAAGACCTCCAAGGCCGGTAACCTGGTTGTGACACCTGAGTTGCAGGCGTTTATAGGCGGCGGTAGTCGCTTTCCATCAGGAATTTTATTCTCATCTCTATGCAGGGGCACGTCAGTACCAGCTTATCCCTCTGGAACGCATCCAACGAAGAGCGACTCGAATCGTCGATAGCCCAAACATCTCCGATCGGCTCGATCCCTTGGCGTTACGTAGAGATGTGGCTTCACTCTGAATTCTCTATCGCAAATATAATGGAGAGTGCTCCGAGGAATTGTTCGGACTAATACCAACCGCAAATTTCCGCCATCGTTCCAGACGGCAAAATTTTCATCCTCATTACCTGGACAGTTGGCGCTCCACTACTGTGCGCTTTTCGAGACACTTTTTCCCGCACACAACCAATCTGTGTAACGGGTTATCGTGCGGTATTTCCAGACCGATACGACCTTCAAACCTTCAAGAAAAGAGCGTACTCCTTCCTAAAAGGAGTTGCAAACGTTCATGGGCGGCGATAGTCACTTTCCATCAGGTGACCCGTCTGCTCGTCTGCCCCCTCTAACATAAAAAAAAACGCTTGTATTGCTAGTTTAGCACAATTTTCTAGAAAGTGATTATTGTATTTGACGCAATAATTAATCCCATGTAATTTTTACAGAATGGTCTCAACGCTATCCATCTTGCATCCAAGGATGGCCATGTGGAAGTCGTCCGGGAGCTACTGGAGAGAGGAGCAGCAATTGACGCTGCCACCAAGAAAGGCAACACTGCACTGCACATCGCCTCCCTAGCTGGACAAGAGGCAGTCGTCAAGCTGCTAGTGCAGAATGGAGCCCAGGTATGAACACTTCATACTTTTCTTTTCATTCTAACACTGCTGACACAGTTCGTCTAGATGCCTTCGGTATCCTTTAGGGAGATAAAAAGATGTCAATCGCCTATCCGATAAATCTACTTTTACATGTTTCAGGAAGATTCTGTCAGGTTAAATGCTTATTGCCATCTGACGTAGACGGAAATGGTAGCATCAGTCATATTTAAATTTAAGGATGAGAGAAATAACTACAAAAATATTAATATGTTCAAATGAAAATGAATTATCACTCATTATAAAACTTGGTTGCCAACCACCATAAATCTTAAAAAGTATTCTTAAGTACAAAAATCACTTTGTTTGTTTGTCTATATAATATAAAGATGGTAATGGACGCGCCAAGTATTATAACAAATCATTTAAAACAGAGAAATATTGACAGCTTCCCTAAATATTTTGATTGATCATTGCATCGTCTATCTTATTAGAGCTTTAACAGTCTAAACATAAAAGTTTTAAAGTAATTCTTAAATTAAAGATAGAAAACTCCCGCATTAGGAACAAGTATATCCTGTATCGCGGGGGACTTTACAAACATACATGAAGTAGACACAAAGAACACCCTGACTCAGAACAACAATTTGTGGATCACACAAAGTGTAGTCCCATGTGGTGATCGGGCCCACAGCACTTAGCATACTACGAGTAGTAAGCGGCGTGGCAACCGCTTAAACCATTACGCCATCCGTGCAGTACTATTTCTGACAATACAGTGATGTTTGAATAAGTATTAAATTATTCATTATATTGTACGCAGTTGAAAATGTACAATGTTAATGCAAAAAGGATTCTAGGATAAAATCAATTCCCAACTACGGGAAAATGCTTTTTAAATTATTCTACATACCATAGATGCGCTCTTTATATCGATAGTCATTTAATTGCAAGAATAGTACTGAAAGTTATCGTAACTAAGATCACGATATAACAACATTGTGATTGTTATACGACAATTTAAACAATTTGAAAAAATAAAATATCATCTGCACGATTATTATCAGTCAGCCAAGCTAATATTCCGCCATAATGTGTTTGCCTTGTGTGCATACATTACAAACATCGATGAATGTTTAGTAAGCACATTGTGTAAGAAACCTGTTTATTTAAAGTTTTTATAACAGCACTGGAAAGAGAAGGAAAACTTGAAACAAACCCTTTTTTTTTTTTTTTTTTTTTAACGTGTGGAAATCCCCTCGGACCGTCACCCCTCCGGGGTTTGCGGCGGTTTGTTTCCTAGCGCCAGCCCGCTCCTGGTGCGGGCTCCGTCTCAATGTTGATGTTCCTCTCTTTAGGCGACGTCCGGCACACGCGGACGCCGCCCCCTCGCGGCTGGCCAAACTAATGCGGGTGGAGGGGAAACCCACCCCGTCCACCCGCGGCCACACTCAGGGCGGCATGAGGCTGTGATAGGCGGGCCTCCGCCGCCCGGTTCGCCGGCGGCGGATCGGGTCCGAGTGGAGGTCGTCCTCCCGGGCCAAGCTAGCGTCGAACACCTCCCCGAGGCGGTCTGCCATATGGTTGAGGGCCAGGGCCAGCACTCGGGCCGGTACCCCGTCAGGCCCAGGGGCGGTGTTCTTGGAACGGATCCGTAGAACAGCCGCCCCTACCTCCGAATCCCGGACGGGCGGAACATTATCCTCCCCGTGCTCCCCGTCGTCTCCGGCCAGGGAGGCCATCGACGGGGGAGTGTGCTCCGCCCGTTGTGGGAAAAGGCCCTCAACCACTTCTCGCAGGAAGCTGGGCTGGAGAGTCTCCGTAAGGGGGGGGGGGCCGACGCGCGGAGCTTTTGTCGCACCGCGCGGTAAGACCCCAGGGGTCACGATTAAGACCCTCCAGCATCTCCTGTCTCTTTTCTTCTTTGGCGCGGCTAATGGCCAGCTTCAGAGTTTTCCGCGCCCGTCGGTACTCCTCATGAAGCCGGTCCTCCTCACCGTCTCCACGGTGACGCCGCCGACTGCGCGTGTAGGACCTCCGGGCACGTGTACAGGCCGCACGGAGGTCCGCCAGCTCCTGGGACCACCAGTAGACCTCCTTCCTTGGAGGCCGATGACCTCGAATGCGGGGCATGGCCGCATCGCATACATGCGTAATCGCATCGCGAAAGCGACCAGCCCCCACGTCGACCTCCTCGGTCGGAGCCTGAGGAGACAGCCACGAGTGAATTATGGCTGCCTCCTCTAGTAGGTCCCGGTTCAGTCTGGCAACAGCCCACCGCGGAAAGCGGGATAAACGCCGCGCCACGTGACCCCTACTGGAGTCCTGGGTCCGGGAGAGCTCAAATCGGATATACAGGTGATCCGAGAGCGTCTCAACCTCTTCCAGGACACGCCAGTTCCTTACTCGTGCGGCGAGGGCAGGGGTAGCGAACGAGAGGTCCACTATCGACCCCCCCTGCTGTCGCACGCACGTGTTGGTGGAGCCTCTGTTGAGAAGACAGAGGCCCACCGAGGCCGCCCACTCCTCTACGGCCTCGCCCCTTGCGTCCGTCCTGGGGGAACCCCACGCAATGGACTTTGCGTTGAAGTCCCCCAGCACAAGGACGTGCCCAGACGCTAGTCGCCGTATCGAGGTCTCCAAGCTGGTTAGGAAAACCTCGAAGTCGTTCAAACTCCGGTTGGGGGAGAAATAAACACCATATATGGTGATCCCCCCCCACTCGACGGCAACATATCCAGTGCCCTTGTCTCTTAGCGACAAGGGCGGGGAATGAGCCGTCGTGGAACCGACGACTGCCACGGAACCGTCCCAGTCACCCATCCAGTTTGGACGGGGAGGGACAGAATAGGGCTCCGCGACTACGGCAACACCTATCGACCACTGTGCCATGGTTTGCAGGAAGAGATCCTGCGCCGCGGCACAGTGGTTCAGGTTCGTCTGGACCAGGAGGTTGGAGACTTGATCCATTACTGGATCGTCTCTACAACCTCCTCCATGGGCGACGACGTCGACGCAATATTGACGTCGGGGGTAGCCTGGGTCGACTGGCTAGCCCCTGACGTCTGCCGAGAACTGCGGGGAGGCTTGCAGCCTCTCTGCCCCATCTGGTGATTGGCGGGCTTATTGCCCGCCGCACACGCTGGGCAGTGAGGGGCGGCAGAGCATTCTGCCGCCTTATGCCCCGGTTGACCGCAGCGGAAACACAGTCCGCCGCAGTCAAAACAGCTGTCGCACTTGACGCGCGTGTGTCCCGATGCTAGGCATTTGTAGCACCTCATCGGTCTCGCCGCCAGGACTGTGATCCTGGCGCTCACGAAACCGATGAGCAGCCTGCCGGCGTCGGCCAATACTTTGGCCGACGCTACGGGACAGCTGACCCACACGGCGCCAAGCCCTCCTGGACCGGGGCGGATGGTGCCGACCCTGACGTTGTCCGCGCTGCACCCCGTCTTCTCCCGGATTACAGCGCGGACATCTTCGGCCGTCACTGAGTCGTCCAGGCCCGAGATGCGCAGTTCCGCGCACTTGGTAGGCCTGGCGACCCTGACACCATCTGTGGCCGCAAATATTCCCCGCAGCCTCTCAGCGAAGGAGTCCGCCGTCTTTGCGCCTTCAGCCCCAGGGAACTCGAGGACTCGAGCTCCCGTCTGACCCCCACCGTCCCAAACTCGTTGGCGAGGCTGTCCCGGGCCTTTTTGCCGCCTCCGGGGACACGGTCACCACTACAGCCGCGGTTTTGGGCGGCTGCAGCTTCCGCGGCCTCTTTGTGGAGGCCGTTGCCACCGGTGGCGAAGGCTGGGCATGGGCTGCTTTTTGGGCAGCCCTTTTGGCCCGCCTTCGGGACTTCTTGGAGCCCCTCGCCTCCTGCCGGAGGGGCCCGGCAGGTGTGTCGGAGTGGGGAGCGGAGGGAATGCCACTCCGCTCCTCGGCGCTGTTTTAGGCCCCGTCTTGGCCGGCGCCTTTGGATGTGCCTTGGCCGGCGCCTTAGCCGGTGCTTTGGCCGGCGCCTGGGCCGGTGCCTTGGCCCCCCTCCTCGGCTTTTGGGGAGCCGATGGAGTAGGGGCAGACGCCGCCGCCGCGTAGGAAACGCGGCCTCCCACCACGGGGAGCGCGGTCGGAGCGGCGGCCTTAGGCCGCTGTGCTGACGCGAGCGGGGGGCGCACAATCGGCGCAGGGGGCAGTCTCGCCTCCAGGCCAGCCAGGCGTCCGTCCAGCATATTCCCAACTGCGATGAGGATTTCCCGCAGTTGGGAGTCAAATGCCCCTGAGTTGGTGGTAGGGGCAGGCTGGGACGCGGACGGGGCTTCCCGCTCGGGGAGGTTCGCCTGGAAGCGGGCGAACTGAGCACTCAGCTCGTTCACCCGCTCCGTCAGCCTCTCGTTGGCCACCTGTAGGCGCGAAACGTCGCCCACTAGGCCCTCCACGACCTCCGACAAAGCGGAGGAGGAGTTCTTAAGGGCCCTCACAAACGAGCCCTTAAGGTTCACGGACTTGGTGGCCACCTTGTGGATGACGGCCACCGCCGCTTTCGCCCTCTCCTGCACGGACACGGGAGTCTGGGGGGCATTTCCCCCCACCGGCTCCCGAACCTTGAGCAGGAGATCCGCGATCTCCTCCTCCGCTACGGCCTCGCCGTCCACCCGTACGCTTCTGTACGACTCCGCGTTTGAGAACGCGGAGCCTGACGGGGTCGAGACCGGGGCCGTTTTGCGTGCCCTCCCTCGGCGGCTGCTTGCCACCTTTGGTGGCATCATCTCCTGGGACGTGTCGGTTTCCACGTCCCCTGAGCGTCCGCGTTTTCGGCTGTCGCTGCGATGTTCCGCTTCCATGGCCTCCGCGCCATCCGACGAAGCGGCGGATCCGGAACGCAGCCGATCCGATGCTCTTCGGCTCCCAGAGACCAGCGTCAGACTGACTTCTGGGAGCCCCACCGAGATAGGCGTTCCCGACGCTATCTCACCCTCCGTGGATGACCCATCCACTCCACTGTTCCTCTTCTCTTTCATTTCAGAGTCCGTTTTGCTTGCCTGTTTTGTTTTTTTTTGTGTTTGTTGCCGTTTCTTTATGTTTGAGTTAATGTTTTCCATATTAAATCCCACGAGTGGGGGAGAACTAAAGGTCCACCCGGGCAGAGATCCCCCATTACCCGGGCAAGCGTAAGTTTTTAACCCAACCGAGGGGTCCGCAGGTACCTCGGCTTGGAGTGCGCTCGAGACTGAACTTCCCATCAGCCATGCATCCCCTGGCCACGCACCAGAACACGGGATTCGGGGAATTTTTTAGAGAGGTTATCTTCCTCGCGGTCCGGGCGGTTAAGCCAAGACCCTCGCCCCCGTTCAGAGCCGCGAGACTTAACCACAGCGCTCTTCTCGGGATTACGATATGCCGACGGTTGACAGGTTGACGGGAGACTACGTCCCCCTGCCTGCTCGGTGGTAGTGTCAGTACACGCCGAGCCCGTCCTCCTTTCTCCACCGCTGTCAGCGGAGAAACTGTGGCCCCTACAGGGCCCCGCCATCCGGTTTTTTACCGAGGTTTTCTCCTCCATGCTCCGAAGAGCGAAGAGCCAGCAGGGCAACCGGCAGACACACACGCCCACCCTGCTGGACCAGGCCTTGCCCGAGAGCCGATGAACGGCTACCTCTTCTGCTAGAATATTGGCCGCTGGCGATAATCCTCTCCTCCAAGAGGACAAGGAGGAAACAGTACCATCGCCAGCGTTTCCAGGGTGCACCACGGGGAGGTTTTCTAGCCTAGCACCCCAAACAAACCCTATACCAACCCGACTGGCCAGCGTGGCAAAATAGGCAGAAACGTTCTTTCCAAGAAGAGGCCCATGTCCAGCAGTGGTCTGTTATAGGCTGTTTATAATATTGATGATTATGTGCATACATAGCAGTCATATATCGAAGCATTTTGATGCTTAGAATGTGTTACATTATTAATTAAATAAATAGTGTATCAGTATCAATGGTAATACTAATATTGCAGTTTATTACGTAAGCTCTAAATTTAAAGATTTTATTCGTTCAATTTTTGAGTATGACAACTTAGTACCTTTTTTGTTATTGCTTGAAACACAACCCTTACAACTGGCGGATTCTCCAATGATGCTCATAGTCAGGTGCTTTTTTATATAGATCTTTTAGCAGAAACTACTACTACTACTTTTGTTACAGGTCAACATCCAGTCCCAGAATGGTTTCACGCCGCTGTACATGGCTGCACAGGAAAACCACGATGGAGTCGTAAAGTTCCTATTGACTAATGGAGCTAACCAGAGCTTAGCCACTGAGGTATATATGTAGATCATTCATCTCTTGACTGGTAGTCTCCATTGAGTCTTTAGAATCGCTATGGAGTTTAATGGAGGTTAACCTTCAGATACAAAATGTATCTACTATGAATATTTTCTATCGTTATCTACCACCTTTAGTATTTGTATATTTATTTGTATTATTTTATTTATTTAATAGTTTAGTTGTTTGCATTTATCTGCAATAAAGGTGCCAAGGTTTTGCTTCTATGATTGTTTACAAACGAGTATACAAATCTCAACTCAACTGATCCCAGCATTAATAAACGCCAGAAAACATGATAGTTCTAGAAAACTCTCTGTTTATGTTAGTTTTGCAACAAAACCATTAACCATGTTCTTGTTCTTCAGGATGGTTTCACACCTTTAGCAGTTGCAATGCAGCAAGGTCATGAGAAGGTTGTGGCAGTGCTTCTCGAGTCCGACACACGCGGCAGAGTTCGTCTGCCAGCACTACACATCGCTGCTAAGAAGGACGATGTGAAAGCTGCTAATTTGTTATTAGAGGTTTGTGATACAAGATACTTGTAGTATTACAAGCTTTTATTTCTTGCAATGTTTGTATGTATGTGTGTTCGGCACGAATCTTGGCAACTAAATTAGATGTTCTATTTATTTTATTTTTATTTATTAATCTCTTTATAATACACCACTGCAATTTTATTTGTACAGATATTATTTACATATTGGTATAATAATAGGCGGTATTATCGGACAACCTATATACAGATATTGTTAAATTTAATTTAGGGTAACCTGCGATGTGCTATTACAATATATTGAATAAAAAATATGATATTACTACATACGTTAACAATATACATACAATTAATACACTTAAATACATACAAAATATATAAATACATTTATACCGAGGTCCATAAATACACAAATTCCTCTATGATGTCAAGTACTGATTTGTGACTAGTTTTTTAAAATTTGCCGTGATTTAGCTTGCCTAATTGTCTCAAGTAGATTATTCCATAGTCGAGTCGAACTGCTTGCACTGAGAACGACTTGTCAGTAAATTGTATGGTTTGCCTGGGCGTTTCAACTTCCGATTTCCTGACATTTGCCCCAACAGTTGGAAATTAAACGCACATAGATAAATCGCAACACAATGTATGACAAGATTTCATAACTAGTTCTAAACAAAAAAAAGAAGCATTTACTGAAATGACACAAAAATAGTCCTAAAATTAAGTTGACAATTTATGTAGGTTGCCTTGTATAAGGACGTTTGTGAAGGACACCCGACATACTTTTTCACAGAGGTGGAGGTAAATCGTTCCATAACTTTGCAGCAGAATACCTAAAGCCTGCCTTGTACTGAGCTGTTCTGTGTGCTGGTATTACCAAGCTGTTCGGTTCTGTTCTGCGAGTATTTCTCTCTAACACGTCTTTAACCCATTCTCCATTTTCGTATAAATATTTAGGTATTTTTTGAAAGCAATTTTATGGACCAGACATGTTAAATGTATTAAATACTAATAAATTTATTAATAAGTAGTAATAAATGACATAATATGTAAAACTTAGACATATACTTATACAATGAACACGTGACACGCATAAGTAATCCACTGAATAGATTGACTATATTCAGACAACTTACAACTACGAAACGGATTAGTGCACGGAATTGTCTCAGATTAGGATTTAGATTAAGGAGGAGGATTAAGGTAGGATCTAGGATTAAGATATACAAGTTCGAAATACAAAATTCTTACCCTATACAAATAACAAACATTTATACTTTGAACATGCACATGAATTAAATTAATGGCATAACTTAATAGTGATAAATAACTTACACTAATCTATTTTAACAAATACATTAATTTGTTGTGCCTATATACAATGATAAGGAAAAAAAACATAAAAACAGTTATTGTGGTTAAGAAAAAAAATGCATGGAGTGTAAAAAGACTATGAAACAAAATTTAAATATATTTTTATTACTATAAGAACAGTAAATATATAATTTTTTCGCTTCGATAAAGTCCTTACCTCCCGTGCTAGTCATAAGAATGTGTTACGGCAAGGTTAATGCTTCTCCGAGATAATTTTGTAGCCCACAAAAGTGCTATGTAAGTATAATACATTTATAAGCACCTACACATACCTACGTATACTATATAAATACCTATATATACACATATTTTACTATATCATTACTATTATCATATACCTAGGTATCGTATTATTTAGATATGGTGTAACGTGGGATCGCTTAGGTACGATATAGCTAAAACGAACGCATGCAATTTGAAGTCTTTGTATTGCCTTCTTCTAAAGCCTAGGCCCATAGACAGTTACGACTGACTTCACCAATCTGGGGGGCTCAGGAGGATGTTTCTTCACACTGACTGAAGATATGTGACAATAACATAGTATGGTACCATGAAACTGTTCTGATGATGGAGTCGGAAGTGGGCCATAGGAACTTCTTAAATATACAAGATATGAGTTTGGGCTTATTTGTTTTATTTTAGTAAGTATTTTGGTGTCACACGATATCCAGGGTCTATAAATAAAAGCTTGTTATTGAAAAAAAAATACAATGATTTATTTAGTAACAAAGACAGTGTTGATGCTGGTGGTATAAGTTCGGCGACTGTAAGACAGATTCGTACAATTTTATTTAAAAACTAATATAAGCTTAAGGGAACTTGGAAACTTGGGGGAAACTTGGAAGCTTAATTGAACTTAGAAACATTAATTTTAAAAGATTAACTGCCAACTGTGTCAATTATATTCAACTTATTAATTTCTGACGGTGTACGAACAGATCCTCCAACTAAACGTTAGAAGCCAACTGGTACAATTGGTACTTAACTGGTGTTTTCTATATAATAAACCCGAAGAACGTCACGAATAGACCACGCATTCAAAGTAATAGAAAAAAAGAAACAGAACTTTTAATCAAAGCCAAACTTAAATAAAATTTATACTCTGTGAACAAACTGGAGAGAAATTGCTCTTGCAAGCAAAATTAAACTTCAATTTTCTTCAGCATAGAGTCTTAACTTTATCGCTGTTTCCCCAAAGACGGCTAAAACTTTAAGTTTCTTAAGAAATTACGAGGTTTTAGTCGTTGATATTAGAAACAACTTAAGAAGAAAACACTTGGAGCGATAAATTATGATCGAAATCGCTTAGTTCGCAGTAAATTAATACTTTTTTAAGCGATCATTTTTTATTTCGGACTATAATTATTCTGGTTAGCACTCTAAAGTCTGATTCATCAAAAAATGTTGATAATTTTAAATTGTAAATTAAGTTGGATTAAGTTTTTCTTCTACAACTTAGCACTTCGTTTTTAGAATGAACATAACCCCGATGTGACTTCGAAGTCCGGCTTTACACCGCTTCACATCGCAGCTCACTATGGAAATGAGGCCGTGGCCAGGCTGCTCCTGGCGAAGGGAGCTGATGTTAATTGTGCTGCTAAACACAATATTTGTCCATTACATGTCGCTGCTAAATGGGGTAAGTTTTGTGTTTTGGACTCCAATGGTGATAAGTACGAGTAATATAAAAATAGTCAACAAACGATATAAAAGAGATGATTCAGCAAAATGTGGTAAAGAGAGTTTTATTTTATTGCAGTTAAAACTAAACTGTATAATGTATATCATTACAATTTTATATATATATTTTTTTTTTTTTTTTTTTATTATATGAAAGTAACTGTAGTAGTTTGCAACTGTGTCACAGATATTAAAAGAACAGAAATAACTAAGGGATTTTTGAGAGGTCTGTGTTATGAGCTTTTATATTGTAAACAAGTTTTATTTTTCCAGGTAAAGAAAATATGGTTTCGTTACTCTGTGACAATGGTGCCAATGTCGAGGCTCGCACGAGGGATGGCCTGACTCCCCTCCACTGCGCTGCGCGTTCTGGTCACGAGAGAGTTGTAGAAGCTTTGCTAGATAGAGGCGCACCTATCACTAGTAAGAGTAAGGTGAGTTGATCGCTCATGTTCACAGTGGAAAGTCAAGGTACAAAAATTCTACTCTATAAAAACTTCAGGTATAAGGCAAACTTGATGGTCAATGTGGCTATTCAAAATGTAATACAGTGTTAATTTGAATAAAGAAGAAGGGTTAGAAAGATATGGAGATGACTTCTGATGGGTATTCTACATATACTGGGTGGGATTTGTACCAGAATGTAAGTTACAGTTTAGTTTTAAAGTAACTTTAATTTAGTAATAGTTGCTCAGTAAACAAAAAAATCAGAACATGTTCTAACCTTGAAGAAAGGTTACCTCTCATTTCTCTTCAATTATTTTAAGCGCTGTCAAATATTATTTTTTTTCCATAAAGTGAGCGTATGTGTACTGAGTAAGGAATACCACAAAATTGGTAAATTGAAGAAAAATATAAGACTGTGTAATCCACAAATTGTTGTTTTGAGTCTGGGTGTTGTTTTTCTTTGTGCATACTATGTTTTACGTAGATCACATTTTTGAATTAACTCATAACTTCTTTATCCAGAACGGTCTAGCGCCCTTACATATGGCCGCCCAAGGAGACCACGCTGACGCAGCACGAGTTCTTCTCTCACGCCGGGCCCCGGTCGATGACGTCACAGTGGACTATCTCACTGCACTGCACGTGGCTGCACACTGTGGGCATGCGAAAGTCGCAAAATTACTACTAGACAGGTGATGATACGGAGATGATGAGGCATTTATTATTATCAGTTTTTTTCATGATTTTATCATTTTCATTACAAGTCATTTCACCTACTTAAGGACAAAACAAATACATAGCTCTAAGCCATACTTGGATAGAACAAATACGGCTTAGTACTTTAGTTTGATTAAAATCTTTAGTATACATATACCTAATTGTACCAGGGATTTCCTTTCAAGGGTACACCTGGTTCCCCGGCTACTGGTAGTTTTTGGTCGGTTCGAGTCCGACATAGTCACTCTACTGGTGGATGGTATCCGAGGGGATTTAGGCACAGGAATAAAAAAAGAAAAAGTGTACACATAGCTAAAAGATCAGTAGATTCTTTCCTCCTTTTATTGACTTTGGAGCCTCTGCATATAATACAGTAATATTTCCCCAATATTTAGAAACGCTGACGCAAACGCGCGCGCTCTCAACGGCTTCACACCTCTGCACATCGCATGTAAGAAGAACAGGATCAAGGTTGTTGAGCTTCTACTGAAATATGGTGCAAGTAAGTAACTTTAATCATTTATCTCATTGTAAGTATAATTTAAGAGTGCTTTTATATAGGGTAAAAAAATTGACTGAAAATGCATGTATCTCTGGTGGCGGATTAATTGCTGCGGTACGGGATCGCATTAAGATGCGATCGGGCCGCCACGCCGCGATTGAAGAGGGAAGTTTGCATCTTTCCCCGGGATAGGGTCTAGTTAGGCGTAGTGTCGTATCAGGATGGACCTGAAATCACATGGTCCGGGTCCTCCCCAGTCACCAGAATATGTGGAATCACCACATACTCCTGTCTCCTGCATCCGCAACGATCCACAAATGCTCTAAGCATATTGTATTGGAACAGTAACATCAATCCGTTTTACGATTATTCGTAGGAAAGCCATGCTTCGGCACAAATGGATTATGGATACCACCCCAAATAAAAACCGGTGAAAAGTAAATTTTTCGTTGCTTTTACCGATCTAGTGAACCAGCTTTCTATTTTCTTCTATAAATAATCTATTTCTTCTGTAGGTATACAAGCAACAACAGAATCAGGTCTGACTCCTCTTCACGTGGCTGCATTCATGGGATGCATGAACATTGTCATCTATCTGCTGCAGCATGAAGCCAATCCTGATGTACCTACCGTTAGAGGAGAAACACCTTTACATTTAGCCGCTAGAGCTAACCAGGTAAGTTACTGTTCTTATATTTTTTTTCCAAAATTTAAAGTCCATAGTTTCGAAGATAAGAGGGGGTGGTAGTTAATTTTTTGGTTTGTTTTTCTTAAAAAAAAGATTTGTGATTCTAATAATAAGCTTTTTTCCTTCTGTTTTACTTTTGATACATTTCTATGATTAGAAGACAGAAGAAAGAGAAATAAATACAAGTACCAATTTCTTAGTCGTTTTACTTTATCTGGAGCAAATTTACCGTGATTTACGAACAGGTGGGTAAATTTGATTTTTGATTTTGATTTTGACCAATAGTGCAAGTAGTAGTAGTAGGCTGCTTTGAAAGTACTTCAAAATACGTAATCCTCATTTTACAGACGGACATAATCCGCATTCTTCTCCGTAACGGTGCTGCTGTGGAAGCAAAAGCTAGAGAACGTCAAACGCCTCTGCATATTGCATCAAGACTTGGCAATGTTGACATTGCAGTACTGCTACTGCAACACGGAGCCGACGTCAGAGCAATGACTGCTGATCACTACAATCCGTTACACATAGCTGCTAAGCAGCATAATCATGATGTAAGTATTTATGCAGTTATTACAATAACTAGTTTTAATATATCATATTTCTACTGAGAGTGATTTATGTCAAGGCTAAAGATTTATAATCCATTTGCTTCCAAATATTGCTGAATAATTAATCGCTTCTCATCGGTTATATGAACTTTTGAAATTTAAATATTGTTTACTAAAAATATCCAATAAAACATTTTCGAATTCGCAGGTTGCAGCAGCATTAATTGAGCACAACGCTCCATTATCTGCGACTACCAAAAAAGGATTTACGGCGCTGCATCTTGCAGCAAAATACGGCAATTTGAGGGTAAGTATTTTTTTCTAATGGTGATGCACTTACTTTAAATAACTATTTCACTTGATGGTAGTTCGTGACTCGAAAATAGTAAATGTAAATATTATATTCAGCCTCGGAAAAGAGACTTTTATTTAAAAGTAGATGTACTAAAATAAGAGTGCCATTAAGGTTATCTTGATGATAATTACAATGGTGGTAGTGATGTTGACGGTGGTGATGATGATGTGAGTCCGCGTGGTGACCGATTAAGAATACGGAGTGTCGCTACCCCTAATCGTCCCATGGGTGTCGTAAGAGCCGACTAAGAGAGTAAACTAAGCAGAACTACAGCACTGCAAAGATAAGGGAAACATGACACAAACCTTGTACCAACCCATCTGGTCAGCGTGATATTTTAAACTATAACATAATTTTAAACTATTTATTACCTAACGTGTAACTGTTTAATGTCCCATTAAAAAAAAAAGATGATGATAATTATTATTTAAAATTAAAAACTGCATATCACTGCTTCTATCTGAATCAATACTTACAAATATAGGAACGAAATTTCAAAGCTCTAGAACCAAGAATTAACAAGTAATTAAACGCTCTAAATGTGTATTAGGTGGCGAATCTTCTATTAGCTCACGGCGCACCACCGGACGTACCTGGCAAAAATGGCATGACTCCTCTTCACATCGCAGCTCAATACGATCAACAGGCTGTGGCTACTACACTGCTAGAGAAAGGAGCAGATGCCAAGGTAGTAGATAACCATTAGTAATTGATCTGGACCCTATATAAAAATCGCACGTTGTGTATCTTTCAAACGAAATAAATTATTTTATCAAAACAGTTTGAATAGAAAAGAAAAAGATTTTTACTTAGTTCTTATTATGGTTTATCTTCGCTTGTTTCAATCATTTTATTAATAGATACATATTTCAGGCTGTGGCCAAAAACGGGCATACTCCTCTCCATATAGCTGCCCGCAAGAACCAGATGGAGACAGCAGCCACTTTATTGGAGTATGGAGCTCTTACTAATCCTGAATCAAAAGCTGGATTTACACCATTGCACCTTGCTGCTCAACAGGTAGTAATATTGTAGAGAATGAATGTCTTGAAATTATTTTAGATGATTGACTGATATGAATTGTAAATTAACTGCCTAGTTGGTATCGTTAAAGTGTCTGTTAGAAACTAAAATTGCAGAAATGTGGATCAAGGCAGACTTCATGAAAATAATCACTGTATTCTTTTACTTTCATAGGGTCATTCAGAAATGTGCTGTTTACTCCTGGAACAAGGTGCCGAGGTAGACCAACAATCTAAAAACGGTCTTGCAGCTCTCCATTTGGCTGCTCAAGAAGATAGCGTAGGCGTTGCTCACCTTCTTAACAATAATGGCTGCAAGGTAAGACTTAAAATTACCTTTTTAACTATTAACGGTATATTCTTGTATTTCCAACCAAACATTTAGGTATGTGTTGCTCCCATTTATTATATGATGGACCAGGCACAGCGAATCTATGGAACGCTAAAAAAAAGTTCTAATAAGCCTATTGCCTACAGTTCAATAACTATCATTTCCTAGATTTCGTGACTATACTGAAAAGTTCTCAGATCTTACTCAGCTCAATTCCAAAAACTCAACCCAAGAATCAAATTCAGTGTTTCACAATTAACTAACTTAAATTGAGAATGATTCTTAAAAATTGTATCATGTACTGCCTTCATTTGACAACGGTGAAGATTTCCTCTAAAATAATGTCTAGTTACAAACTGGGCTTAAAATTTAAGTTAAAAAAATATCTTTCAGCATTTAGGTATGTCCTACTCATCTATTATAATTACAAATTCTTCTTAAATGTAGTTTTAGGCAAACCTTTTAATACATCCAATTGTAAATCAAGTCAAATTTATCCTTTAGGTGGACATCTGCACTAAAGGCGGGTACACACCACTGCACATCGCCAGTCACTATGGACAAGCTAACATGGTTCGGTATCTGCTAGACATCGGTGCCTCAGTTAAAGCACAGACTACACATGGGTACTGTTTTTTGTTTCTATTTGCTAAAGAGAGAGAGAGAGAGAGAGAGAGAAATGTAAAGAAAAGGCAGATATTTTATGAAGTATAAGGTGTGAATAAATGATGTGTGCATTATTACACCTGAACGATAGCTGGGAAGTTAACCATCCTAGCAAATAATATGCAACAAGTAACACTGAATATATTTAACCTAGTTAACCTATATATTTGAAAAAAAGCGTTTGGTGCCTGTTGTCAATAATAAAAAGCACCCCAAGCTATTTTTCAAATTTATTAAAATTTATTTTCTATTTTTTAGTTTGGTTTTCTATAAAAGCGTGTTTTTTAGTTTTTTTAACTATTTTTTTTAAAAATTAGTGTATTGTCATCGGTCCTCGATATATCTACAAAGTTTGAACGAATTCTGACCGTTTAAAGTCAGTCAAAATCACGCCCAAAGGAGTCGGTTACAAACATACAAACAAACATACAAGTGAAGCTAATATAAAGCGTGTAAAAATTAGAGTCATTGGATCTTTTTAAACAAATAATTTTATTAATGAGAGATGACGTAATATTTGTTTATGTAATCTAATTATTACAAGAACCGGTCAAGAGTTAATTTGGTATGAAGGTTGATGCGTATATTACTCATAAGTCATCTGCCGAAATTAGCTTTCTCTCAAACATTTTGGTCCTTCGAGCCTTGTAGTGTTTTGACATCAGATACTTAAAATAATTATATAAATACTTGGAGTTTATTAAAACTAACTTTGATTAACTGGATATGTAAAGCGTCATATGGAATGTGCAAACTGTAATATTTCAAGTATTTTATTATTGTTTTCTTTTATTCTTTGTGCAGTTACACAGCACTTCACCATGCCGCTCAACAGGGCCACATCAACATCGTGAACATTCTACTGGAGCACAAGGCAGATGCTAATGCAGCCACTACTGTATGTATACAAATTTATTATCCACATTTACATTGTAAAGATTGTCTAAATGTGTGATGTGTATATGCTAGACTGTTTGTATGGTACATTTTTTTTTTTATCCTCGTCTAATTGAATGTCTTTGATAAGGGCTTCTATTATATTAGTACTTATATATTTGTACTATGACTATGTACTTATATACTGTCCGTGTGGTAACGCATTAAGAATACGGAATGTCACCACCCCTATTCATTCCGTAGGTGTCGTAAGAGCCGACTAAGGGAGCAAACCACACAGGACAACAGCACTGCAAAGAGAAGGAAAACTTGAAACAAACCCTATACCAACCCGTCTGACCAGTGTGGTATAAAAGACCAAAACCTCCTTTCTAAGGAGAGGCCTATGTACAGCAGTAGACTGTCATAGGCTGTTGATGTGATGTGACTTATATACTTTACGTCGTCTATTTAACTAGTTAAATACATCCATCAACCTTCTAACTTAGTAACGTATTTCCCCGTGTGTCACTCTATGGCATTCTAATTCCTTAACATATACCGTATTAAATTTAATTTTTGGTTGAAATTTGATCGTGGATGTTCCTGATCGTGAATCAGGTCTTTCCTAATCATGTTTTTTTGAGTCGGGGTATCTTTAATCAATAATCACGTACAAAATCAGTGGTACAAGACCCGTGGTGCCTATATCTTCTCTTCGAATGAACTGTGACTCTGTTCCGAATTTGATATAAACAAAACTAATAAAACAGAGATCAATATAGTTAAAAAAAATATTATAATTATAGGCAAGAAGTATTTGTTCTGACAAATCTCTACTTTTCATTCGTTATTCATTAATAAAAAATCATAATCGGTGGTGCAATCCTTAATTCCTGTATTACCTACGTGGATTCAATCCTATTAGTTTAGTAATGTCACCAGCAGAGGTTATTATTTTGAAATCGTTTGTCTTTCTTCTGGTTAGCCGGTCGCTTATGAATCATTATAATGAACATTAAAACAATATTCACAACGCTGAAACCGTCTGCCGACAGCTTAATGGTGTTTGTTTGTGTGTCGATATCCTTTCAAGTTTATTTACATGCATTAAACTGAAAATAGCTTTTATCAGAAGCTGTCAAACAATATGTTTTGAAAGAATAAATTTCTTAATTATGTTTGTTAATTTAAAATTGATGCTGGAACAGGCATTATTAAGATTTTGTTTTAGTGTTCTTCTTGTCTTCTTCTTCGGTATTATTATTTGGACAACAAAGAATGCGCTTATGAAATTTGTCATGGCTTTAACAACCCTTTTTATAGTATGAGAAGTAGGAATCCGGCCCGGGCTAAGAAAGGCAACTTTTCGAGATTATGTGGAATTTCCACTCTGTGAAAAAATATTTTTATATGTAGCAGTATTATTAATACAAACGGATAAGTGGCATATGTACAGATCTTAGAGGTTAATCTCCAACTAAATGCAGTGATGTCGGAAACTAGGTGAAGTCACAGCAAGACAGCTAACTAAGCAAAACAGCAAGCGTGCAGCGCATTAACTGTCTTGCTAAACGGCTGTTGCTCGTGTCCTTGAAAGAGACAAATGAACTATATATTTTTCTAAAACCTTTAACAATAACATGTTGTACCTATATAATAACAATAGCGCGCTATTCAAAACGTGTATTAAAAGATGGAATGTAGTACTGCGCGCCTCCCAATGCTTGATCTATTTATCGCGGCCCAACCGAATATCGATTATTGCGATAGCCTGTGTCCTTGCTCAGTAATCAAAGTACCTTAGGCCAAACATTAAAATCAGTTAAGCGGTTTAGCCGTGAAAGCGTAACAGATAGAGTTACTTTCATATTTATAATATTAGTAGGGATTTGGATTGACCCACCTCCCTTTACATCTAATCAAATGAATTTTAATTTCTGTACAGAATGGTCAGACCCCACTCGATATAGCGTCAAAGTTGGGCTACGTAACGGTAATGGAAACCCTCAAGAAAGTATCAGAGCCCTCCAAAGCACCTGTGACACAGGAGAAGTACAAGGTAGTCGCCCCGGAGACCATGTTGGAGACGTTCATGTCAGACTCTGAAGAAGAAGGAGGTATGCTAATCATCCACCAATTTTTTATATGAAATCTAACTCAAATTCCTATTAAAACACTATAAAGTGGTTACGAGTTGGGCGTTTTTCAGGGAATGTCTTTATGTAAACAATGATATTCAAAAAGTGCTGGCCCTCAGCTTAATTTCAATAAATGACTTTTAATCTTTAGTAGTGTGTGTAGCCTTTTCATCGCTCTGCGCCACTTCAAAACTAGTAGAAAAGATGAAAAGGTTACTCAGTCGATACCCATTCAATACGCTTCTAATATGAACCGTACTTTTGGCACAAAATATTGCTTGTATACATAGATGAATCAATTTCGAATTTCAAAAATTATAAAACTAAATCGATCCTAACCTAAAAATATTACTCCTTGCAGGTGAAGACACGATCCTGAATGACCAACCGTACCGCTATTTGACAGCAGACGACATGAAATCCTTGGGAGATGATTCTCTTCCAATTGATGTAACCAAGGACGAGAGAACTGAATCGGCAATGAGTCATAAGAATATTATGGAATTGTCTCAAGGTAAATGGAATATAGGATAGGCATTTCTTTGTATATACAATAGATTTTTAGAGAAAGATTTTCACTGGATGGAAATAGTGCTTTTGATTAAGTGAAGTACCAAGTTCAGAAAGCCTTTGGTTTCATTTCACATAACCATCTTGGGGTCATCATGATCATTTTCCTGGTCAGTGCAATTTTTTAGCCAGCTTCTTATCTGATTCCAACCCTTTTTGAGCAGAATAATAAACGAAGTGATTGTTTACAGACAAGGGCAAAAGGTGATGGAAAATATTCACTTTATAACCTCACTTTTAGTTCTTCACATTTTTATTTTCAACATCAGGTTCCGTCAACGGCATGCCGTATCAGCCGCAGCAGGAGGTGGTAGTGAAGAGCATCAGCCGCTACAGTACTGCGCAGGCACCTGAGGGATACTGCTACAATGTGGACCCTACACAACCCAAGTCAGTGTTATGCTTTGGTTGCATAGTATTAGGAAATCTGATTTAAACTGCTAGTTTTCTACCTTGTCTTTTATACGATTGACCTTTAACCGCTCAACATTTACTAAAATAACATAGGCACATGTTATTTTAATAGATATTGTCACGCCTATATCATATTTTTTTCTGCTAATTTGGCCTCATCTCGGAGTCTACACACATAAGGTGATACCGTCAATCGAGCAGTTTGGGATTTCGGGATGTAAAAATTTGGAAGTATATTGATATAAAAACAGGTAGTTAAAAAGAGAAGGCAATACAAAGAAAGGGATAGTGTTTCTTCGCGTGGATTAGGAAGTATTAGTTATGGCAAGAGCTGGTCAAGATTAGATATGTACCTGTAATTAAACTGCTTGTTACGGGAAAGGCCAAGTTCTTTAACACGTTATATTAATAAACAACAAAATGCTATAATGCTAAACTGTAAATCAGTTTTCTTATTTATTAGAAGAGATTTACTGTTTTACTCCGGACGTTTCGGATATGCTCAGTCAGTCAGACTACAAGTTGGACTAACTACTTCTGGAAAAAGATACACAATAGAAACTGAAATATCTATTATCTGTGCAACATATCTAATCATTACAAAAGTAACGATTTATCATAAAATAACAATATTTCATCATCAGGGTTGAAAAGATTTCCAATATTTTAAATTTACGTAAATATATTTCAGAATGTTTACAAATAATGACTGTTCCGCATGCTAACATGGAATGCTACAGGAAAAAGTTACAATGGAAAAAGTAAGTACTCCTAATACTTGTATATTGTCCATTAACAAAAAGTGGCGAGTCGATCAAACCCGGCCCCTGACCAATCACTATTTTCTTAACGCCAATGGACTATAATTGAGTTTAATAGCATTGTATAAAATGTATAAATGACTGCACGGATAGCGTAGTGATTTAAGCGGTTACCTCGCCTCTTCCTATTATGCAAACAATTATGAAACGGGCACAAAAAGAACCGTCCGTGCTAATTGTTGTTCTGAGTCAAGCTCTGAGATCTGTGTCCGTAAAGTATAAAAGGATTTTACTCATACCTTATATTTCACATTTATAAATGTAATATTGTATTTTGATACTTTCGTGTCAAATATATTTAATAATCATAGCGATAGTTCTCACACACTCTCAGAAAAAGATTGAACAACCCACACATATTACTTAATAGTCTTTTAAACGAAGCTCAGCTCAATATGTAATCGGATATAGCGCTCATTTATTCAAATAAATCCTTTTGTTGTCCAGCTTCCTCGTCTCATTCCTCGTGGATGCCCGAGGAGGTGCACTGCGCGGTTGCCGCGGTGGTGGCGTGAGGGTCATAGTGCCTCCACTTTCTGCTCAACAGCCTACTAGGATTACCTGCAGGTGGGCTAAATAAGTAGTCATTGTAGCTTATTACATGTACCACGTCTAAACAGATATATTATTTTTTAAGGGCATCTTACACACAAGACAAATATACTCCAACGCTATCTAATAAGGATCTTCGTGAGCACAGATCTTCTATTGTGTAATTGAAACTGAAATATTGGGAAATTGTTACATTAATATACACATATGTATGCTAGAAATCGGTTTGTGGTCAAAATTCGACAGTTATTCGATTTTAAATAGTTTGTTTAACCTAAACCTACTCCTGGGTCGCAATTCCCACGCGCTGTCGAAGTCGCATGTGTCGCCCCGATCTGACACGCGATGCATCCGGCACCCGAAAAGACACAAAAACAAATTTCACCAGCATTAGCCAAGCTCTGTCTAACCACGGCGTTGATTCCACAATCTCAGGGTGAATCGATAACATGCGGTGGCAAGAGGTTGCCCACAGGACGGTGTACTCTCCCCCCTTCTGTAGAACATTGTTGTGGATGGACTAATCACACAAGTCAACGAACATAGATTTCTCACAATAGGCTATGCAGACGATCTGACTATCCTCATCAGTGGTCCTTTTGAGAGCATTAAATGCGATCAAATGAGACTCGCACTGAAGATCATTGAACAGTGGTGTGTGAAACACAACTTGACAGTGAGTCCATCGAAAACAGAGATGATCATGTTCACAAACAAACGTAGTCCTGGCTCTTACCAAAGAGATCAAATACCTAGGAGTAATACTAGACAGTAAACTCCAATGAAATAGCCACCTCGAAGAGAAACTAAACAAAGCCAGCATTGTCTTCTGCCAATGCAAACAGCTACTCGGCAAAAGCTGGGAACTATCACCAAAGATTACACTATGGCTCTACAGAACAGTACCCAATACCCGCACGGTGAATGCATGTAACGCTAAGAAATAGGTCTCCTAGGTGACCACTTGTATATATCTATCATTTCACAGGATTTCCATTCCATGACAGGTTCACATTACATGTATAACTGATCCTTGTAGGCAGTAAACGTTTTCGCATCAAAATTATAACATATACTGATTAAAAATACCTTGCCTGAACTTTTTCTACATACAAACTTTGTGCAAATTCAACGTGCTTGTATAGATATTCATCTCACACACACACACACACACACATAACCTGGGTTTATGAAGGACACATTGTTATAGCGCTGTACTGTTTAAAATATCGATAAATAAATTTATTTATCGATATTTTAAACACTTTCATAAACCGTATTCCTGAATCTAAACACGAACAAGAAAATACAACGATCAAAGTACATAATACTATGAAAAATACTTATTATATTACAGGTATTTGAAACCATCACGCATCAACCACATGCCTCCACTGATGGAGGGCGAGGCACTGGCTGCGAGAGTTCTAGAAATGGGACCAGTCGCTGCAAAATTTTTGGGGTAGGTAACAGTATGTAATACATATATATGTCGGCGAAGGGGTGTATGTCGGGGCGGTTGCCTTCTCCCGAATACATATTGTGTGGGTCGTGTGGTGTTTCTCGAGCAGAAAACAAAGTAGGTACAAACAAATAATCTTTAATAACAAGTAGGTAACTTTAAAGGTTAAACAACGAGTCGTAAGGCAGTTCCTAGACTTGTTGTCCGCGCGGCGGTCGATCGGTAAGTGTGTGCCGCTCGGCCCGCGCGAACACTTATATAGACTCTGCCGAAGCGATGACGTTTCACCGCTTGCGCCTCGTTGTCAAATCAGCTCCCGTACTATTGACCGTTCCGACATATACGTGTAGGTTAGGCGCAACTATAGAACCAAATATTGTTTTATTGAATGCAGCTACAGAACTGCATCTAATATTAATATTATTTTTTATAACTTTATGCACAACTAGCTGACCCGCGCAACTTCGTCTGCGTCTCTCAATAGTAATAAATTTTCTCCGTTTTTAAAACATTCTTCATTGGTGCTCCGCTCCTATTGGTCTTAGCGTGATGATATATATAGCCTATAGCTTTCCTCGACAAATGAGCTATCTAACACCGAAAGAATTTTTTAAATCGGACCAGTAGTTTATGAGATTAGCGCGTTCAAACAAACAAACAAACTCTTCAGCTTTATAATATTATTATAGATGTGTACAGAGGCGGACTTAATGCTAAAAGCATTCTCTGCCAGTCCGATAGATAGATAGAATAGAACAAATAAGTACATACATGCACTTAAATATATATATAGTTATATTTCAATAATTACAATATTGTGCGTAATTGTATTTTCAGGCCGGTGATACTGGAAGTCCCTCACTACGCATCGCTGCGCGGTAAAGAGCGTGAGATTGTTATTCTAAGGTCAGACAATGGCACAAGCTGGAGGGAACACAATGCAGATGCCACTGACGACGTCGTACAAGACATTTTGCACGAGACACTTGAAATCGAAGGTGAGCCCAAAGACAATTTGTGCTATTACAAGAATTTTATAAAGATCAAAGTGACGCTCAGATTTTAGCCAAGCAATTACAAGGGGGGTGTTTACTTTGCATATCAAAGCATCAAGAGGGATTACGTTAAAAGAAACAGATAATAAAATAGTAATATTAAAGTATGGAAATAAAAAAGACGATATTTCTAGTTTCAAAGATTCAGTAGAATTATTTACTTTTTGTACAAATTCTGCAAATCTATGTTAAAGTTTAGTTTGTTTAGTGTCAAACTTTTAAATAATGGTTTTTCTGAACAGAGACAAACGATGATGAGAAGGGATGGGACGCTCCGCGAGTAACTAGGATCTTGACACACGATTTCCCGCAATACTTCGCTGTTATATCGCGTATACGACAAGAAGTACATGCCATTGGGCCCGAAGGTGAGCATTACATCCAAACACATTATCTCAACTCAAAAGTTAAAAAAACAGTTCTAAAATATCTCAGTCTTAAATTTTAGGAGGCATGGTATCCAGCTCCGTAGTGCCACAAGTCCAAGCTGTCTTCCCACAGGGTGCTCTCACAAAGAAAATCAAAGTTGGCCTACAGGTAAACCTATTCAAACCAAGAAAAGGAGTGAAGGATAAAAATCTGAAAAAGATCACGGTTAATAATGTGTCTAAGAAAAAACGGTTCTCTCTAATTTGGTAGTATTATTATTACTATTTATTGTACTCTAAGAATTAAGTCTTGAAACTGACCAAGTCGGTAAACTTATGAAATGTAAACAAATATTTTAGATACTCGCTCGTAGGAAGTGAAAACTGATTTATTATAGCGAATTTTAATGTTAGACTTAGAATTGTGTTCAATCAATTATTTATTTGTAAGACTTCGGCTCTCATTTCAATGTTAGAATTAGAATTAGGTTCAGGCAAAATATTTTCTGTGAAAATGAGTGTTTTCTCCTAGAGATCACGTAAGAACTTGTAAGACTAGGTTTGTCTATACTAATATTCGGGTTAATCTCCGGCACTACTGATTCGATTTTGAAAATACTTTCACTGTTAGAAAGGTATATCATCCCTGAGTGCTATAGACTACTTTTTACCGCGATAACCGACATTAATATGGGCGGAGCCGCGGGCAAAAGCTGGTATTCAAAATATAGAAAAACATTTGCTCTATCGAGTCATACTTTAGAATATATTCATATATAATGCCTCTATTACTCTCTATATGCTTGTGAATTCAAATGTTAAGTAACACGTTTTTAGAAATGACACAGCACAACATCTCACAATCATCAATACAACTCTATTTTGCCGTGATAAAAATTTGTTTTCAAATAGTTATGATTAACAGTTGCTGGTAAACCTCAACTATGCAAGGAATCTACTTAGAACATTACAGAAAACGAAATTTTGCATTGTTAGGTTCATTATGAATTGTTAGGTAAAACAAAGTATCAGATTATATTTTGCCAAACAACCGCCTAGAATTTGCCATATTATAACAAAAGTACAAAATGAATGCCAAATTTTTTTTGTACAGAATACTATTTATTTTTTAACCAAAGCTTAGAATTTAGTTGAACTATTTTATATGGTGTATTATTACATATCGGTAGTCATACAAGCAGCTCATTTAACTTTCTAATCTTACTTAATGTGTGATTTTAATACAATAACTCTCTTAAGCTTAACCTGTTTCGTTAAAAGTAGATTATGAACTATATCATTACTAAAGCCATGAAATTTTCTTTGTAATGTATTTTTGATGAAACAGGTATTATAACCATTAAAGTATGTTACTCCTTTAGAAAAAAATGTCATACCCAATAAATTTAGAAATTCAATAAACACATTTATAATAGATGAAAATTTCAATAAATTATTGACAAAAAACTTTGTTTTCAATGTAAGCAAAATTGAATTCTATGAAATCACAATAAAGTTAAACATTGTAGGTATTCTCACACAGCAGTTTTCACAGGTTGGATTTTCTCTAGTTGGTCTTTAGGCTACTTACGAGCATGAATTTACATAAACTTACAAGGTCATGGTTAAACTGTGATAAAATATTATTTAGTTTTACAAGTGTGTGTACATATGTATATTGTTCATTATATAAGTATTTCGAATAAAATTGGAGTGACGTACTATAATTAGTTAAGTAGTATTTTAAGGATTGCTAAATTTATTGGGTAATATCTTTGTGTGCTTTTACATTGAAATGTTAATAAGGGCATTGCTACGCGCATTTGTACATTATTCCCTAAAGACCAAACGTGAGAGTTGCATGTTGTACATAATTTTTATTTTGCTATATTATTATGAGCTTGATTATTGTCAATGTATTGCATCTTATTTATAAGCGCATGTGTGAGAAATAGATGGAAGACTGAATTAAAGTGTACAACAGTGTATAATTTGAGTTTTGTATGCTTTTCTTGTGATTTCATAATATTCATATTTGCTTAGTTATGCACCGACCGCTCTTCGCCACTTTCCTACCTTTTTATTTTTATAAAGAAAAATGTAAAAAAATTAGAAAAACTAACGCTACTTTGCAAACTTAACCTTAGATGTCTCACAAAAGAAATTTACACTGTTACCATAATATTTTAAAACCTAACAGTTTATACTTCTCGTGGAAGGGTAAGTAATGATTTTAAAATTATTTTTTCACGTCCCAAATTTATAACGACACTAGCATGAAGCTTTGACAACGTATTACGTTTGGTCTTTAGAATGATTCTGTAAGACAATGATGCAAATATTTCATTAAACACAAGCGAAGATTTAAAAATAGTTTATTGCAAACCTCTTTTCAGGCACAAATAATAGACTCTGAATTAACTGCCAAGCTTCTTGGACGAGGAGTAGCAGTATCACCGGTAGTGACAGTAGAACCGAGAAGACGAAAATTTCACAAGGCTATCACTCTCAGTATGCCAGCTCCGAGGCCTCACACCCAAGGGATGACAAACCAGTACAGTACATCGTCAGCGCCAACGTTAAGACTGCTATGCTCCATATCAGGTACATTTATAATAGTTTGCTTGAATTTGAAAATGCAGATCGTTTTTGTTATTGGAATATTTTGTAGATTACGATCAAGTGTTGCACCAAATGATTGTGCGACTTTGGTTCTTTAAATTGTCTCTTAAAAATGCATAAATTAGAATGAATAAAATATTAATGAATAGAGTAGTTAGCATTATATATTCCTTTAACAAAAAATAATAATGCGGTGTGTTGCAATGGAGTATGGCTTATATTTGCTACATTGACGATATTATGCTTTGCCAAAGTAAGGTAAGTGTGCCTCAAGATAGGTATACTGCTTAGTATCTTAACACGGTTTGTAATTCGTCAGCGAATATTGATGCAAATTTTGTTGTACTCACAAACTGTTGTACTTTTCATTGATGTGTGTATATTTAGATGACCTCTTAGTTTATGAGTACACAAGAGTGTAGTCAGTATTGGTTCCACATTACTATCTATTTGTAGGAACTGTATTTTCGCTTTTAAGTTGGCTTGTTCAGTACAATAATTGACCAGAATATATACCAATATTCCATTACAACACATTGGTAAAGTAGGATATAGTCAAACAGGTATCCTTATCAATCAATTTGTAGGTTACCGATAGTGATCTACATTTAATAAGATAAGTAGATTATAGATTTTGAATTTTATGACATTTCTAATAGAGTATTGATAGAAAATCGGAATTTTATAGTTATTTTTATCCTAAATCTCATTGGTAAGTGTAGTATAAAGTGTTTACGGGTTTAGCCAACTCCCCAACATATAGACAAAGGGATGAGCATGTTTAAGAAGAAATAGTGTAGATTACAACTCATTTCATCTGTACTAAAATACGTAAAGAAAAGAGAAGCAAAACATATAATTAATTGGGATATTCAAGAGCAAAGCAAACCGCTTATAGCAAATACACAAGCAGCTGCAGGGATTTTATCCTTGTGTGTCCGTTCTGTGCGTGTCTACATTGTCTTTGTTCTCGTGTTTGTGTGTGTTGCACGCTCACCGTGTGTGGCGCTAAATTATATGCTGCCACCTATCGGCGCGCACCAACAGGGGTATTTCGCAAACGATCTCTCGAAGGTAAAAATATTAGAAATATTTTACAAAAAATAACGAAACCGGTTTAAGTTGTTTTATTTAATTTATTTTGAAAGTTATTTTACTTTTAGGTTTTATTTTCTTAATTTCTCATAAATCATTATTTTAGATACTTATACTCTCTATAACACAGCGGCTGTCTACGAGTATAACTATCGGATACATTTCTTTTTACCCTCTATCACTTTTTGAATGCTTTTCCATATCTTGCTTCTCATACATTCTACCTCTATGCACGGGCTGAATTTTTTATGCTTTGTTAAATCACGTTCACTCTGTATCATAACCATACAAATTATTCTTGGGTTATCAAGACTTTGCACAGCGAAACGTTCACAACGACATACCGGTTTAGAATTTAACGTAAAAAATTACCTTAGTACCTATTTAAAGAATTGTAAGTGTGTTGGCACGTTGTTTAAGATTGAGACACATTAGGTACCTTCTTGTATAAATTAGCATAAGGAAATAAATAAATTGGTGCCATTCTTCATTTTCATGTTCATTCGACGTCAATGTTCCCTATTTTTGTTACTTTTGCTTGTAATTATCAGATATTTCTTTCCAAAACGGCCTATCAATTCTGTTTCACATCATCTTCTCTTATTTTGTCTCCGTTCCTTTTCTTGTCATTGTTTCACTGGATACGTTTTTATTTTCAGCGTTTAGTTTTGTTCAAATCGATTTTGAATTTATTTCAGTGAATGTCCTTCGAGAGATCTGTTTTCCGAAAAACCTGAAAGCAAATTTGATAAATCGTTTTTAATAAGTAGATTTCATTTTTATTTGGAGAGACAACCGCACTATTTGTAAGAAACAGGTGACCGTTCACAGTGTGCCACATTATACACCTTATCATTTTTATAATAACAAAACGGTACGTTATTTTATTGTTTATTTGTGTGATGTGTTGTCTTTGCTTGTTGTGTGTTTGCTATAGGCCGTTTTGGAAAACTTTACGTTTTAGTTTTTATTACTTTATTATTGACCTCTCTTTCTATTTCCGATCTTTCTTCTACATCGGTTTTTATAAAACTTACTTTGTTTTATGTTTAGGTTATGATGACAGACAAGTTAAACTTCAACTATCTGAATCTTTATTTATCTACACTTAAGAATCTGTTTTTGAATAATTATTAGAAAAATGGTAGAAAGAATATATAGTGTATTTGAAAACATTAATGGGTAGTAACTATACAAGCCTGCTTTGGCATGCATTCTATAAGGTAGATTCATCATCATGGCAGTTGAAAAATAGCGTTTTAGCCGCAAAAATACTGTCTTATAGCTTCCATCTAATCTGAGAAAGAGAAAAGTATTTTAACTGTAGAAGTATGAAGTATATAATTTCAGAGCATGTTTGTAGTTGGTGTAGAGCTTATGGGGTATAAAGACTTTATGTTATGATAACAGGTGGAACGAACCGGGCTCATTGGGAAGATGTTACTGACAATACTCCTTTAACATTTGTGAACGACTGTGTATCATTCACAACTACCGTCTCAGCTCGATATTGGTTGATTGATTGTCGACACGTTGAAGATGCTACTAAAATGGCAACGGAATTGTATAGGTAAGATCTTAGTTAGTACAACGTCTTTTTTAAAGATACTAACATGGTACGGTACTCAAATCTACAGCAGTGCAAAAAGAACCGATTCTTAATAGTTCATAGATGGAACTTGCATACCAGCGAGCCGTCGCTTTTATCTAATGCAAAATATCTTCTTGATATTTTCCACATCTGCTCAACGAATCATCTAGGTTATTGTTACGAGGCAGACTGAGGAAGTCTCAATTATTAAACATGTACTCGTTTCATCTGGGGAATTCTTGCATGTGAAAAGCCCTGTTTGAATAATAACGTGTAAATAAATAAATACATCGTCAGAAGCTTAAATGTTGGGACACCAGGGGGACCGTCGAAATGAGAGCATAAATTCTAGCTGTTATTTTAAGTTATAAATAAATTACTTACTTTTAGAATTTACGAGCATCGGCATTTAAAAATCGAAATATCTCTGAATATAGTCCGTTACATTTGTATATTCTATTTTTTATACAATGAAACCTCGACTTACTACCCACATGCAGAACCCACTTATAAGAATTATATTATATTATTTTATGTTGATTTTAGGGAAGCTATTCATGTTCCATTCATGGCTCGCTTCGTGGTCTACGCTAAACGCACTGACGAGTGTCAAGCACAACTGCGAATGTTCTGTGTCACCGATGATAAAGAAGACAAGGCTTTGGAGCGCGTCGAGCGCTTTATCCAAGTCGCTAAGAGTAAAGATGTTGAGGTAGGTAAGATCTAAGCGGAACTGCATGAAACTTTATGCGGGCACCTCGAATCCCCGCTTCCTACAGCTCTGAGTATTATGGGTTCGATCAATGGGACCACACTTTGTGTGATCCACAAATTGTTGTTATGCGTCTGGGGATTCTTTGTGTCAGTTTAATAAATATTTGTAGTCCCACGCGGTACTCAATATGTTTTTAGTGCGGGAGTTGCCTTTTTAAATAAAAATAATATTTATTATTATATCCTCACTAATCTTTGAGCTGCTGACACTTAGCGCAATCTTTGTTTTTAGTTTTCGCATTATACAAAGTTATTGGTTATATCATCTTGAAAAATTGCAGGTACATGAAGGTAAACCAGTTTACCTAGAATTTGGAGGCAACTTAGTACCAATAGCCAAATCCGGAGAACAGTTATCTATACCATTCCGCGCATTCCGCGAGAATCGGGTTGCGTTCCCCGTTATGATTAAGACGCAAGATCTGGAGCCAATTTGCAGGTGCCAGTTTATGAGAGACCCGAAGGTGCCAAAGGGAGAACCATCACCTGCACCTGTAAGTACATTTAAAGAAATCCTTGCTTATCAAAATGCAAAAAAAATGTAACGTTACGATATCAAATTTCTCTAGAGTCACAAATTACTCTAAGACAAGATCAAATTTAATACATCTTTGACATTACAGCTTATTTTAATTTCAATTATGTTAATCATTATTAAATTGTTGAAAGAAATAACTGGAATCTTACAATAGCTTTAAACACATTCTTTCGATGATGATAGATTTTCAAACACATTTTTTTACAACAAATGTTATAAATTTTATTAAAACTTTTTTTCGGGTAGGTGTAAAATACTTTTTTTTACTTATGTAAATAACATTAAAATTTAATTTAATTAAATTAGCAACATATTTACAATTTCTGAACTAAAGTCAGTGGAAACCGCGGCTATTTGCTTGTACAGATGTTAGCAAAGCTATAGATATGTTAGCAAGCACTTAATGGTATCCACCTGTCAGCTGTTCACTGGCACCATCACAACATTTGTTTCTATTTTATTAATTGACAAGAACATCAATTGATTCAAGAATGTCTCAACTTGCTGTAATTAAATCTGCGCAGAAGAGCTTAGAGGAGATCTTCACAAAAATAATGGGTGAACTTGAGGCGCAGATTCAATGCAGCGCGCCAGATAAAGATACTGTTGCGAAGCTTGCTCATCAGCAACTAAAAAACTGCTCACGGACGACCTCGAGGAAGGTTCTAAACGAGGAGTTTAGAATCTTCCTCGAGCTCATGTTTAGTATGCTGGGTTTGATTCAATAGAATCCAGACATAGACGCAAATCACTTGTCTTCATTGGAGTTCCAGAGGCCGAAAATGAAAACTGAACAGCCAAAGTACTGAGCCTCCTCAGTAGCAAGGTGGATCTGAGGTTTACCGAGTCATCTATAATATCTTGCCATAGACTTGGAAGTCCCGAAAAAGGTCACAAACGGCCCTTACTGGTAAGTTTTTTTATCTTTGGATCTCAAATCTGCTGTGTGGAAAGTGAAGACCAAACTCAAAGGCACGAGTATCGCATTAAAAGAATAACTCACTAAGACGAGACAGTCTGCATTTGCCAGAGCCCACCTCCATTTTGGTGTGAAAGGCTGTTGGACCAAACGAGGCGTTATTATCATCAAAGCTCCAAGTGGTGGCCGAGTCATGATCACGTCGCTTGATGAATTGGAACCTCTGATACACAAATATCCAAAGGCAGCTGAGGAGGCCCGTACAGTGAAAGGCAGCGATGCATTAGATGACGGTTCTAATTTTAACAAGAATACAACTCGTAGGAACTAATTTCATGGCCACTTTCGTGTATAGTGTTCTAAAAAACCTGTTCATTGTGTTTAACTTTTCATTCTTCATACCACCTTTTGTTTACATATTTTACTTATATTTACAATAGGTAGGACATTTCACAATAACAAAATTATGTAATCATTAATCTATATCCTATTGCGAAGAGCTTCCTAACCGGTGCGTTCCGTGTTCATGTAATTTCTCATGCATATCATAAACCGTTCTGAAATAATACTTTTGTCACGATCAACGACTGACTACTTTACTAAATGGTTTTTGTTTTTGTTTTCTTACGATGTTTAAAATTAATTGGTGTTAATGGTGTCCTTATTGTAGTTTTATTATTAAATAAGTGTCAGTGTGGACCGGCGGGTGGTGCATTGTTGTGAATATTACATTAATTTGCAAAACTTTATAGTATAATTATTTTTTTATATCTTAATATTCATTTATCTATGTTGCCATAGTTATATACATACATATATTTTTTAACTACGGATATCTGACGTGGAATCATACTACTCCGCCAATGACTCTGTTGATTCTTGAGCCACGCCACTAGTTGCGATGAAATAAGCAGTTTTATGGTAACTGCTGTCCTAGAACAGCTTTTACCAGCCATTACTTACGTGATCAATTATTCCCTTGATTCCAATGTCTTTTTTCAATTGTCTTCAATACTGTGAGTTATGAGTCCTACTAGCAATACTCACCCATTTCATGATTTCCGATGATGCAATGGAAGTGTTCTTATCCTATCTTCGAGGACGCCAGCAGCCCGTTAGAACCGATGAATCTTTATCGACGTGGGCCGAACTCGACTCTTTTGTTCCACAAGGCGGTATTCTTTCTCCTCTTCTGTTTTCTTTATTTATCGATCTCATAACCCTTGTACTTCGGTGTTCGTATCACTTGTATGCAGACGACCTGCAGATCTATTCACATGCAAGAGTAGAAAATTTAGACGAAGCTGTAAATAGTATTAATCAAGACTTAGAGACCATAAAAAACTAGTCCAGCGGGTTGGGTTTAACGGTAAACCCATCAAAATGCCAAGCGATCATCATAGGGAGTCCTAGAATGACAAGCAGAATTGATTCTGATAGTATTACTGGGTCTTTAATAACACCGTCTTGCCTATTAGTACATCGTACACGTGCCTTGTACGTGACGCAGTACACGTACAAGGATCTCGGTCTGCACATCGATGCGACTCTGAACTGGCAAACTCAGGTAACTAGTGTCAGTCAGAAGGTTACGAATATTTTACGAGGATTCTATCGCCTTAAAAAAATCCTTCCAATAAAAAGATTATGTTTGTGCAGAGTTTAATTTTTTCACTTATCGACTATGGTGTTGTGTGTTATCTCGACTTGAATGCAGATCTGCTCAATAAATTAGACCGACTTATCAACAATTGCTTTCCTCATTTTCAAGCTGCGAAAGTATGATTACATCCGCTTACTGTACGCAACTGTCATGGTTACCTATAAGATAGCGCCGTAGTTCAAGGGTTCTGACTGTGTTACACTCTCTTCTCCACTCACCTAACTCACCTACCAACTTAAAATCCCACTTGCAATATCTCTGCTCTAATCATGAGAGAACTCTTCGCTCTTCCAACAATCTTCTCCTTCTTTGTCCTTTACATACTTCCAGTATGGTCCATTCTTCCTTCCCTGTTCAAGCTGCAACCCTTTGGAACACACTCCCACTAGAAATCAGGATGTCCACTAACCGATACACTTTTAAGCTTAAAGAACGGAAGCTCTATAGAGACTTGTTGACGGAGTCATCAAAATAACACCTTAATAGTACTCGTATATTTATTATCTTCGTATTATATATACGAGTATGTATTATATTGTGATATTTGTTATGATATTTATATGTATAAACTATATGTATGTATACCTAGAACTTATATATCTATAGGATTTTTTCTTTTCTGCCTTTGTAACATTTCTTAATTCAGTGTCATCTTCACCTGTCCCAAATATACACCTGCCACGCAGCTTTGCAACACCCAAAAGTTTGACTGAAAGAAATGCCTGAGGCATTAAGGCACAGCAGCAGGTATGCAATATGTTTGCAGGAAGGCTCAATAAATAAATAAATAAAATTTTGCAATAGTAAAATCATTATGTCACTATGACTATACGTAAAAACAGTTTAACCTATATTAATTTTATTTCATCAGATCGCTGTTCTAAATATCATGGTACCAGATGAACCAATGGAACGAGTTTCACCAATACCAACTGATACTGTTCCACTGCGGACTGAAGAGCAGGAGCTAATTTGGAGGCAGAGGCTGAGTGACCCACGGTATCTTTCTTTCTTCTTTTTTTAACACGATGTTAAAGAGTATGGACCGTTTCTTGCATATTAGGTTTATCTTATTTATTATTAATAAATGCTTGATGACCAGGTTTTTTAACTTCAATAAACACTACCCATTATTCTACGAAAGCAGACTTATATTGATGGGATCTTAACTATAGTCTATTACGACTAGAATTATAGTTTTGTTATCGATTTTATGTTAAGAAAAAAATCCTATCTTTCTCAGATTGGAGGATATCTGCAATCTTCTAGGCAAAGATTGGGTAGCTTTGGCCTATGAGCTGGGAGTTAGTGTAGCCACCGTCAATCAAATACAGGCAAAGAGAATTACTACTGCTGAGCAGGCGCAACTTATGCTCAAGCTGTGGAAGACACAGTCAGGAACTAAAGCGCAAGGTAAGTCACCCACACATACAGTAATAACCATATTTTGCACAACAATACTAATATATAAGCAAGTCTGACATATAGACGATTATAAGATTACACATATATTAGGTCTTTGCCTATGAAATTGCCGTTTTGTATGCAATGTCTGGTGCAAAATGCATGCAAGGTGCAAATGCATGTCTGGTGGTCACATCTGCAACCAGCTTTGACCTACCGAAACCAGACCTTGCACCTACCGACTATTACTTTTTTTTAAATTTAGACAACTTTTTAGTGGGTAAGAAAGGTACAAAATGCCTTTGAAGAGTTTGTTGCCTCCCGTCCAGCTGATTTTTACAAGAAGGGCATCAATAAACTGCCAATGCGTTGGCAAAGATGCGTCGATTGCATGAATGATTACTTCGAATAACAGAAATAAAAAAGTTTGAAAAAATAAGTACTTTCACTTATTGCATACAAAACGGCAATTTCATAGGTAAAGATCTATTAATATAACCTTTTTCCCTATGGAGAACGCAGTGACTACAGCCCTCCACTTGCAAGCTTCTACTACTGTCCATAAATGTTAATCCGATAAAATTACAAGATTGCTTCAACAGCAGCCCGATGTCTATAATGACGTCATAGACGAATGGCAACAACGCTGGGACGAACCATCTAAGGGACGCCAACTTTACCAGTTCTTTCCATATGTTCGCGAATGGTTTTCGAGGACATGGCTTGAGGTGGATCACAGTGTCGCTCAATTTCTTACAGGTCATGGTAGCTTAAGAGCAAACTGTATTCATCTAAATTAGTCGAGTCCCCATTGTGTCAATGCTCAACACCTAACTCTAACTGTGAACAGTCTACTCATCATATCCTCTGGGAATGTAGTCTTTGGTATAATGAACGTAATATAATCCTGAATAGCTTGCAGGTGACATCTGGGGTGGTATATTATGGGGATCTTGTGTCAACTAGGGTGAATTTGCATGCGTTTAGGCGATTCTGCCATTCATATTATAGAAATCAAATATAGCTCACTTAGGACCGTTCACTTTTGTGGCCGTGGTACTTCCCTGTTTAAAAGGGTATTCGTTCATTTCATATCATATATTATTCATTTTGTCTACCGCTTTGCTAAGGAGGGAAGTGGATTTATTACTGTATTTCCAACTCCTTCAATTTTCTTCTGATTAATTTCGTTGCGGCTTTCAAGACAGTTTCATATTTCTCCTGGGACTTCCCGAGTGTCATTATTTGGTGTGTTCGTGAATCACTGCTGATGATCCTGGTGTACAGGAGTGGCAGTGGCGGGCGCGTGGGAGGGATTAGCCTCATTACTGTCCATAAATTACACATTACACATAACATCTATCTACATTTTTATTTGTAAAACAAGACCCAAGAAATTCGATTTCTTTTCCAGATAATTCTCTGGAGCTCGCTCTGTGCCGTATTGGTAGAGATGACATAATTGCTCCTCAATCAGAACTGACTAACGAAAGACGCATTCAAAGAAACATTTATCAAGAGAGGCAAGCTTCTGAGGAAATAGAAGCATACAAAGGTAAGTGTTTTTAAGGTAAACGATGAAAAGTAAAAAAAACTAGGCAAAAGGATATGCAGCTTAAGAAGAAAGCATCCTGCACGTCTTATACGCTTGATAATGTTATTACTGAACTATCCAAAGATGTGGAAAAAGTTTACCTCCTAGTAACTAATCAGAATTTATGCAATCAGAAATTAATGCATATTGTCATCAACCTAAGTGAATAAAAGCATGAATCTGGAAAAACTACACTTCATTAAAACCGATTGTGTAGGCTTTCAGTAGCCAGGGAGTTACTTAGTCTTATTATGGGAATTATATTACAAGAGTCGCATTAGTTCACCCAAAATTTTGATTAAAAGAACTGCAAAATACTTTAATAAAAAACTGCATTTAGCTCTATAATAAAATACATAAAAACTCTTTTACTAAAGGAGAATAATTTCAAAAACATTTTCTACTTATACTTTCCTTTCACTGTAATAACTAACAAGTATAAATTTGTTGTGCGAAAATACAAGTCTAATACTTCACTACATCTTCTACACGTAAGTCTTTTTATGGGGATAGAATGGCCGGCCTGATTGCATTAAGATGCGATCGGCCGCCATACCGCGATTGAGGGAGAAAGGGTTCTCCCCTGGGATAGGGCCTGATTAGGCATGGTGTCAATTCGGGGAGGACCTGAAATATCACGGTCCGGGTCGTCCCCAGAGTAGGACACCTGAGGCCGGCCATTGGGGTGATTTTTAGGGGAATCACCACATACTCCTGGCTCCTGAGTCCCCGAGGAGCAGGAAAGCCGAAACAATTTTCCACCCCGTCAACAAAAAAAAAAGTCTTTTTATAACCAGGTAAGTAGGTATTTAGTCAATTAAATAGTTTAAGGTGAGGCCCCTAATTATCTGGTTTTTTCACCTTGAAATGAACAGTGTATAAGATATAACATCAATATAAGAATATTTTAACACGAGAAAGCAAATAAATAAAAAGGGCAAAATGTAAAATATTACACTGTGTAAATATATTAAAAATAAGATAGTTTAGTATAAAAAGTCACCTTGCTGGACTTAATAACACTCGTGGGATGACATGAAATGGTGAATTTTCAATATCTGACCGCGGCAAAATTTGGTGATTCAAATGATATAACCCACATGATAGAATTACTTCTTCTCTTTCGCCCTCGTAGCGATTTTATACATATTTCCCATATTTTTTTAGCTGAAGAAGATAATAAACTAAAAGATCGCATATATGATGAGGACCAGATCCCTGAACATCGAGAGTCAGAGCAGGATCAGGATGAAGCCAAGTACTCACCAGAGGAAAAGTCTTTTGTAGAAAAGAGTGAGATTGAGAGAACGCCCACACCTAGTGAGGATAGTGAAGAAGATGAAGGTTTGAAAAATATTTAATATTTTATTTTAAATGATATTTACCCACGACAGCACAAAGAAGCAAACCAATATTGCCATTTATCTCCAAAACTAATAGTCCGATTTTAATGTGGTTTTCAGTAATAGGTTTGTGGTTGATTTGTTTTGGTTCTAAGATAAGAGTAACGGTTGTACTCGTAAATTACTAGGAGGCGTTGCAATGAACATTTGGTTGTGCACACCAATGTTGCATTTATCTCCAAAAGTACTTGTCCGATTTTGATGCGGTTTTCAGTAGTGGGTTTGTGGTTGATTAGTGATAATTCTTAAATAGGTGCTACGGTGGTAACTTATTAGGGGCCGCTGCAGTAAATATTTTTCCTTAGTAAAAATGAGTTTTTGCTCATTTTTGCCGAGTTGGATCCTCCTGTGAGTTGAAACTTTGCAGTTATACGAGTATATGGTTTACATGTCAATACTATAAACTGGCACCTTTAGGCTAATCTGATGAGAAAGCCTAGAGGTGGGTACTGGAACTCTTCAATGGCTACTAGCAAAGTCTTCGTGTTTGTGCTTGTTAGATTGGTTTTTACGAACCCCTTTCATTACGCATAGTGGCGAGGGTCTGATGATGTAGCCAAAAGGAATATAGTGGAACCCCTTAATGGTTACTAGTAAAGGAGTAAAATTATGAGATCCTATGTTACATTATGTCGTCGTAAAACATCTTTAGTTTCTGCAAAACTTTAGTTCATTTAATGGCCGCCTCGGCGGATATTCTTTGATTATTTATTAAGTTGATAGGTAGTTGAATATATTTATTATTGCCACATCTAAGTATATCTTCAAAAAACAAATGGGCACGTAAGGAGGTGCAGGCACCACCGCCGCGTCACATAATCGTTGGGCACACACAGTGAGATCTCCTGTAGGATAGCTGGCTTATATATCAAGCCACGTAACATTATTTCTCTCCTCACTTCCAACCTATAATATCCCACCATGCCTAAAACAAACAGTGTGGGATACAACAATGGATACCCTGGGTACACACCGAATACCTTACAAAAAACCTAATAAATTTATTTTGTATACGTTCCAACACTACTTTATATTTGATTTGATGTGGAGACCATAGAAGAATTACATTCCAGATGACTTTTAACTAATGCCTCGTACAAGGATCTCAGTGCTGCGATGTGCGTAAATCCATTTGCGTTCCTTTAAAGAAACCAGAGATTACGATAAGCCTTTTACAAACATCCTGAATCTGCTTACTTAATCTGGGCTGAAACGAACGCCCAAATCCCTGACCTCGTTTATCCGATGTACAGGCGACCCCTGCATGTGGTACTGGTAGTGTCCAGCACCGTTTGCTGCTTTCCATCAGGTGACCCGTCTACCCGTTTGCCCTCTATTCCATCAGCGGGAGCGATACGTTTATCGTACGCACACCCACATATCACATAATCTTTTTGCTGTTAATCTATATTTTATACATTTACAGGAATAATTAAAAAGGTAACCCAATGATACTGACTGGATAGATACTGGAAAATGTATTATTATTCTGGAATTAGTATATTTAGAATATATAGTTCAAAACACAGATGGGACAAAAAAAATAATAAAAAAAGTCTTCTGTCCCGGAAAAATATTAATTTCTATTAAATGTTATTTTCACTATATAGTTATATTTAATTTCCCTACATTTTTTAGTAGTTTTAAAAAGTTAACGCTTACTACATACTGTACTAATAATGTACATTTCTAGCACATAAAAAGACACTAGATATAATTCTTTCGTTTTATTTAAAATTAATATGTAAATTATGCTGTTTCCTTTCTAGATATTAAGCGTAGTGTCGCTGAGAGAAAAGAGCAAATAACTAGAAAATTAAGTCAAAGTAAAATTCCTGCTTCTAAACAAAAGAAGGAGATCCGTGAAGAAATCATTGAAATTAAAACTCAAATTAAACCTGACATTAAAAAATTCCAAGATATTGAGCAACAGGTAAAAGTGACACATGATAACATACAATGACATATAATGTTCGAGATAATAATTATTTTTTTTACAGGTACAAAAGGAACCGAAAGTAGAAAAGACACGATCTAAAATACCTCATGAATCGGTGGAAGAAGAACAAGAGATTGAAATTGAAAAAGAAGAAGTAGTAGTTATTGAAACAATAAAAGAAGAAATAAAACCTTTGGAACGACCCGTTGAACAATTCAGAAAATTTGACCCTTCTTCGCCTGCTAAACCAACTCCCAAGCATTTGCAAAGACATATGAGAAATGAGTCCATGAGATTTCCATCAGGTGACTTTTCTAACGTTACTATTACTCCAAGGAAATCAGTTACTTCTGAAACCACTGAAGTTAAGGTAATAGAAACTAAAGATACCTTCACAAAAGAGGCTATTTCTCAGAAAGAAATAGCAACTTCAAGAGTTGAGGAGAAATTAGAAGATGGTGATAAGTCGCCTGATCTCGTAATAGAAAACGAAAAAGATATTGCTGAAGCACCTTTGAAGGCCAAAATTAGTTCATTCGAATCAAAAATGTCAAAGGAATCCTCAATAGAATTTCCAAAAACTACAATGAAGTTAACAAAAGAAGCTTTAAAAAAGCATACCTTGGAGCAAGACCAGGGTATTGAGTACACTCAGGAGTTCGTAAGAGAACAGTCTAAACAAATAACAGTTTTAGAAACTCATATAACTCATAAAGTGGCTGTCGAAACAGAAAAACAAACAGAAACCGTTAAATCTGTTAAAGAAACAATCCAACACTTTGATGCCAAGACAAAACAAGAAGAAAAAATAAAACCTTATCACAAAACAATGAGAACAGACTCAACGTTAGTACAAGTATCTTCAGAAGAAGACAGCGAGTTCTTAAAAAAATCTACTGATTCCGAAACAGAAACAGAATCACAAACAACCGTTAAGGTTGATAAAACAGATAAAAAATCTAAAATCCAAATTGATAAACATGTCTTTGATAAAAAACCCGATACGCAAGATCTTCCCAAGGACTCTAAAGAACCAAAATCTAAAAAATCTGATGATGATGATAAGAAGGATGAGCAACCTGTTACAATTGTCGAACAAAATTTAAAAAAACAGTTGACAGAAGAATTACGTTCAAAGATTAGTGAAGAGGAAATCACAGAAGCCGTAGAAGAAAAGGATGTTTCTCTGGCTGATAAAATTATAAAAGAGAAGGTAAGTTCATTTCCTTGGAGATTGTTTAAGTACAAAAAAGAAAATTGACTACAGTATTACTTCCACATTATTTTATTCTTTTCTCTATTGCAGGTTCTGTTAGTTTTTATTATTTAATTTTTACATTTGAAAGTGACAAGTATTCTACTTCTGCAATCTATATTTTGCCATTGTTGTATATCCACCATCACTCTATTCGTTGTAATAATAATTATTTTAAACGGAAGCTAGAAAATCTTTTATTTCGACGTTGTCATATTTCAGTTACTAGAGTATCTTGACATGTAGCTTAAGATTTGGCTATATGAGATGAAAATCAGATGGCATTTTATTAAAAACTATATTACTTACCTATTGATAACCTATGACCCTTTGTATTTTCTATTTATGTAAAGGTGGAAGCACAAATCGCCGCTACAAGTGCAAAATCTGATATTAGCAAACACACTAAGACTGATTCCACGGGATCAGAAGCGCAAGACCTCATAGGCAAAAAGATTTCCCAAGAGTCGCCAGTGCTGTCTGTAATTGATAAAGCCGATTCCTTAGCTGATCTACAGCAAAGCACTGAGAAAGACTTTAGTTTTGTGTCACAAACTGAATCAAAGGTAAATAGGTGTAGTTATTTTTCAGCTTTTCTAGTTATTTATTTTTCTACTTTTACTGTATTTGGTAGTCAGGTCAGTCTATCTATCCTTAATTTATAACTCTAACGTGAATAATAAACATTCTAAATCCTTATTTATTAGTACCGCTAAATTGTTTTAGATAACAAAATTAAGGCTGTTTATAAAAAAAAAAATTGATAACCTTTGCCAAATTCAAATTAATCTAGTATCACTTCATCATCAGTATCCCTTCATCATCTAGTAATATTAATAATGTTTAAATCTTTAAATGTCTATAAAAATAAAAACTTAAATGTTAAATATCTTTACAGGTATACTCTAGAGACTCAAAACACCGCAGTGATTCCTTAGATGAAGCTTCCCAATTCTCAGATTTAGATGATCAGATTGGCACTAGTCCAGCCCATAAACCACATATTGACAAAGAACCAGAGCAAACAGTTACAAAACTTACTGAGGTTAAAACTATTACTACTACAGTAACAGACAAAAAAGAGACACAGGCTCAAACATTAGAATTTTTGAAAAATGAAAGCGAACATAGTTCGCAGGTGCTTAGTGCTGCTGTAGGGCAGAAGGAAATAGAAAAGGTAATACTGTAATGTATTGAACCATAGTCATTTAAATAGTTCTATCTATCTGTGCTATGTATATAGAATCATATTATGGAACTCATATTATTGCATTAATTTCTAAAAAAAATATTATTCAATTCAAATTTATTAATTTACTTACAGGAGAAGTGACATATCTACTGAAAGGAATATTTATAGACTACTTATAAAAAAATGTATATATAAATATGCTTCGGGTCTAACAATTGCAATTAAAATGTCTTCTTTCATAATAATTTTATTATTTTGTTTTATTAGGTATCACCAAAAGAATCGCCAGTTATCAGTGCAAAAGCACGTCAATTTATTGAAACAGTACCCGAAGATGATTCTGTACAGGAATGCTTCTTTTCTAAAAGAATATATTCTGATTCTTTGGAAGACTCTGAGCACACAGACTCTAGAAGACATTCAGAGGCGGAATCTTTGAAATCAGACCAATCTGACATTAAAGCAAAAGTATCATCGTCAGATTTTGACGAAAGGGCAGAATATGAAGAAACTGCTGATTCAGGAAGTGGTTTTGGTGATGAGAAATTTGAAGAAAGTGTCGGCTTCACATCGATGAGAATTGAGCCCACTGTAGAAAAACAAGACTCTGAATCAGATAAAACTGACGCTGAGCCCATTTTTAAGAAAATGACACCTAAGAGACACTCAAGAACAGAGTCAGTATCGATCACAAAGCTAAGTGATTTAGCTATTGATATTGAACTACCTAAGATCAAGCAGGAATTTCAGATGATCGTGACTGAAGCTGAAGAAATAGATAGGTCATTTGACAAGGATGAAGCTTCTGACAAAATTTCCTCAGAAAGCAGTAAGGAAGTGGAAATTTCCGATAAAAAATCTTCAGAAGGTATTTCAGACAAAATCAGTTCAGAAGATGCCGTAACAGAGAAAAAAACTTCGTCTGAAGAAGAGCAATATTTAGACAAGAATATTACGACTGTAAATGCAATTGCTGAAAAGGTTGAATCCGTAGACATTAAGCCTCAAGCTGTCAAAGAGGATGTCTCAGAAAAGGGTAAATAAAAAATCCTACATAAGCAAAATAATAACTTAAATAGTACTTCTTTAGACAATAGAAGCAGGAGCGAGATATTTGTAAATTTTAAATCAATTTCTTGCATGTCGAATGACAAAATTTTCCTTAGTAAGAGAACCTAGTAACTTGTAACACATACATGTATGTGATCTATTAAAATATATACATGTTTCGCAGAAAGTAAAATTAGATTTTTACTTGATTGCTTTCATTTAATTGATGTTCAAAACATTTAATTTTGTATTATTTTCAAAACGATGTCTATTTTCGTTTGCCATCTTTGTTTTAAAAATCTTTTTTACAAACTAATTATACTGTGTACCCATTTCAGCACTAATTGCTGAAGACGGTTAGCATCCTTAACTTTTACTAAAACATTAAACTATAATATTGTGATATAAGTTTTTTTGATATATTATTTTTATAAATTATAAAACAAAGATATATATATATTATTATATATATAAATTGACAGTGAATGAACGTTTTCTAGGGGAAGTAACCAAACGGCAATCGGTAACATCTGCTGGATCAGGATCCGTTACTGAACTACGCTTAGAAGAGAAGCGTATGTCAGATGCACATAGCCTCACTGAGTCCAGAGACTATACATTCGAAGAGTCTGAAGACGACATTGGAACTCAAGACACTCATGTTGAATCAAAGGAGAAGGCTGAAGTAAAACTGGAGAGTGATTCTAAGACAAAAACTGTATCAGGTTAGTGTTACTTGATTAAGGACATAATACTATTCAAAGTAAACCAACACAGTTAAAAAAATGAACATTTATAACTTAACATAACTTTTATTACAGGTAAAACAGACCAGTCTAAACTTGCAAAATTAACACATGGCGACTCACTAGACGATGTAGAAGGTTTCCCCGAAGACCATGTGACTGACTACGTCCATAAACTACCACACATTGCCGAAATAGCGTAAGCAAATTTAAATTGTGATTTTTATTTAATATAATTAACTACCATTTTTTTAAATAATATTTATTACAGTTCAATAGCCGACAAGGACATGACATGTGATTTCTTAAGTAAAGAAAGAGAAGAACAACTGAAACGGGAAACTGTTACCGTCATAAAGAAATTTGAAACAGGTACTGTGCTTCCAGTGGATGAAGAACTAATGAGAGATACTAAAGAACCGCATGACAATTTAATGTTCGACAAAGATATGACAAGTGATTTCTTAAGCAAAGAAAGAGATGAGCAAATACAACCTGAAAGTGTAACTGTGAAAAGAAGTACAGATACTGTGCAATCAGTAAAAGAAGTTAAAATAGTGGAAGCTGCTAAAGAAACACTCGACCATTCAATACCAGACAAGTCCATGATAAACGATTTCTTAAACAAAGAAAAAGAAGAAAAACTGAAACAAGAAACCATCAACGATCAAGTAAAGACTAAAGAAATAATGGAAGATGCTAAAATACTACATGATAGTTCAATCCCTGACAAGGACTTGACCAATGATTTCTTAACCAAAGAAAGAGAAGAACAATTAAAACGAGAAACCGTTACTAGCAAAGATATTATTGTTACTGAAACTACACACCCAATAGAAAAAATTAAAACTGAGGTAGAAACTAAGAAAACTTACAATGAGAAGCCTAAAGAAATTTCATTTACTACCAGACAAGTTGAAACTACTTACACTATTAGTTCTAAGGATGAACCCAAAGTTATAACAGATATTAAAACAATCATCAAAGATGGTTCCTCAAACAAGGTTGAAGAATATATTGAAACAAAAAAGCAAGTGGTGGTGAGTGATTCATCCAGCAAGTTTGATGTTTCAAAAATAAGAACTGACACCTTAGGCCATTTTGATATCGGAGATTTAGATGATGTTAAAAAATTTATTCCAAAGGATTTAGATCTAACTGAAACCACGGCAATAACAAAAGAGCAAGTAAAACCTGTAATTGATGATATTCTTCAAAAAGGTTCTGTTGCTGCTGCCGCCAGAAGCCCCATAATAGACAAAGACATTAAGACAATAACCAAAGAAATTGTTGAAACCGAGAGGAGATCTTATGACGCAAAAGTACCTCATAAAGAAGAAAGACGACATTCATGTATCAGCCCGGCCATATCCTTAGAAAGGATTGCTGAATCTGAAATTGAAGCCGAAGAAGAACCTGTAAAATCTAGTCCTTCCCTTATTATTAAAACACATAAAGTAACAGAAACGACAACAGAAATGAAAAAATCAGATTCTGCTATGAAGCAAATGGCTGATAACATAGAAATTATTATAAAGCAAGCTTCAGAAGATATTGATGTTTCATCGGAAGAACATGCAATAGACGAGAAACCAGATGATGTATCTGGACAAGTATCGGTTGATTCTATAATTGAGGAAGCAATAACAACTGTAGAAGGTTTTCTAGAAGATAAAGAAACTCAACGTCAAGAAGTTGAAACTAAGAAAGAGGTAATGTTTGAGGAAACGAAAACATTTGTCAAAGAAAGGCCTGGCCTAATAAAATCACTATCAAGAGATAGTGGAGAGATAGTTATAATACCCAAAAAGAAACACCCGCGAACGTTCTCTGTCCAGAGTTCCCCCGAAGAAGTAGAAGAACAAATTTATACCGATTCTGAAAGCGGTGAGTGTAACAAAATAATCACACACTTTATTTTTAAATGAAAATATCTTTATCATAAATACTTTTTCAAAAGAGGAATATAAATACACATTAGTGAAATTTGAAAAGAATGTAAGCCATTTTATTTATATTTTTTACAGACATGGATAAAGCGAAGGTATTAGAAATAATCGAACCTAGTTCAGACTTAGATGGGAAGGTTCCCACATCTAGTTTTGACACAAGGAAGATACGCACAGATTCACTTGATGATGCTGACGATTTTCCCGAAAAAGAGGTACTTTAAAAAAAAAAATCACCTATGTGTTTTCTTATAGCAGCATGTCAATTGAGACGTCACTGAGCTAGTTTTGGACGGTGGAAGAACTCGTATCATACTCATAATATGGGTTCTTGTTCCGCCGGATTCTACTTAGACTAAGTTCAACGCCATGAAGATACATAGAAATGCATACGAAACGTATGAAGAAAAATCTAGTTAAATGGAAGGTTAAATAACTAATTTGAACAATCGTATTACTACAGTTGATTGATTTATTTGTTATTTTTTTATTTATATATTTTTATTCAGTTTCCATTCATCTTTTCGCAACTGCTAACGAGACAGTATTATTGTTTTGGTTAAATATAATCCACTAACTGTTTTTTATAAATAGAGTAATGTTATACTGTCTTTTACTAGAGCAATCAGTTGGCAATGCGTTGATACGCATTGCCAGCTTAAAGGAGGCATTCTATTATTTTTCTCTTGGTAAGACATCAAAAATGACTAAGAAGTAGTTACTTTTTTAGTGCTACCCCTACTTACTAAGAAGTAGTTAGTGCTGGCTTAATTGTAAGGTGGTAAAAAATGTATTTTATAACATTTTATATTGCCTACTTCATATTGCAGGTATACTGTCCTTCTATTAATTTCATGTTTTACACAACTGGTATTTTATACAATGTTTCAGGCTGAATTTTTTGGCGATGACGAAAAATATATTGAAGATGCCTCGGAGTCTTACCAGCAGGGTAAGTTTGAAGAAAAATTTGCTGGAAGTGCTACGCCTAGCACCAGTGCTCCACAAGATTCAGAAGAAGATGATAGATTCAGTAAAACATATGTTAAAAAAACTCATTTTGTTGATAGTTTACTCCGTACAGACTTAGTGTCGAAATCAACAACAGAATCGTCAGTTACTACCGTAGTATCTACATTGACAAAATCGTCCGACGATGATCAAAAATCGGTGCTAGAAGATGGCACCTCTGCCGACTTTTCGAGAATTAGTGGAGCGGACTTAGTCAAAGATCCGTCTAAAACCTCAATTGATGCTAAGGAAGATTCCAGAATGGAGGAACAGATTGAGGATAGAGCAACACCTGATTTATCAAAGAAGTCTATTGACCTAACAAAAGATTACTCAAAATCTTCCATTGATAGCAAAGATACCTCACGAGATTTCGCAACTAATGAACTATCGAAAGACTCGACTGCAGATTTAACTAAAGACTTTTCAAAAGCGTCTGTGGAAAGTGTAAAAGAAACTTCAAGATCTATTGATGAAAAAACATTTTCAGAAGATCAATCCTCTCTACTGGATGTGTCTAAAACATTAGCATCTGATGTTTCTGAAGGCATAACACTTAGCAAGGAATTTATAGAAGAAGAAAGGTCAATATCCCGAGTTGTAAGAGTTTCAACTAGCTCTTCTCAAGAAACTTCTATTTTAACTGAAAGTAAACTACTAAGTGATCATGATGATAAATCTTTAGATAAAACGAAACATTCTGATAGAACAGAACAAGATTTCATTGGAGAAATGGAAGAAAAAATTGCACAACTGCAGTCTGAATTCAAGAGAGAAGAAGAAAGTGGTAGAGACACAACCATTGATAATGAAGAAGATTTTAAAGTTCACACAGAAGTCGTTATAACGGAAACAGTAAAGACCTTAGTAGGAGATGAAGTAGTTGAAAAAAAACACTTAGTACATAAGACTGATATAAGTGATAGAGATGGTGTAGTAGACGGAAAAATAGAAGAGAAAGACAAATCTTCTAAAGAACTTGAGAAAGAAGCGGAAGATGAGGTACCTGACATGAAAGAGTTGAATCGAAGGTGTTCGAATTTATTAGAAGATATTTCACAAGGTGCGCTAATTAGGATTGATGCCACGCATGTGACACATGGTAAGAACAAAAAAAAATATTAGTAAAAAACATATTTTAAACATAACAAGTGATTTATTATACCTTTTACAGATCTGCAATCGAAGTTCTCAAAAACTCCACCACCGTCTCCGGTCGATCTTATTCGTAAAGAAAAGGCTAAGACTGATGATGGTTCTGGTGACAAGGATGCCGGGCTACAACCTAAAGGTATTAATATATATGTTGCATCTTGTGCCTATTTTACATAGAACATCTGTCAATAATTATGATATAGAAATCATGCATATTTATTACTCAATCACCATAGTAAACGAAAGTGTAAGTAACTGAATTGGTAATAAACACACACATATATATATATATATATATATATATATATTTATATATATATAGTTTTTTATTTTAAACTAAGCAAGTTATTCAAATACTAAAATGAAATTACAAACTTACTCATATAAATTTACTTTTTGTGTTTAATAAGCATCGTAACTATTGACAGCATGTAACGAACACAGTTTTGTAGTAGTCACATCAATCTGTGGTAATGTGCAATAAATAGTAGTAATCGTTATAGCAGTAACTTACCAAGCTAATATTCCAGACACCTCATAATAATATATCATGACTTTGTCACTACACGATTTGTATTGTATTGTTTAGTCAATGCAAGATTTATGCTAGAAGTAGGAGCTAACTGTTCCTTACATCTAGGCTCCGACTCTTCGTTCCTGGATGCTAGTCGTCAGTCACCACGAGCTTCTTCAGCCGGAGACAGTCTTATCAGCGAAACAGAAGCTCACCAAAGTGGTCAGTAATGTCTAACAATGTATTTTACAAAGAAACCCTTTTACTTAATTTCTGATTTTATTTTATATGTACCGATGACTTTGGCATATCTAAAAATTTAGTAAAATATTTGTCCATAGAAATGAATGACAAAATTATTGCAAGCTTATTGCAGTAAGGTAGTGGCAAAGTAGAGTCATAGCGAAACTTTACTCTTGATTTTGTAGTAAAACCCATTATAGACAGCCTTATTTGCCACACTCTTTATTTATACGCCAGTTATCGCATGTGTCGTGGTTGATTTTTACACTAATATTGACAATTTGTCTGATACAAAGACTAATACGGACAGCACTACTCCCAAATTAACATTTGCACCAAAATCTACAACAGTAAATAGATTAAAAAAGCGAGCCCATTTAACCAAACAAAAATGATGAGAAACATCTGAAGTCCCTCATTCAGTTGCAACAATCATATAGTTTATGCAATTATTCGTCAGCACAGTAAAGTTTACTTTCTTTCTTGCGGAGCCCTTACGTTGCAATAGGTAAGTGGACCCACAAGCAACCAAATATCACTTTTACTATTGCTTCTTAATCGGAGGAAATAATTCTTTTATCGTATTTAATTCGCAGTTATTTCATCTGTTATCATTCACATTGAGTAACGTTTCGCTTTGATTCTAATCTTGATTTATTTTTATTATTTTACCATCACTGGCTTCCATCGCTGTTGTCTTAATATCACCACACCACACTTGTAATTATACTACATGCTTTAAGTGCTTCTCAGGCATTTAAATATAACCCACATTAGTGGTTAAAAACTTAAGCAACGTGTACACGAATTTCGTGTAAAGTATTTATATCGATATATTTAACTATAATAATAACCTAACACCTTACCACGACTTTAAATCTTTCACAAAACAAAGTTTTTCTCATTTCAAGTCATCGGAGCGAAATGATATTACAAAACTATTCTTTTTTTTCAGATGTTCTGATAGAAGCATCTAAGGCACTAACTGCTGATGCCAGACCAAAATCTCCTACAAAACACGTGGCTGATAATATGACGTTTGTAAACGTCGACCAACCAACTATTACAAGCGGTGCAATAGAACTTGTAGATAGAACAATAGAAAAAAGCATAGACGTTATAGATCAAATTAAAAAAGAACAACTAGCTGTTAAAATGGAAGAACGGCAAAAGTCTTCGTCTAGCGACACATTTTACAGTGAGTCTAGAGTTGAAACCTCATCTTCTTCGGTCCATAAAACTTTTGAGGGTGGAGAATTGAAGTTTCAATCTATTCATCCAGAATCAGTAATGTCAGATATGGTAGCTAAATTTGGGTCGAAAGATCTAGATTTTAGCACCATTTTAACTCATAAAGAAACTGAGACTAGAAAAATATCAGGTCAAGAATTCTTCTTTGAAACCAAACAAGTGTCGTCATCCGATGATGATTCACTAGTAATTAAGACTGAAACAAAACATGAGCTAAGAGGACAAGAACATGAAACAAAAGAAAAAACGACTATTCGTAAAGATGGTGACCAAACTGAAACCTCCCAAAAGAAGTTGGAAAAAGCTCATCAAGCAACTGCAAAGCGTGCTGATACTGAAACAAAAACTGTAAGAAGTACAGATGATACAGACATTATTAAAGTCGAACGGGAGTTTTCCGAACAAGGGCTTTATACTGGTCGACAGACTAAGTCCGAAGAAAAAATGACCGCAATCAAAGATGAAACTGTTAAAAAAAAACACGAAGTTAAAATATCTGAAAGAGATTTATCTCATGAACAATGGGGTAAAGAGTATTTCACTGAACCTGGTGAATTAGAAAATATAGTTGAAGATGATGATATGAAATCTAGAGTAGCGTTTGTTGAATCAGCGCTAAAAATTGTAGAAAAAGACGAAATCGTATCTACTGTTGAACTCTCTGAAAAGGGTAAAGTAATAAGTTCTACAATAGAACATCACAAAGAAGAATCTGTAATAGAAAGTAAAGAACATGATGACCTCAGTTCAGATGCCTCTCATGCACCTAGTTTTAAAAGTGAACCAACTGAGAGGAGGGATTCTTCTGAAATGAGTCCAAAAAGTAAATCAAAGTCCTTTAAAAAAGATGATGAAATCTACGAAGTTAACTTCATTAAAGAAATAAGGGTAACAACATCACCTGTTAAGAGCACATTTAGTCGCACTGGTAGTCAAGATACCCATTCTGAATCTGAAGCAGCTCCGGAATTACCTCACGATGACAAAACTGGGGATACACCTAAAAGAGACAAATCTACAAAACCACCTGTAAAATTACCACAAGAACAAATCGAAGACCAAGTTTGGGAAGTGTCTGTTCAAAAGGCTGATTCATTCGAAGTTGCTGAAGAAATACCAAAGTCAAGCATAGCATCAAGTACAAATAAAAGTTCTGATAGCGACACAGTTTTAGAAATAAGAAAAGTTATAGAAACAGGAACTGAAGTAACTAAAATATCCAAGACTGACATGTCACCGATCACGTTTGAGCTATCTGAGGAAGCAAGTTCTACCTCCAGAGATATCATGATGAAATCGGGTGAAAGCCTTGATACAGAATGTATGGTAAAGTCGTTAGAATCACATGAAGGAGAAGTTTTGCAAAAATCTATTGACTCTACAGTTAGCGCTGAAACTCTTCATCCTTCAGATTTCTCAACAGAAGCTGATTCGGCCTATTTGACTGGCACGGGTACCGATAAGAAAGAAGAAGTAAAACTCTTCAAAGAAAAAAGTCTTGAAGACATTTGCAGTAGCGGTTACGATACGGATCTCTCTTCTGCAGAGTTTCATGGTACGAAACTCGAGTCAGAGAGAGTCGATTTGGATTCATTGATATCTGCTCAGCCACTAGCTGACTTGTCAGTTTTGGAAAAAACGATAGATGAAGTCAAACAGTCTCTAGAAGCAGCGCAAGGTGAAATTATTAGTGAAAAAAATGACGGGAGTATAAAATATAAACAATCTCCTTCGGAATTCCAGTTTAAATTGTTAATAAGCCCAGATAGACCTGAAGTTATTACTGAAGAACATCAGGATGAACATGATAAGACGCTGGTATCTACTGATATAGATGAAAAAATTTTAGATAGTCAACTGTCAGATGGCATATCTCAAAAAGTCAGTTCTCAAGATGATACAACGACTTCTGATGAAGAAAAGGAGACAGTTCATATCAAAGAATCGAGCCCTCCTTTGGATGTTGGGGATTTATCTATTAGATCAGACAGCGGCCCCCATTCTATTATAGAAACTGACAGTGACGTTATTTTATATGATCGCGATAAATCAATATGTAGCCTTGAGGTAAAACTTAGAGAACAAAACCATTTGAAATCAAAATTAGGTGTAGGAGAAAGACGATCTGCATCCGAAGTAGAAGGCTGGTCAAGTTCAGGAGAGAGTCACTATCACAGCTTTGAACGTTCAGAGTCTAGGCCATTATCATCTGATGTTGAAGTAATGATGACCGCACAAAGTGCAACTGAATTTGAGACTGCATTAACAAGCCATGATGTTTCGTCACAATCCTTGAGAACGTCTAAAGACTATTATACTGCTGGAAGTTCACTTGCATCTCGAGATAGTATGAAAAGTTTAGACTCAGATGGATCTAGTCACGTAGCTAGCATAGATATATCTGATGCATCAGAGACTCTGGTACCTTCAGCAAATGAACTAAAAGAAGAGTTAATGGAAAGCAGCACATACGTGGAACAATTTGTCCATGAAGCAGGTAAAGATGAACCGAAATTCAAAAGGGTCAGCGATGAAGAAGTTTCTGGAGATGAAGATGAAAGCAAGATCGACATTGAACCTGTTGGTAAAATGAAACGATCTCATGAAATGAGATTCCAACCTAAAGAACTGATACCTGAAAATTTTCCAATAGAAAGTGCTTCAGAGAGTGCAGAGCTAGATGAAGACTCTATGAAAGATAAGGAAGGATCTGATACCACAATATCAAGTCAGTTAAAAACTGATGACGTTTTATCATCATCTATTTCAAAATTGGATATGCCATCATCACTGTCAGAACCAGAACAAGAAGAAATAAATGAATTTGCAATTACAAAGATATCATCGCATAAGACAGAAGCTATGCCATTCTCTGTTACAAAAATAGAGAAACCACATAGGGAATTTGTTGATGTAGAAAGCGAAATAATTCCGGTAGGGTCTGCTGAATATGAAGATATAGTAAAATATGAAAGTATTAGTCCTGAGGTTAGAAAACCTTCCAGAGACGCAACCGCTATTATCAAAGAAAGTATTGTTGAACTAGAGAGTTCTGTTATTCCATCAAAGATAACTGAGAGTTCTCACACTGACGAAGATGAAGTACATGAGGAATGCATTAAAAAAATAGTGAAAGAAGTCGCTGTAGTTCCATTCCCTATAACACCATTACCACCCAGTCAAAGAGAATTCGTTGATCTTGATAAAGACATTATACCGGTTGGGTCAAAACAGTATGAAGAGATCCTGAAATCTAAAAGTGATTCATCTGTCCCTAAAACTAAGGCAGAGAAGTCTGTAGTCAAAACTTCCGAGTCTACATTAGAAAGTAAACAAAGCTCTACATCAAGCCTTAAAACACATGATCATCTATCTACACCGCATACTCCATTGTCTGCGCCAAGTCAAAGCTCAATATCAACTGATAACGGGAAAGAATATATTTTAGATGATATGTATGATATATCTGAAACGCCTGAATTGAGGTCAGATTTGGCTGAGACAAGCAAATCAGAATTAGTAATTACAACTGAAGAAAAATCTGTACATGCTTATGAAAAGGAGCAAGAATCACCAACTAGTGATGAGTTTGAAATGGTAGACAAACCAAGTGAAATGGATGATTTTGTAGTAATTGAAGAAGTAGCTAAAGAAGCTCAAGAAACTGATACTGAAGGTAAAAGTGTTCAAATCACAGTCCAAAAGTATGTGAAACGTCACGACGTAGAAATCGAAGACCTGTTGTCGAAATCATCAAAGAAACAAGAAAGCACTAGTAGTACATCGGGATCATTGTCCGATGAAGAGCTAATGCAGTACGAATTAGAACAAAAAAAATTACAAGCTCAAGAATTAGCAGAAATAGAAGCAGGTCGGCGATGGATACAAATGCAATTTGAGGGGGATCCTCGATATGACTATGAAAGAGTTCCATTAGAAGATATTAAGGAAGAAGAAATGACTGACTTTGATGCCAGCAGAATTGGCAGCTTGACCTCTCAGAAAGAATCGATCGGTAGTTACGGTAGTTTCCGAAATTCTTATGGAAGTCTGTCGGAGTCTGAAATGGCATCCCGTATAAGGTTTAGAGTCAGGGGTGACAATGATGATATATCTATAAGCTCATTGCAAGAGTTTGAAAATCTAGAAAGGGCTCTAATGGAACAGTATCAACAAAATTCTTCCTCATCTCAGGATTCTCTTAATGGTTCTTTGCCAAGGCGATATATATTAAGTAAAAGTCAAGGAGATGACATTTCAATATCTAGTTTAAAAGAATTCGAAGGACTTGAATCAGCCTGTCTTGAAGCTTTGAAAGCAGAAATACTAGCAAAACAAAAAGAAGCTCTGCTAATGGCAGATCCTAAAGAAGTAAGTGGAAGCTTTTTAGAGAGAGAAAAGCGATCATACAGTGGTAGTTCTGAAAGTAGTCCACCACAAAAAGGTGGTAGCCCAAGTCAAAAAAGTGGTAGTCCATCACAGAAAAGCGGTAGTCCTTTACAAAAAGTAGGTAGTTATGGAAGCCCGTCAGGAAAAATACTAACAGAGTCCGCTAGTATTAGAAAACTTATTGATCAACAAATGGCTATGGAACAAAGGCCACAACAACCTGTTACACCGAAAGTAATAACTGTTAAAAAATATGATGACAGAGGTGCATTCTTTGTAGCAGAGCCTCAAAGTGAAACATCAATTTGTGAAGTAGATCCATCAGTATTAGCAGAATGCAGGAAAGTATCTGCCTTTGTATGTGCGGCAGCACCAATTGATGGGTCTGCTGAGTCTATTCCAGGAGATTGTGAAGAGATGATGAAAATTCTAGATCAGGAAGAAAAATCCAAAGAAAGCCATTCAGTGTCAAGGGCTCTTACTGATGGTGGTGTAATAGAAGTCGTACGAACTACGACCGTTATTCAACAGAGGTTTGTTGACGGAAAAAAGGTTTCTGAGACAGTGACAAGCTCTGATAGTGAAGGTGCAGTAGATATCCCATCTAGACCTAGACAGCTTGAAGAGAGTGCCATGTCCTACGGCTCTGAAATGTCCTCGTCCATCACGTCACAACCATCAGAACTGGATAGTTTAATGACTGTAATGGAAAGACACACAGATGGGGAAGTAGTGACTGTCACACAACAAACGATAACCATGACGTCAGACAAGCCTGAGGACTTAGAGTTCTCTAGGGAAAACAGCATGGTTCGTGAGCTATCGCCCTCTTCGGGTAAGTCGGTGGCTCATAGTGTGATATCGTTCTCCGGTAAACAATTTACAGATCCGGCTAGTGGGTCCTGGAGCGGCCAAGACGAAGAGCTCAGTTCCTCTGGAAGTTTTAGTAGGTAAGTCTTAATGCGATACAGACTAACAAGTAGATACTAAAAAATCTACAAAGTGACATTTTAATGGTTTTATTCTAAAATATATACTGTTATGATTCTAAATGTCAAATTAAGAATACTTTAAGTTTATGTATAAAAAGTCCTGAGAACAAAACAATTATCAATATGTCATATGAAGTAAAATTTTGTAAAAATAGTAACTAAATAGATTTATGTATTAAAACATCAAAAATTAAATAAGTTATGATAGTACTTCGACTACCAGGAGAATTCTAGTTCATGTGAATACCTGTTCCCAGGGGTGCACGAGCAGATTTGATGCTGGGTAGCACAGACAGCTTAGAAGCCACTAGCTCCAATGCCACTCGCGCCACCTACAACTACGAAGTCGACACCCCTATGACTGGTAGTCTAACTTCTGGAGGTAATTTTTAAGATCTCTTTATTTATTTCATTTACTTTTTACAGGATTAAAATTTATATTTATGTTATAAATATGTTACGCTAGTTTGATTTTAAATGGACCTATTACTAGCGGACATATTACTAGGCCATGAATCGAAATTCATGGTTTATCCAGAGATTTACAAGTTCTGTTCAATATCTAATACCTTTAAACTAGCGATTTTCATGAAACTGCTCAAACGATTTTCATGAAATTTTGTATGCAGGGGGGTTCGGGGGCGATTAATCAATCTAACTAGGTTTTATTTTAGAAAATTAACCACAAATAAAATTTCGAGTAAAGCACGGTCATCCAGTTATATGATATGACAATATGTAGGTAGACCTTTCGAGGAGTCCTCTCTATTTCTTTAAAATGTACTATAACATTCGCGTTAAGAATATAGTGACGCATTGATCAAGCCACGCCCCTCACCAATCAAGATACAAAAATTTTTCGTTTCGTACGACAACTTAGAACCTGGTTGGTCAGGTCAAACTTGACCGATGCGCCATTATTTTCTTAATACGAATTATAGTACGAGTATACGTTCATAATTCCAGTTAAACAAAAAGGTAAGCCTTTGTTACAACAAACGTGACATTATTCATGCACAAAATATATAAATCGCTTTGTATACTTACTTGATTTTATACTCGTATACGGCCATCTGCTCTGCTTTACTTTGTAGAGAAATGCTCAATATTCTTATTAAAATATCGTTATTTCGCCTCTCAGATAGAACATTCTCATTATTAGTATACTTATGCCTTGCTTTAATCATTGGCTTTATTAAAATATTTATAACACAGTAATATATAATTACAGGAACAACTAAATCCAATCAAATAATATTTATTAACAGACTATGGGATGTTCAAGTGCAATTCGATTTTGTTTACAAAGCTACGCAACCAGTTGTGAAAAATCATTTTATTTTCATTTATGGCATTTAATTAGAATAGAAGATCTTTGTTACTTTACCAGCCAAAAATAATTTTACAGGCATCAGAACCAACTTTCACAATTAAAGAAATTTTATTTCTCGTATGCAACATGAGACGTGTGTGAAGTATACTCTCTCATTTTGTCAGATAGCTTTGGGTGCAATTGCTATATTTCCACCAAAACAAATTTTATTGCGTTTGAGTTTTACAGACTCGTGAAGTAGTCATTGAAAAAAATTGGTACTAAAATAAACTAAAAATAGGCTTTTGTTTAAGATTAGGTTTTTCGACGACTAAATTAATAATAATAAACACTCTTTATAGTACTAAAAAAGAAAGCCAATATCATCATCATCATCAACAGCCTTCAATAGTCCACTGCTGGACATAAGCCTCTCCTTAGAAAGGAGGTTTTGGCCTACTATACCATACTATATATACTTATTATATTTTATTATTATTATATTTATACTATATATAAAAAACCTACATAAATGGATAAGGACCTTATCGCAAAAAGTACTATTTAAGTCTGTGATTTCCACCTTTAATTATTGATGTAAGTTTGAGACGTTAGTGGACTAAACATGCATAGACAAGTCATAATAACATACTTATTTAAAATCCTTAATACATGTTTTATTCAAACTATGATTATGTACCAAAAACGAGGCATCTCATCATTATGATGTCAATTACTATTTGAATAATATGTTGTCTAATGCATTTTTATTATTAATTCAATTTTAGCATGAGAATTACATCCATTTACAATCATTTTTTGTATTTTGCAGAAAGGCTTTGCTCTCATCCCCGCTTTTATCTTTAAATATTTCACTTAAGTCAACAAAATCCTCGCAAGAATTAATCATTTTTAAATTTTAAGTAAAAGTTTCCTGTTAAACTTATTATTTTTGCGAGGTTTTTTTTTTATTTTATATACTTCAATACATATTGCTATCCCGCTAAGCTTGATACTAATCAGAAAGATAACAGCGGTGCCCCCTCCAGGATCAAATACCATGGTTTCATCCCTGGACACCTTGGATCCTATTACGGCTGTCCAAATGGAAAGCTTGGAGCATCAGTCTACAAGCGAACATTTTTCCCATGATTATGAAGTACAGGAACCTGATTCTGATACCGAAAGATTGGTGAGTTAAATAAAACAGTAAATAAAAAAAAACTTTTAATTAAAACGACACACAAGTAATAAAACAATACTTATTTATGAATTAAAATGTGAACACATGAATTTTGTTTGAAGTAAGCTTCAAACAGAATGTATGTGTTATATAGATATTAAAGATTTTTATATAGAAGAAGATGTTATATAGAAGTTGGCCCCATCAAACAAGTTTTTGTTGGTTCTTGTTCTGCCAGGTTCGTTTGTAGAATTTTCATAGGTTTTCACCATCACAGAAAAGTTTTACTTCTAGAGAGATATACAAACGAAACTTTATTCACAAATACACGTGCATTTTTTCAAATACTTTCACCTCGATATCTGAAAAGGCACATGAAAAGATTTTGAACGTTGAGTAGTGGGAAACCAGGTCCCACTACTCAACGTTCAAAATCTTTTCATTTCCCCAATCACGCTAGGTAAAATAGAATACCTAGCACTGCGGAGTTATAAGTCGTAAGCATTGACTAGGGAACTAAAAAATATTTTTAATCATCATGCTGTTTACTCGTCTTCATTTTTGTGGTTTAATTAAATCCCAGGAATTGGACAATCGAGTACCTCGAGCTAAGGAACGCACAATCATGTTCGATAGCACAGATACTCTCAGTGCAGTCAGTGGTGATGGGTCAGTAAGGGAAGCCGCAGTAGAAACGGCAGCACCAACATTCTATATCGGCGATACTCCTATTGTTAGAGGTAATGTTATTTGAGTCGGTTTATGGAAATTGATTTGAAATATACAAATTGGTGATTTTATTTTAAGTAATTGCAACTGAATTTTCAATTTAGGAGAACGAAGAGACGATGAAGATGTTCAGCCTACACTTTCAGGCAGCTGTCCAGCTTCTCTACCACCTGCAACACAGCCATCACCACCAATTCCCGCTCAGAGAAGGTAATTACATAATATACTATTGTTTTGTTGTAGTGGATAATGATTAAACGAGCACATTAACTCTGTCTATGTAAATTCGTATTCTTCTTCTGTCATTCATATAAAAAGTTTTTGGAAGTTCTTAATACGCACTCGTTTAATTCTTGATGCACAGATATTAAATGACTTGAACTTTGCTAAACGAAAGCTTTTGCTCTCTTTTTAATATTTTGATTATAATTGTTTTTAGCTATTATTACCATATTCAATGTTAAAAACCATTGAATATTCTGACGGTTGATCTATATTGCACTGGCTTTCGGTCACGGCGCTCGTGTAAATTTAAATAATAATTATTTAAATAATACAAAAGTTTAAAAGCTAGTATACCATAGTAATTTTAACATTATTCAATACCATTATTTATTTTAATGTGTTATTTTTCTTTTATTTTTCATTTTTTTCATTCACGAAGTTATAAGCTTTTTTCAGTAATAATAGCTCTTTTTATGTTGATTTTATTTACTTACTTGCATAGACAATTAATCCATATATTTTTTAATGTAAGGTCCACTTTTCTTTCACTACTACCATGCTAAAATGTTGGCTATATATGGTAACTGCTATATTTTGGTTTCCGAAGTTAGTTTAAAAATAAATGTACCTACTAAATTTAAAAATATTATCATTACAGCTGCTATTGTTTAAGTCACTCTCAAGACAAGCTCGATAAATAGGTACACTTTTTTATATTCTATTGCTTTTTATTATCATTTGCTTCATTTGCAATTAACATCATCGCCATCACCACCTGTATTATAAAATATATTTTGCTTAATTTTTGTACTTAATTAATTATCAAGTGTGTTGCTGTATCAGGGATCATCGCATATAGTAATAACAGTATATGTTTACGTAAAAGGATTACTTCTGTTTTTTTTTATAACTTTGCTAGTTCTTCTATCTCTATTTAAGCCTTAATTATTTTATTGGTCTACATATGATATTGAGTAGACAGTTACAGATAATGTTTGTATCAGTATCCATTACATTTTACGTGTCTTTTAACTATCTCACATCATCATATCAATCTTTTGATTTCAGATCTTTGACGATGCTCGCAAAATCACCTCCATCCAGTTTAGACGAGTCTAAGAAGTAAATTTCGGCTATAATTTGCCTCTCAATAAGTAGTGCATCTAAATTTTTACGAAAACCACTTTTTTCTTTGAAACTGCCGAGGTTGTTGTATGCTTTACTCAATCTTCCTTCTTCCGCAGTGCTCAGCAACACTGAGGAACAATTATATAACATATTTGGTTTACAAAACCCTTATTAAAAGTACAATAAAACACAAATCACATTTTATAAATAATAAAACAGCATGTAGTAATATTAGAGGAATAAAAAATGACAATTTTAATTCCGCCGGATCTTCATCAGTTAATAAAATGACAAATCCAGGACATACATAAAAAAATAATGAAATCGTAGATACCATTGACTTTAAAAATTACACTACGCTTCGATAATATTTACTATACGGCAAGAGGCATGACAGGGAAAAGAAAATACCGTAATTTACGGCTTGCCTATATAATTAATGACAATATACATCTAGTCTACTAATCTAGCTAACATATCTGACTTATAACGATTTATCTGACGATTTTATGTACAATAGAGAAGACGTTCACACTCTAACAATAAGCACTTTCGCTGAGTAGACAAAAAATGTACAATGCGTTTGTTGTGATATATTCATAGTGGACTTCTATGATTACATTGGTAGCTATGGCTAAATTTTAAATAAAAGTTGGCCATATCGGACAATTTGAATAATATTTTGGTACTCAACTTTTGTACTAAACCGTCGATCTCGACATAGTCCATCTTATTTGACATTATAACCCATAGCTTAGCTTAGACTTTGATATGCTTCATGATATAACAGACTAGGACTATTAACTATTTCGTAAGTAAAACTAAGTAGATTTCTGAAGTGGATTTTGATATCGTTGGTAATTGAGATTTCGTTTACTTGGAAAACAGACGAAAAATAGGATCTTCATACTTGATTCTTGCACAATTTCTTACTTAGATAGGTAGAAATACAATATAGGATAAGTACTGCTATTTCTGCGGCTAACTAGATTTCTGCTGTAATGGCGTTCTGTCACTTCTGCTGACCTCACAGTTGCAGTTCTTGTATTTTTATCCATTTTTGGCTACCAAATCGGTAGTTGAATGGTCAAGCTAGGCGTCCAATGAACTAGGTTTGACTGGGACTGAATGAATCTGATATTCGAATTGCTAAGAATGGTTTTGCCAATAGTGCTTTCTTGATAAATTCTTAAAATTTATTTTTTATTTATAGATATTTTAGCGAACTCTAGTCGTTATTGATTTAGGAATATGTTTATCATTTATTTAATTGTGTACAGCTATAATTTTAAGAGTATTTTTTTATGTTTGTTGTTGCTATTTCCATATTATTTATTAGATTAAGATTTGTATTGTATGTAATTAAGATTTGTATAAATTGTAATATTCCAAACACATTATTATAATGTAGTAAAATATCGCAACACTTATTAATGTGTTGTCATATTACATAATACACGTACCTATATTTCGGTTGGTCGTAGACGAAAAACATCAAACTTAGACAATTAAATAGGGCTTGCTCACTTCCAAGTTTATAATAAATTGACTAATTAAGAATATGATTTTTATGATGGTATCGTAGGTTTTGGACCTAAATGTAATGTGTTTTGTATGACTAGCACAAGAAATTTAAGTATTTTAACCTTTTAAATGCTATTTATTATATGAAATGCTTCTTAAAAATGAGATGTGTTAAACATAATGTAGTGAAATTATAAATTGTGGGTCGTGAAATGTCGTAATGTTGCATTTAAAAGGTTAAAAGACGATGTAATTGATAAAAAATTAGTTCTATCATTGATAGACGTGGAATGGGATGAGACTGAGAAGGTAAAATTCAAACGAATGCTTAGCTAATACACCGCAAAGCTGATCAATGCAATTATTTTGTCATATCAGCTATGGAAGTCCCCTTAATGACTAGTCGTAAGGATTCGCTTAATGTAACTATTTATTAATAATAGTTATTTTATTTTAAAAGTCTGTGTGCTTGAGGTATCTATGTTATTAAGGATTTCAAGCTAGTACCTACAGTTGCTACGCTGTCATATTAAGTTTAAAACAAAAGAAATTAAGTTGCAATGTTCAATTGTTTCACGTTGTATTTGTAATATTGCTGAATATTCTATCGATTAAATAATTATTGAATATTAAATAAAAACGCTATGTCTCATATTTATATTATTGTTTTATTACTAGATTCCCCTATTACCCGGTTACTTATGAAAATAAGTATCATTCACCAAACAAATTCAACGTTGGCATGAATTTTTTTTAATGAACTATACAGGGATGTAAGGAACGTCGTTACGAATACTGAAATAGTGTATTCAGACCATCATTCTGAGTCAAAAATCATTGGAATTTTCCCTTGGAAAATTATATCGTTTCCAGTAGATATCGTATAAGAGTAATATTTGTATTCCGCGCAAACAGTCTACGCACACAACACAAGTTGACAGTGGGGGGGGAGGCCCCACGAGCTTCGGCTGTTTGATTAAGTATATTGCAGTTTTTAACCGTATGCGGTATTTATTAAATTGTTTTCGGTAAAATATTCTGTTTAGTCATTGTAATATAATTTACAAAAAATGCAAAATTATAGAAACAAAAATGAATTTTTCGGCAGAAAATTCCACTGATTTTCGACTCAGAATTATGGTCTGAATACGCTATTTCAATATTCGTTAAAACGTCCCCTACACCTTGTACATCTTGTTGTTCTGAGTCTGGGTGTTCTTAGTGTCCGTTTCATGTATGTTTGTAAAATCCCCCACGACACAGGATATTTTCCTAATTGTTGTCGGAGTTGTCTTTAAAAAAAAAAATAACTAAGTAAATAGTCTGCCATAGAGCGAGATTCAAATTGAGAAATAATATTCCTTATCTTTAATAAGAGTTAATCAGTGGATTAAGCAAGAGAGATAACTTAAGACCTCAAAATATGTTCAATTTATCTATCAATCAAATCAATAGATGTTTTTTGTCTCGCCGAAACATCATAGCAGATTAAAATATGACTTGCTGAACAGGCGACAAGCAGAGGTGTGACTCGCTTTTTGTCCATACAAGAACGACATTTTAATAGAAAGACAATTTGTAGTACCCCATATTGTAATATTTATTACAATACAAATTATTAATTCTGTTTAAACAGAACAGTAAGACTTAGGTCTTTTTTGCCACTAAATCATCTTAAAAAGCATTTTTTACAGTTTTTATCTTTGTATTTCATTATCTACAAAATGAAACAAATGCTCTGAAAAATGGAACAGTGAAAGTAATCTATTTTATCTCTAAGATTGAATTCGTTAATATTTTAACAAGAAGTGGTGCCTGATAAGATTCTGAATGATTTGGTATTCAAAAGAAAACACAGAAGTAAAAAAACTAGAATTTATTATTAACAAAGGATATAATATAAAACCTAAACGAAAACGGTACAAAACATTAGCGTTCCTAATAATACAAGTTACACGTATATACATATATTCTCTATTGCCAATAATTCTGTAAAACACACCATGCTTCTGTTATAGTTTCCCTTTAACATATCATAGGGGTCATCCACGTAATTGTCATTAGAATCTCATAAGATTCAATTTTAGTTGCCAGGAATCTTTAATACAAGAAATAACAAGGACACAAATTTATTCTATTATCAGACTTTTGGAACCACAAAGACAGGAAATTGTAACTTGAGACTTGCAAAATTATTTTTCATTCTATGTTTTATGATATAGAGGGCAAACGAGCAAAGGGATCAGCTGCTGGTAAGAGTGACGACCGCAACCTAAGAATTAGACAAGTTGCCTTGTCATTTTTTGAGTGATGGATTCGAGGGGGTGGTGTTCGATAAACTCACTTATTACCTTTTCAAGAATTATTGCATGATTGGAAAATATTCATATAAACTACTTATTCATGTATCTATCTATAAAGCATAGTGTAAACATGAATTTAAAAAAAACGGCTAACGTACCATCTTTTGTAAAATTAATATGAAAATTCTTCAAATAAGAAATCTTTTTTCTAAATTATAAACTAAATACTACAATTATACGATTTCTCATTCAAATTGTTTTCATTCGTTTTATAATCTTAACATCTAAAATGCTTACATTTACTATGGCCTTTTAAAAATAATTTCATTGTAAACCATTTAACTGAACAAGAAAAAAATCAACACATGAAAATGTTTTGAAATATAAGCATTAATCGTAGAATAAATAAGTTAATAAATTAGATAAGTCTTTACTTTGGTGGTAAAAATAAAAGCCTCAATGTATGCTCTTTTACCTTCCGCACATTTTGAATAACGTATTTATGAATTAATTGTCAATCCAAATCAAACCACACTTCCTTCCGCCGAGACTTTTTCCCAAACTACCTTGGGGTCGGCTTAAAGTCTATTACGTTACGGCTGAACTTATATTTTTTACGCGGAGCGACTGGCATCAGACCTCCACAACCCAAGTACTAGTACAAGTAGGCGATATCGAAGTTCTGTAGAAAGACTGTTGTTGAACTGTTTAGGGCTCCAACTCCCCTAACGATTGCCACAGGTGTTCGTATGGCAACCGGGACCGACGCCTTTACATGTTCTCCGAGGCACAGAGGGATCTCTTTGTATTAACAATGGTCACCCATCCACAAACTGACCTGGATATGATTGCTTAACTTTGCAATGTGTTAACCTACTCGGTTACCACTTGGCCACGAGCAAGGTCTATTTCTAGGTCTATTTGTGGATAACTTTGATCTCTTTTTACAATATTGTCAGGTACAGTACTGAATATCGTTGATTATCCATTATTTTGTAGAAATTTTATTATTATGACGACTAAGTGAAAGTAAAAGAGCATAATTTACAAGAACATCCATTATTTACGAGTAGGTGTAACAATAATATAAATTAAATGACTTCATCTCAAATCATCTCACAGGGAGTCGAACTCTGACACATCACTAGTCTGAAAAAAAAACAAAAAAAATATAATATCATGATCATCTAATCATCCAGCGGAGGAAACACCAATTAAAGTATTAAAAGAAAACAAATAAACATCTATAAACCAATATTTTTTATAAACAAACTGGTCAAATAAATTAAAGATATCACACAAATCCATTTTACCTTAAACACATTTTGTTTTATGTAGAGTTAAGCATATACACTACGATTACAATATGTTTAACTACTGCTATGACTACAAGTTTCAGCACATGAGAATTCTACTAATACAGGTCGCTAAGAGTGTTATAGAACATGGAGTGCAAAGATACCCACAAGGTCCGGTTTGTAGAGGTGCACGTGGGGCAGTAGGAAGGTGGAACCGAGGTCACGCTCAGCCATCGTGTTGGCCTCCTACACATGCGTGCAATTATGATTTTAGCTTATAAGAGTACCTATTCTGAAGTTACAGAATAAACTAATCCTGTCAGCCAGATCCAACTGTTGTGCGTTTAGTTATTGTTTTTGGGATTTATTTGTAACAACAGAAAAGATTAAGTTTTGGAAATAGCGAAAAGGTACTAACAAACTAATGGTGGAAAACATAACTACGAAATTAAAGCTACTAAATACGGTGCTAGCAAACCCTCAGGAAACTCTAAAAAAGTTTAAATAAATAAATATCAAATCATCAATATATTTATAATTTTTGACAAAAAAATATTCAAGCATATAAAAATTAAATTGAGATTAAATGTATAAGACGTAGTAGATAGAGCAAGTAGAAAGCAGTTCATAGAGACCTGGTGTGTAAGACGCGTTGACGAAGCAGCTCTCCCAGTACTGGCTGGTAATGTTCCACCAACTGATCTAGCTTCTGATAGAGTTCTGGAAATGATATAAAGCCTTGTGCAATGCTATGTAAAGCAGTTATTTAATATCTCATTAAGACTTGACTTACAGTTCTCCGAGTCTTCGTTCAGCGTCTGTCCATTCTGATAAGTCTTCTTGGCTAGAAAATATAAGAACTTTTGATTGTACTTAATTTGTTTATTTAATTCAGTTTATTCCATCGTCCAGTTCATCGTTATTTAATTTCATGCATTATTTCAGTCATAGCTATGATATATATAAACGCAATAAACGATAGAATCGCCTTGACTAATATGAAACAGTCTTGTAGGCAGGCTAAACAAGCTTAGGTTATTGGTAAATTAAAACAGAACCTTATTTTAAAAATTGAAAAAAATCTGATAAAACAAACAACAGGTAGGAGACACAAAACAACAAAACATAGGAGAAACAAAACAAACAAACAGGTCGGTAGGAGGAAATACCAGGTATTAAAGTCTAAGCATTGACCGTGTGGTGACAAATTAAGAATACGGAATTTCACCACCCCTATTCATCCCGTGGGTATCGTAAGAGCCGAATAAGGGAGCAAACTACACAGCACAACAGCACTGCAAAGAGAAGGATAACTTGAAACAAACCCTATACCAACCGGTCTGGCCAACGTGGTATAGTAGGCCTCCTTTCTAAAGAGGGCTTATGTCCAGCAGTGGACTGTTATAGGTTTTTAATGAAATTATAAGTATACCATATTTATAGAAGATTCGGATTTTTAGACATAAATTAGATATAAACATTGCAGAAACATACATTGCAGAAACATGCATCACTGAAAACAAAAGTATTAACTTTCTTTCCTAACTCAGGTTTTTTACTGATTCTCAAACGATTTTGATTACAATAACCATTTAATAACAGACTGTATAAAAGTAAGACCATCTGAAGAAATTTTATAAAGAACGTGACAATAGTCCTGATATCAATTGCTTTCTCGGAATGATACCCCTTACTACTCGTGACAATGCACATTACCTATAAGTCTTCCTTAGCGTATCAAAATGAGACAGTTCCGCTTCTAAATCTCCTTTGTTGACCGAAGATAGATCATCTCGCTCCGATTTCATTACAGTCTCGTCTGGTCTTATTGTTGTAGATACTTTGAATCCAGCTGATACCAGCGCTCCTGTAAATTATAAATAATTAAATTTCTATGCATAGCACAGTGAATACTATTAAGCTTCACTTTTTTTTTTACTTTAGTTGATATATTTCATTGGCATAATTGTGTTGTTGGCTATAATACTTTCCTTAAGTTCTTCTAATTCTGTACGTGTCACAATACTATATATGTTCTGATTCTGTACACTACGAGGGTGCGTTTTTAAGTTCGCGGAATGAGAGGGTTGGAGGGGGGTGATTAGGCTCATAAGAATCGTCACGTGTTCAGTGACTCATAATTAGTATAAATACCAGGTTTCCGGAGAATACTAGGCTTCAATATTAGAGTGACTCAAAGAAGCCATTAAAGAGAAAAGACGGGGAAAATTGACAAAAGGTGTGTTATTTTTGCACGACAACGCGCTCGTCCACAAGAGCCGCGTTGAGTTGGCTGCCCTGCATAAGGTGGGCTTCGATATTTTGAATCACCCACCCTACAGCCCAGACCTGGCCCCCAGCGATTATTACCTGTTTCCAAAAATGAAAAAAGAGCTGCGAGGTAAAAAAATTACCAACGATGATGAAGGCGGCAGGAAGGAGGCAGTTTCGGCGTATTTTGAAGACAAAGAGAAAACATTTCTTTATGAGGGTTATAAACAAATGAATTGAAAGATCTGAAAAATGTATCCGTCTTGCAGGTGAATATATTGAAAAGGAATAATAGTTTGGTTTTTTTATTTCCACCCCTTATACCCCATTCCGCGAACATAAAAACGCTCCCTCGTAACATTATGATTGTGTTGCAATGTCATTAAAATAAAACTTCTTTCTTTCTTCTTCTTTCTAATTATTTTGTATAGTTCTCGATCGAATGTTATGTTCAAATGACTGCAGTGCAGTTTATGTTTAAAGTAGTGCAGTATGAAAATACTTTATAGCTAGATTATAATTTAACCTCAACAACATGTTGGTCATGCATTTATCTACAAATGTTTTAATCTTCATTGTATATTTTTTTAGAAGTAAGAAGAAGTGAGAAATAAATGCAATCTTTGATTAAGTATTTAGCCGTTTGCGGTCACAATGTTCCTAATATGGTGGAAGTGCTCGTTCTGAGATCTCGATTGATCAAACTAGCGCAGCGCATATCGCATCCAGAAATTGTCTCTTTTCTTGTAAAGAGAATTAGGATTCGGTTTTGCGACGCTGCAAACTTATTGGAAATAAAATACCTTGTTTATTATGTCTGTCTTTGTTAGCACTGTATGAAGATTCCAAACTGTGTTTTCTTCTCATCTGAAAAATAAAGTCAATGTAGTACATATCTCAATTACGCATCAACTCACGCTAATATTTACATGTTTTTGAAGCTTGACCAGTCGGGAACTGCTGATTTTATAGAAAAAAAACTCACACTCAATCTTTTTCTACTATCTAGTATGTTAACCATCCTAATGTCAAAGCCATGTTACATAAGACAACACTTTAATGAAATACACTTAATGTATTTACGTTTTAATAAATACGTACACATTACGAGTATGTACACATTTATTTAACCCAAAACTTTTATAATTTTCTTACCTTTTCTCATATTTGTTTCAGGCCAGTGCATTGTCTTTTCTACTTCCATCCTACTCTATCATTCGTATACCTACTTCTCATTTATGCGTTTTATTTATTTATTTTTGCAACTTTGTGCACAAATAGATGCAACTTAATGCTAATGGCATTCTCTACCAGTCGACCGATTGGGCGATGCAAAAAACACATATACAAACTTTCAAATATATGAACTTTACATGTAAATATCTTACCTCATCGTTATTATTTACAGCACCAGACTCTAAGTAGCTAATCAACTTTGCTTCACTACTGAGCTCCAAGCTTCTCTTTCTTGAGATGTTTTCTCGACTAATAAAAAGTAATAAATTATTAAATTGTAATCTATTTCTTATATTAACAATATGGGATACAATGTTATACCTATCTCCGTGATGTGCATGTAACCTGGCTCTTGGGATCATAACGGCTGGACCTGGTGGAGGCGGAGGTGGGTCATGAGCAGGAGGGTCCGAAATTACACATTTCTTGCTAGTAGATGATCTGTGCTGCTGAAAATTTAAATGAGATAATTAGTTATTGTCTGCTTTAACCCAAGGGTATGTTGTGGCAATATGCACAGTATCATCTAAAAAGCAGAATTTCCACAAAGCATGATCATTATCACGCTTTACTGTAGTAAAAAGTAAGTGTAATGCTACAACGCAGTCAAGAAAAGATCATCCGACCAGACTTGGTAATAGATAATGGCCAGCCATGGCCTAATTGTGATAGTATTAATAATAGGGGTTAAAGTATGAAATTGCCTTTCTATAGTAATAGATACTTTGAATTGACATAAAACCTTTTGGTGTGAGATTTTTGTGTGAAAGTTTTTCACATGATACCTATGAGGTTCTTCTTTTAAAAAATGTGCAACATTCGATTTTAGACTTTCAATTGTTTATTTTTATCAGCTTAGACGTGAAATGGTGATGGGTACGGATAAAAGCCGAGTCATTTTTAATACGAGTTCAGACTTGGAACCAACATGGCAGAAACTTCTCGCAATATCAACGCTGCGTTTGGAGAGGAGACTTGTAATGAACGCACCGTGCGTTTTTTGTTTAAACGCTTTCGTAATGGAAACTTCGGCTCTAAGAACGAACCACGTGGAAGCCCGCCATCACAGGTGAATAACGCTGAAGGCGATGATGGAAGCCGATCCGAGTCAAACTACCCAGGAATTAGCAGCATACTTTAACGTTACCCTACCTACAATATCGACAGTTTGTCGAATCTAGATCCCCATATCGTAAAGCCATAAGTGATTGACGATCTGTTTAGATGCCATGTATAGATAATAAGGGTAAATATTTTGATTAAATAAATATGTTACATCCTAGAAAAATAACCCGAGTTTCAGTTTTTCAGTACAAATCGGCAATTTTATACTTTAACCCCTAAAACGTATTCATGTGACAATGTTCAATTTTAAGTACTAAAATTGATCGGCTTGATCGTTAGATAGTGTTGGCTTTATGGAAACATTATATCATCTTACTTTAGCTGGCATATAAGGGAGCGATGCATTATGTAAACTAGAAGCGTCTCCAGTTTCACCTCGCTCGCTGATTAAAGCTCGACGATCAGCGCGTTGCTTTGGCATAGCTCCCTGAAATATATAATTGAAATATATTTTGGTGAAAAGTACGGCAAATTTATGTAACAATTCTTTTTTTTAACAGACTCAAAATGTGTATTCGGATACGGACAGAGTTCCATACGACTTTAGGTATAATGTAACTTAACTAATTTAATTTTATCCAAATAAATTTCTCGGTTTCAAGTTTAGTTTTCCAGATATGGGTTGAACTAATCAATGATTCATAGAAGCGACAACTTTAACGTACCTGGTGCAAACTAGGCATGCTTTGTATACATGCTACAATTGATCTTTGTGGGTGTGGTGGTCTTCGAGTACGTCGAGAACACGCCAACACTGCGCATACAGCCAACACGGCAGACAATAATGCACCGCACACTACCAGGGATATCAGTACAACTGGAAATGGTACAGATAAACACCACATCAATGTATTGGTTCAAGAAAATGCATACTTTACTATTAAGTACTACAAAGTACTCATGTCAACACCTCACTAACATTAATTTTAAAAAAGACTCAATACTAACTGATAAATTAAAAACTAATTGTTTTAGATTCACGAGGAACTGCTTGTGACTATAAAGATATTTTTTACTAAACCTGTACATTGGTTCATATGTTATTGTACAAATGGATCCCCAGGAGCCTTAATTATAACCACTGACTCTTTACAACTAGTTTTATTAATCACTAGGTAACACTGTACACAATAGGTAAAAGGATGTTCGTTCAATACAAAGAAATCAAATCAATTTATATTGATTGCGGTAACGAAACCATAACGCGATTTAGCAAAACGGCACAGCGACATCTATCGAAGAGCAATGTAACATATTTCAATTTATACATTCCGCCCACCAAGGACATATTAATAAAACTATGTCCTTAATAATGTAAAATAACTGATTCCGCCCACCATGAGGTAAAGGGGATTGGTAAACAAAACTAATGAAATCCGCCCACCATGAGGTCAAGGGGGATATGTGGTAAGACTTACGACTACAAGCTATACTACTGAAACTTACAACTAGATTATCAATCTGCTATTGGCAAAACACACAATTTATTTGTTGGCCGTTTAAAAACAGAATCCTTGCATTTCAAAGTTACGACTCTAGTGATTCCGTCCGAACCCGGGTGTTTTAATAAAACCCTACCGAGTAACCACCTACCAGGAGGCAAATTGTCTTCCTTGATCAGAACCACATCACCTATCTTTGGTTCAGGTTCCTTTTGGGACCACTTATAACGGTGCAACATTTGGGTCAGATATTCCTGAGACCAACGTCGCCAGAAGTCTTGTGTCATTTTTTGAAGCAACTGCCATCTTTTCAGTGTGCCTACATTAGAGTGTTCATAGTTACGATCCGGTGCAAGAATCAACGGCTCTCCTATCAAAAAGTGACCAGGTGTAAGGGGCATTTGGTCTTCTGAATTTTGCGAAATTTGAGAAATTGGTCTAGAATTGAGACACGCCTCAATTTGGACCAGAAGAGTAGACAGCTCCTCGTAAGTGAGAGTGGAGTCGCCAATGACTCTCTTCATGTGATATTTAGTTGATTTAATGCATGCCTCCCAAAGACCACCAAAATTTGGAGCGTGCGGTGGTATAAAATGCCACTTAACACTGTTGGAGCTGAGCCAATCCCTAATTTCATCAGCGACCAATGACTGTTCCGCATTTACTAGGCAGCGTAACTCCTTGGAAGCACCTACAAAATTCTTTCCGTTGTCACTCCAAAGGTCACTGCAGTGACCTCGTCTGGCAATGAATCTTTTAAACGCTGCAATAAAAGATTGTGACGTGAGATCGCTTACGACCTCCAAGTGCACCGCTCTCGTAACCATACATACAAACAAAGATATGTATCCCTTATAGGACTTGTTGCCGCGACCTTTGGACACTCTAATATTGATTGGACCTGCGAAGTCCACTCCACTGTGTACAAATGCTCTGGCTGGTGTAACTCTGCACAAGGGTAATTGTCCCATGAATAGGTTTTTAAATTTAGCTAAGTGTCGGAGACAAGTTACACATCTACGTGCAAATGATTTGGCTGTGCCTTTTGCCGAGATTATCCAGTATTTCGAGCGCAAGTAATTCAACATTAGAGTGGGTCCTCCATGAAGTGTTTTTCTATGGGCTTCATCAACAAGCAGGCCAGCTAGGTGACTATGTTGAGGAATAATAATGGGGTGTCTCATGCTTTCAGAGAGTTGAGCATGTTCTATTCTTCCTCCTACTCGCAGTATTCCTCGTGAATCCAGTATGGGACATAGTGCCTTTAATTTGCTTTTAGTCTTAACTCTTCCTGATCTCTTAACATCGTCTATGTCTTCACTAAATGATTGCCGTTGAAAATCTCTAATACAAATTTCCAGGGCCTCATCTAATTCCTCGCTGGTCAGGTAAGTGTGTCCTTTCCTTTTTATTTTAAAAAATCTTCTGCAATACGCCACAACTCGGACCTTGGTCGTCGTTTTATCCTCCCGAACTACGGCGTGGTGAGGTAAGTACACAGCCTCCGTTCTCTGAGTGTCCGTTACGGGATTGATTACTTCTATGTGACCAAGGTCGAGGTATTCTTGAATGACCTCAGTATACTTCTGTTTCATCTCTGGATCCTTCTTAAAACGACGTTCAAGAAGGTGAAATCGTCGAAGCGCAATGTCTCTGGTATGGCCGTATTTGCACTGTGGGTCTGAGTCTCTAAATGGTAAACTGACAACATACCGACCAGTGCTGTCTCGTTGAGTGGTTTGCTTGAAGAAGTCTTCGCATAACTGTTCTTCCTGGGTAAGTATTTTCTTCTTACTGTATGCGTCAGATTCGATTTCCCAAAATCTTTTAAGCATTTCATTGTCACTGATCTGCGAATGCATGCTTACCAATGCCGGGTGACAATGTGCTGAATCCAAATTCGAATCTCTGTGTGTTCGACCAGACAAAATCCAACCTAACCGTGTATTTTGTGCTATCAAGGGTCCAAGAGGGTGCTTGATTAAACCCTCTTTGAGTACCTGGCCATAAACTTCAGCTCCAAGCAAAATATCGATTTTGTTTGGATTGTGGTACTCTGGATCTGCTAAAACTATTTCTTCTAGTTGATGCCACGTTGGTACTAATACTTTATCACCTGGAAGTAACGATGTAATATTACCCAAAACATATGCCTGAACTTGGATGTGAAAATTAGGATCGTGACGTGATTTAATAGTTACGAAAACGATAAACTTGGAGACCATAGCTCCACCGTCACCTCCTATGCCTGAAATGATACCTCTTGCGGGTGTCTTTTTGAGTCCAAGTAACTGAACTGCTGATTCGGTTATGAACGACGTCTGGGATCCTTGATCCAATAACGCCCTCAGCAGGTGGTTGTATCCGTTGCCTGTCTGTGCTTCGACAAGAGCGGTTGCTAATAAGACCTGATTTGGAACAGCCTTCTTACTAAAGTGAGTGGTTATAGCGGCAGCATTTAATTCCTGCACCGCATCGGAAGCAGTACTCGATGTAGCTACTGCCGACTTGACTACTGACGTCGTCTCTGCAATGCCTCTAGACGACGTTGATCCTGAGGATTCCTTAGGGTGTAATAAAGAGTGGTGTTTGCGATTGCAAATCTGACAAGTGGTGGGGACACGACAAAACTTAATAGAATGATTCGACCCTAAACAATTAAAGCATAAGCCACTAGTTCGAACGAAATCACTACGTGTTTTATAGTCATTTTTACAAAACTGTTTACAGTGACTAAGTTTATGGGGTTGTTTACAGAATGGACAGCTTGCTTTAATAGGGGTATCGTTTTTGGAAGCAACCGCATGAAGAACTCTTGGTTTGTAACTTGACCTTTGTCTACCACTCTGTGTATCCAAGTACTCTAATGACCGAAATCGAGACTCTAGAAACGTTTTAAATTTGTCAAATGTTGGTAATTCCTCACAGGTACCAACCGTTGACTCCCATAATTTTCGTGACTCGCTATCTAATTTTTCGCTGATTAAGTATATTATTATAACATCCCAAGAGTCAACGCCAACACCAATAGTTGATAGGCCATTTATGCAGTCTACAGTTGTGTCCAAAAGCTCCTTAATAGCGCCTGCTGATTCCAAAATATTCGATTGATTTATTAATCTCTTTAACATAGCGTTACACAAATACCGCTTGTTGTCATAACGCTTAGTTAGCAACTGCCAGCATTCCTGGTAATTGGCAGCTGTGACTGGAGTGTGGCGCAACAATTGTTCTGCCTCACCCGCCAAATGACCTTTTAAATAATGTAACTTCTGTACATCATCAATTGCATCGTTGTTGTGAATTAGCGATAAAAATAGATCACGAAATGATATCCATTCTGTATATTTTCCCGAAAACATTGGAATAACGACTTTAGGTAATTTAACATTATTATACATCTTTATTACCGGTTGCTTATCTGAACCCTTAGTCGGCTTTGCAAGTTTTGAAATGTGTTCTCTCAACTCTGATTTGTATAAAATATAACTTTCTTCGGTGCTATCGTATGTATCTGCTTTAAAATAACTATGTTCATTATCTTTTGCAAGTTCTACTATCTTTCTATGTGTTTCTACAAAAGACTTCCATTGTTGTTCCAAAGTTTCCAATCTGGTCTCCAGGAACGAAGGTGTTAGACGTTCTTTAGGTGATTTTTTATAATTTACTCTGCCCTTCTCAATGGAATTCTTTGCATCATTTTGCAACTTTATTAATGCTTCCATGTTGAAGTTAGAAGTTTTTGCTTGAATGCGTCACTCACTTACTCCAAATTTACAATACTTCTTAATTTCTCCGATAGGGGGCGCTTGTAACTCCTCCACACCACCGCTATTATTCGCCTGTATTGTCCGCTTCAATGACACTCCGCTGTATAATGCGCTTTCAACACGCTGCTGACAGCCAAGTGACTCCACACCCGTGGCGCCCTCTGCTGTTGACGGAATACGTCGCTGAGGCCTCTTCGTGGCGCTAAGCGGCGGCAGCACTTCAGAGCGATCCACTCTGATTTCTACGCTGGTGAAGCACTAAAAATTGCACGCGTCGACACTACCGCGCACTGTATCCGGCTGAGAAGGACCATGTACAAATGGATCCCCAGGAGCCTTAATTATAACCACTGACTCTTTACAACTAGTTTTATTAATCACTAGGTAACACTGTACACAATAGGTAAAAGGATGTTCGTTCAATACAAAGAAATCAAATCAATTTATATTGATTGCGGTAACGAAACCATAACGCGATTTAGCAAAACGGCACAGCGACATCTATCGAAGAGCAATGTAACATATTTCAATTTATACAAAAAGAAAAAAAAAAAAAATTGATAAAAAGAATTAAAATAAAAAAAAAAAAAAAAATAAATAAATAAATTATTGATTAAAAGTAAATAACTTCTTTGTTAATGGGGACAACCGAGAAGAATGATCACCTGATGAAAAGTAAATACCACTGCCCAGAAACACCGACACTCACGAGTCACATGTGCGTTACCGGCATTTAATTGCCGCTGAAAACATCCACGGTAAAACTATATATATATAACTATATCCACTTAACTAATTAACTTTTCCCCAATTTTTTGATCCTTTTATAACTTTTAGAGCGATTATAACCTTCGTAATCTATATTTTTTTGCTATTAAAATCATTGTCAACTCACCCTTCAAGTTAATTTGACAGGAACTACCAGAATACCACTGGAAACATTCACACAAGATTCTTCTATCATCCCGAGAGTAGCACGCGCCGTGATAATTGCACCGCTCGCAGCCAACAGGTTCAGCTATAAAACAAAAATGAAATATATTAGTGGGAAGGGGTTGATTTTCCCTCCATATTCAAAATTATAAACTAATTATTACATCAATAATGGTTAGCTATGATCTTTGGAAATAATTAAAAAAAAAACAAAAAACAGTACTTTACCAGTAAAATTTGTTAAAATATGTATAATACCGTGGGTCTTCTGGGCAGTATGATTTCCTATTGGCAAAATTCTTCAATTGCGTATGAATTATTAATTTGAAATAAATTATTGAGTCATTCCAAATACAAACCTGAACAAATCCTGCCAGGGTAAAGAGTGTTTACGCTGAGGTCAGCAAAACCTTCCAGGCAGCTGCAAGTGTAAGTGCCGCGTAAATTGAAGCACTGAGCATGTTCAGAACAGTCATGGAATTGGCCGCTCAGACATTCGTCGAAATCTGTAACATTCATAACAAGCAATTAGTATTTTATGTGAACGTTTTTTTAATGATTCTTATTTGAAACGGAAGCTCGAAAACAAAGCCCAGTTCCTAACCTAAAGAATCAGAAACTTGAGATACTAAAGACATGAGTTGAGTCACTGCTATTCTTTCCCGCCACCTAGAAACGATGTATTAATCTAAGTTTGAGCTAAACTGAAATGGACAAAAATAAAACTCAAGCGGTCTTCAACGCATAATCGTTACTGCTCTTTTCTCTTTTAAATATGAAGCCCCTTTCAAATTCACAACTCTATCGTTAAGGTACATGGATCGTACGATGGCCGGTAATAAGAATCTTCCAAAACTGCAGCGATGACCACAATCATTAGTTGCACAGGGTCCTTACTACCGAAATCGAACAAATAAAGTTTGTTTAGTTTGCATCTCCATTTTAATTCTTGAATATATTGCCGCAGTAATATAAAACAACTATGTACTTACCGCTTACATTCAGCTTATCCATCAGTTCCCTTGCAGCGTGAACATCAGTGCCGCCTAAACTGTAATTGTTGTGCCGCAAATACTTCTCAATCACCTCTTTCAATCTGCTTTCGTGTGCATTGTCTGAGAGCTAAAACGGAGACACAGTTTAAAAAGTAGTGATGTTTTCCTTAAAAATAGACTGTAATATTTAGTATATATATTTTTGCAATAATAAATTCAATAGTCGAAAGACTTCTATAAAATCCAGGGCCAAAAGATATAAATATTTTTGAGATGTTTTCTAATGTACTCGGCGAGAAGTTTTAATAAGTTATCATTAACATTAGATTAACAAGAAATTAAATAAATTATATTGTACCTGTACGTAGAAATCATTCATAACACCCTGATAGAGCTCTCCACTTGGACTCTTTAGCTCAACTGGATGGAAACCTGTTATGTGCACACCATGATATACATCTCTTAAGTCCGATTGCATTACCATCCTGTTGATGCCTTCGTGGGTCGCCAAAGCAAGAGCGTGATATAGCTTGCTTGAATTATCTGATAGATACTCATGGTATTCCAGACGTTTATTACCTTGGGAGCCTAAGGCTAACTTGACGGAGTAAGTGTAGGTAGCTAAAAATAATAATAATTTCAGAAAGATTGTTACAAAGTAAGTTTTAAGTAACAAACTTACAAATTCATAAGTTATAAATATAAAGTAAAATTGTGTCACAGTTTTTATTAAGTCTATTTTAGTTTTGAAGTTTATCTTATTCATCACCATCATCAGCCTATCGCAGTCCACTGCTGGACATAGGCCTCCCCCATTGCACGCCACTTAGATCGATTTTGGGCTTCTCGCATCCAGCTTCTGCCAGCCTTCTTGCGCAAATCGTCATCTTATTAATTCAATATTATAGCAAAAAGCCTGCACTTGGTGGTGATGATGTGCACTTACTTTGAAATTAGCTTTTAAAGAAACATCCGAAGATTTTTATTAACTACTATTAAAAATTGTATAAGTAGCATAAGCAAAACAGATTTCTCCTCGTAGAGCATTCTGAATAACGGAAATGACAACTCATTTATCTATTTTTTAAAAGAAAGAAGAAGAGGGAGTTTCTGCTGATTTGATAAAGAGCTCCCTAAAAAGACCACTACCACTAAGAGTGAAGGTAATGAACAACTATTTTACTTACGTTTACAAGGTCTATCAGGGAACATTCTGGCAAATCCAGGTCTACAGATACACTTCATTAGACCATCGATTCTCTGGCAACGCTCATTCCTGGACGCCTTGCAATCGGGTTGACATTCCTTGCCGTAACCACCTAAAATACAAAGTAAAATATAGTAAAATTATATTTCTGTTGTAACTCAGTTGTACTCGCCTAAGTATGTACACTTACCAATAGGATTAACATTAGTAGTCTCCAAATAAGGTGTTCCCGCCAGCAATATTTCACCAAATAACACTTGTGATACTCCGTTACTATTTACTTGTTCATTTCTGGTCACATCGTAATCACTAGTTTCTAGATCAGCATTTACTGCCGGAGATTGTCCACCGTTTTGCGATTTGTTCAGCACAACAAAAAATGTGTCATTATCAGTGTCATTGTCACTCTCATTCTCAATCTTTTGTATTATATTATCAGTAGTATCTGAATCCCTGATTATAAGATTTTCATTCTCTTCAGAAGACATAGATATATCATCAAGTTGAATTTTAGTCTTAGGCACAATTGCTTGAACTGATGTTGGTTGCACTTGTGGGACAGGTATATGTTTAGTAACAGTTTCTATTATTGTAGTAGGTTGCACTTGAGTGTGAACTTTAGTCACAACATCTACTATTGTGGATGTGTGTGTATTCGTCAATACTAGAGTTTGAGTAAAAGCTCCTTCGGATTGACTGACTAAGCTTGTCTTTGTATGTGTGATAGTTAGAGTGTGTGTTAAGTTTACGTAACCGACACTAGAAACTGTTCTTGGTGGCTCAGACAATGTTTTAGTAAGAGTGACTATAGCCGTTCTGAATTCTGTTTTAGTAGGAATAATTTCATCTGAAATTTTAATTTCATTGCCGGCATGATGTGTAGGCTTTATGGTAGTTACATCCTCAATTATAGGAGTTGGTAAGTTTGATAATTTTGGTTCTTCCAGTCTAGTGATTTCTACTTGTGTTATCGATGATATGACAGTGTCTTTGAGCACTTCTGTAGGCTTCATCAATTTCTCATCAAGCGCTTGCTCAGAGCTTTCAATAACACTTGGAGCAATAATTGCTGGAGGCCTCGAAATTGGTCGAATGATTTTCTTAATTGAGACCGTTCTTGTAGGGTATAAAATATCCGGACGAGACAAGGTTTTAGTAGGCTTTATAGTTAGTGCAGTCTTTGTAGATGATTGGACTTTATTAGTACTATTTCTCTTTTCGTCTCTTTCAGTAGGGTAAGGTTTGCGGTTTCGGTTCTTATTTGCCAGAGGAACTACTTTAATTTTATCAGTGGTGACTTCTTCTTTGCTTGACCATTTATGACTGGAATCTCGCAAATTATTTTTATCATCCGGAATAGTTGAAATATTGGCTGTATTGAGAGAAGTACTAATTGATTCTGGGCTTGATTCGCTTGAAATATTAACCTGATCGGTTACAGATGTCTCCGAGCTAGATTCATCACTATGCTCAAATGACGATTCATACGAATAATTGCTTTCTAAAGAAGTTTCTTCTTTAGAATCTGTTATTTTAGATGGCTCTGAATTTTCAGGAAATTGTATAGGTGTAGGAGCAAAATTAAAACTAGATGAAAATTCAATGCCAGATGATGTCAGCCATCCAGATGAAACTGGCGTAGGGAAAACCACATTAGGCACACTAATGGTGGAAGATGGCAATTCATTCATTGGATTAACGACTCTTGTAGATACCTCTCTAGGAGGAGGCAGTAATTGTGATGAAGGCTGATCACGGTTGAAAGTCGGTCTTCTAATACCGTTGAGGTCAAAATATGGCCTATAGGTAGAAATTTCATCTCTATTACCAGGTTTTCTTAAAGGCCTCTGTGTTGTCATTCTTGAAGGAATAGGCCTTGGAGACTTGGTCCAATAAGAAGGTGGGGTGCGTGATGGAGAACCTGGTCGAGGTGTTAAGGGTATTCTTGTGGGAATTCTTATACCAGGTGGAGTTCTCGGTGGAGGTGGACTCATACCCATAATCATCTCATCGTTCGTAGAAGGTTTGAAACTATAGTTCATCGTTGGTGGAGGTGGTGATAAGTCAATAATCTCACTTGAGGATCGATTCAATTCTAGATTTGGTAATGTAAATGTCGGCAAAGTTGTCTTCTCTGTAACCTTTTCAACAACCAGTGGTTTCTTATTTTGTATTTGAACGGTGGATGTAATAATGGATTCGTTATGTAAGTGAGTACTGTTTAATCGAGTTCCTAAATTTGGTCTTCGGTTTCTTTTATACTTAGTTTCTGATTCCGCAGAATAAACAGGCTTTAACGTTGAAGTTTTATCACTTTGCCTTTCTATTTTTTCTCCGATATTTAAATCCATCGTGTCTTCATATGATACATTGGTGGAATTTTCAACCATATGATTGATTTGCCAATGTGGTTGTTGCAGTTGATGATCAAGTACCATTGCCGTATTTATGGCGAATGGGCGAGGTTTCATGTATACGTTATTATTAGGATGATCATAAATGGGCTTTACAGTATTTGACTGGAACGTACTCTGGTTGTAAGATCCAAAAGGTTTTTCAGTTTGAGTTCCAGGATTAAAGTTTACTAGCATTTTGTTGTCATTTTTATCTTTTTGAATGCTTTGAGAAGAAAAAACTTCATCTTGCAATAAAGTTATTTCTGTCAATGGCATAGAAATATTGTCGATTTCTTTTGAAGAACTGACAACAGGAACTTTCATAGATTCAGAGCTAATTTCTCCATCTGAATCACCTAAATGTTCAGTTTCATCTTCTCCATCATAAATTTCTTCTGAATTTTCATACACTGGTTTTTCTTTTTCTAAAGGAAGTTTAGTTTTCATTGTTGTCATTTCATCACTGTTATCATGGATCGGTATATCATAAGCAGGTTGCTTCACACCATCGAAATTAGAAGGTATATAATTAATATGAAATGGCTTAGTGGTAAACGGTGGCGAGGTTGGGATCGATTTTTCCGTTGTTTGTGGTTTTGTAAAAGGTTTACCAATGGGAAAATTATAAACTGATTCAGCGTTTTGCGACAAAAACTCTGTTGGAGGTTTACCAACGCTAGCAATTTTTTGTCCGAAATGAGGATTTTTATTTTTATCATGATAATCACGAATTAAAGGTATTACTTTTCTAGTTGTTACTTCTAGATTTATGTTGTTTACGTTATTTCCAGTGAAAACACTAGAGTACCACCCATGTGAATTCGTAGGAATATTTGGTATTAGTTTTGTTCTCTTCACGTCTGCTGATTTAATGTTATCTGCATAATTTGTGACGAGCTTAACGTCCTCATTTGCACTTGAAGGTGTCGTATCACCATTAATCATAGGGAAATTTGCATGGCTATTTATTGAAGGTGATACACTGTTTTTATTCACTTTATCACCATAATTTTGGTTATAGTAATTGCTACCACTAATTGTGGTTTTTATTGTATCTGTTGAACTTTTGTTCCACCGATTATCTCCTACTGAAATCTGTGTAATAGAATTGTTATGTGCCATTTGATCATGTTGACTGTGGACTATATAAGGATTTCTGACTTTTTCCTGCTGCAGGTTATAGCTTTCTAACGGAGCCGTATTATCTTCAACTTTGATAGCAAAATTTGTTTTAATAGGGATATCTGTATTAAGTTGATCACTATTAGTCAATGCTCCAACTGCAACTGGTACACTAGATCCAATAACTTGTGCTGCTTCATTGTTACTAGCAACATTCGTAGCTGTATTTAAAGTTACCGTGTAAGTATTTTTGTCATCACTGTTCTGAGGTGTGGGTGATTGATTGGCGATGTTTGCAGATGATATAAAATTAAGGGAGTTATGCATGGCATTATTGTTCTGAAAGTTTTGATCATTTCCAAAATGTTGGACTCCTTTCATCGTCTTCGGTGGTTGCAAATTATGTTGAGATTGGTGATTAAAATTAGTAAAAGACGACGGAGGAATACGAATAGTGTAGGTAGGTGTGGGTTTGTTATTTGGTATCTGAGATGCAAAATAGATTTCAGAGGTAACTTTGGGTGGCAGTTGATCAGGCACTGGATGCTGTATATTCAAAAACACTTTCATATCTTGTACAGGTTTTGTGTGAACAATCGGCCTTTGACTATATGGTTTACTTTTGTCATAAATATCTTTATTGTAATGTTGTGAAGACGGTTGTGGCGGTGGGGGTACAGCTAGATAATTTTCATAATCCTTATCAATAATATCCTTTCCATCGTTAGTTTTATCTTTTCCTCTAACTTGGTTAAACTTTTGAAAGTCGCTATTTGTAGGGCTGTATACTTCTGGATCATACACAGTTATTTGTGGTCCTACTTGTACATGTGTTTCTTGGTTACTGGTCGGAGGGGGGATGTTACCAAAGTCTAAAGGTCGTTTCATTTCTTTCCATTTAATTTTGAGATCATTTCTAAGCGATTGCTCCTTGAAATTTTCTAGATTAGATTGTCCGATAAAATGTTTATTACTACTAGGAGCAACGTTATGTACATTTGTCATCTGTGGTGCGTCTATGCTGAAACTACCGAAATAGCCTGGCTCGGGATATGGTAATGGATCATCTATGTAATCACCAGTTTTATGGGGCTCCGACGATCCAGCAAATACTAAAGCTGTACTACTACCATGAGGAATCAAAACATTTGCTACTCTTGAGGGCTGAATATCAACCAAAAACGGCTTACTCGATTCGTTATGCCCTAAATTTGCCTTATCATCATCAGCTCTTATTTGTGAATGTACTATTTCAGAAGAACTAGGATTACTGTCAGCAACCTCTATCTCCGGACTAGGTCCCGTAAAATTGTTCAGATCAATATAATGTTCAGCCTGTATATTACTTGGTTTAACTAATGAAGGTATATAGTCTAAAAATACTGGGCGGCCATGGTTACCCAAAGTTGTTCCAGTTGGTGTAATTTGTTCGGTCTTCATTAAATGGTCATGTTTAGTTGATGGCATCCGATAAGGGTACTGGTCATTTGGTGGTATATTTTGCTTGTAGAATGAGGATCCAGGTCTATACGTTGGTCTGTTAAGCTTATTCTTAGATTTGGGAGGTTCAGGTGGTCTCAAATCAAAGGAATCATCTACTTTAGTGGATATTAATGGTTGATCGCTGAGTGGCTCTTCATTTACAAAATACTGCTCATTTGCTGCTATTAAACTATCAAGAGGAGGTGGATTTACAGAGTTTTGTAGTTTAATTCCACTAGCAGCTAACGTAAGAGGTCCACCGACTGCTGGTTTACCTACAATCACATCGGAGTTTGCTGTGATAATTTCCCCCGGACTAATAGGTATACCACCATTTACTAGTGGACTTTCGTGTACAACTTTTGGAAGTACAATATGGGCTTTAGGGTGCTTGTGTTCAGCTGCCCATGCTAAATTCTGATGTAATGTAGCATTTGTAAAAGTAAGTTGAGATTCGGATGTCTCCATTTCATCAACGGGAATATAAATGGGAAAATTATATTTTTTTCCGTCCATGTCGTTGTCTACTCTTTTATTTGCATTGTAAGCTATTATCTTTTCAGCAGGTTTGATTGTCGTAGTTGTAGTTTTATTGACATTCTCGTGACGCCTAATGAAACCTCCGGTCATTTTCTCAAGAACTGGAGCCAATTGCGTAAGTCCTTTAATCCCTAAACTTCCTAATTTTAAAAGATCGGCAACAACAAATTTATTTTTATTTGGTTTCTGGGTTTTTTCTGGTTTTGACTTCTCGGGAACTTTGGTATTTACTTTATTTGTTTTTTGGGTAACTGGCGCTTGTTCATTTGTTAATAACTCACTTTGTTCTACCGAATTAGATTCTTTTTCATCAGAATAATCATTTATAACTTCAGTATATTTTTCCACAACTTTATCAGTTGGTGCTGCATTTGAGTTAGATTCGAATTCGTAAGGTTCATACTGAGTTTTTTTTTCAGGAGACTCTTTGTTAGTTGGCTTTAAATCTATGTCCCCATATTTCGTACTTTTCATTCCATATTTACTCAAAGAAGCAGACTCTGTATATTTTGTTTTCAAACTTTCAGTTTTTATATTACTACAGGAACATGAGCTAGTACAAGGAACCTTACTAACTTCAGATGGCTGTATTAATTCAAAATTGTCATTTTCATCACTATCAATACGTTTATCAATCTTAGGATAACTACTCATATACATGTTGGTTGCTGCAGACGGCTGAATAGTTTTCACTTCCATATACTTGGTCTGAAACAGTAATAAAAAATTTGAGAACTAGTTGTTTGTTTGTAAAAAGTAACGAGAATAAAACTTTGTTAAAATAAATCCTCTCCATCGTCGTTTTCATATAAACTAATACAGGCATTACAATGTAAGTACTAACTACTTTAAACTAAACAAAGACATTTTAGATGTGAAAGAGTTAGCAAAGCTTCGTTACATACATGAATCCTGCCCCGCTAAGGAAAAAGGAGACTTTTCAACATTACAAATTGACTTAGTAACTTCTATTCTGCATAAGAATAGAGCTATTAATCTCACCTAAATAAATATATGTGTAGATGGAATTAATAAATTACAATCCGCATAAGTATATAAATCACCTACACATTTAGGCGATAAGAGTTACCAAAACAATATTTAGAAAATGTCAAAATATAATCTTTTTCCAAAGACAGGGCGCCAAAGGCGGTAACTGGCGTTTAGGGATAAAAGGGTTCCACCAGGGTTTATCTAACCGGGTTCCCAAATCTTACTTTTGTCGGCTTTAAATCTGGTATGACATCAGTATTGTATAGATTGGTAAGAGATTCAGTAGTAACAACTGACACAATGGTCTCAAATGTTGAGATCGCACTCCTTTTATTGTGGACCACTGTTGTTAAGTATGTGTATGTGGTCATACAAGTCTTGATGATATAGTTATGTTGCATGAGTTGGTGAATTGGAAAAAGTGCGCTTATTTGTTGACGACTGACGACAGTAGCAACAGCAGATGAGAGCAACTGTTTTGATGTTGAAGATGGGCCGTGATGAGGTAGTAACATACTTGCGTGAATGAGCTTAAATTGGCGCTGAGAAAAAAGCGTAGATGCAGATGAAATAAACGATAATAGTAAAGCAATATAAGCTCTAAGTTAACTGATAAGTTGCTAACTATTTAATAATTAAACTACTTTAATACTTTCGGCATTAGCAAATCCTGAAAAGATGCAAATGGATCAAAATCTGACCATTATCTTGCTTGCTTACACGTGCCTATGGTATAATAAATATCTAACTCCTTAAACAAAAATTACTTAAGACCAAACAAAGTTATTTACCTGTTCATGTTTTCCATCAGAATTTTTATCCTTTACCAAGACTTCCACACCATTAGACATAATCCTTGTAGCGAGGTTCTTTAATCTCCTTTCATCATCTTCAGATTGTTTTTCTACTGAATCCATTCCTCTTCCAGGCCGCCATGGCGTATTATCATATACGATGCCATTAGTATTGAACGCTGAAATCACAATGAACTATGTAAAAAATTATGTATGCCCCAATACATCTAATTTTATTATTGATTTAAAAAAATATTTAAATTCATATCTAGGAAAAATATCACTCCGATTAAAATTAGTTTTGTTAAATATAACTCTTAAGTGTATTTTTAAATACTAAAGAAGAAATTAATACTTAATAAAAGTACAAGCTAATGCTACAGCATTAAAATTTGTGGAAGCAATACATTAATTTTGTGCAGTTAGTATTATATTAAGCTATTACCAGAAAATACTAGAAAAAAAGCTTATGCAGATATGCGCAATACAATTAAGTGAAAAAAAAAAATTAAGCGTCGATAAGGATTTATTTCGATTTATTGATTCGATGCAAGTAAGCGATTTTCAAGCGTTATTTTAATGAAATAAGTTTATATATTCAAATTTTGGAAACGTAGGAATAGTTTGCTGACTAATCTCTGTTGACTCTAAGGCAGACTTGACATATTTTTTTCGTATAATACTGTGTCAAATCAATGTAACACGATATCTAAATCTCAAATCAGATCAAAGTTCAAGATTTAATTAAATTGACATTATTACAAAATACGTTTAGAAGTAAACCAATAATATAATAATATTTATAGAAGAAACTGGAGAAAATAATGATAATGGCAAATGGTAATAATATAAATAAGAATAAATAGTTACAATCCATACAACCATAAAAGATTTTGCGTTCAGCGTTTGCTTAAAATTGTGCCATTGGACAAAAAGATTCTCAAGAAACTATGAAATAGGTACTTCTAGTTCCTTACCTATGGTGTGTGGTGTGTTTTATAACATATTTCATATTTAGGCATATTATCTTAGTATATTTTTTAAGTTTACTGACAAGGTATTGATCGTAAAAAGAAATATATGAACCGAAACATATAAGAATAATTTAATGTACTTTAATTTAAAAATACCGGACATGTGCGAGTCGGAGTCGCCCACCGAGGGTCCCGTACAAATTTGTGGGTACACAAATGTATAGATTTTAGATTTTTGCCTATACTTGTAGTATAAGACGGTATTACTTGCCAAATTTCATAGTTCTAGGTCAACGGAAAATACCCTATAAATTAATTACCCTAAAAATTTCGCAAAAAACGTATATTTCGACATCTTATGGCTTAAGGTGTCGAAATATACGTTTTTTTGCAACATAAGTGGCCGTATCTTTTTTTACGTCCACTTAGAAGTTTGATTTTTTCATAGCTTCAAATAACTGTGAACTTGAGTATGTCGTTTTAATTTCAACTTGATACCTTCACGCGGTCCCGTGATAAAGGGTCTTGACAGATAGAGAGGCAACACTTGACGGACTTGACGAAAGACTTGACGGACAACCAAGTGATCTTATAAGGGTACCGTTTTTTTTTCATTTTGAGGTACGGAAACCTAAAAACCGATCGAAGTGGTGAGCAATAGAAGAGGCCTATGTCCAGCAGTGGCCTGCGATAGGCTGATGATGATGATGAATTAAAAATGGAAAGTTTATTTACAAAGTCCACTTCTGTATATCTTTAATCGTCTAAGCTTTACTTGAGACTAATGTGATTGTTCTCTGACTGATAGTTGATCTTATTCATCGATGGATTTGACGATAGCAATCTCTTGCATTTCTTAGCATGACAGCATAACAATTACGCGGAATTGCGTGACCATACCAGTCCTGCGTGTTTTAGCACCGTTCATACAAAATATGCATAATGTTTACAGTTTTTACTGTAATACTTACGTTGTTTCCATATTTCCCCATTTTTGTATCTACAGCTTCTATTAGATCAATAAATTTTATGTTGTTATCTTGTGAAGGCATTACAAATTAAGCCTCAAATATTTACATCGAATCCATTACTCTAAATGGTTATCGTTCTTGAACATTATCCCAAAATTCATCAGATCTCAAATAATTTACAATGTAAATTACTTTCATTATTAATTATTACTATTAATTATAGTATTTGTAAATTACATATTAAGTGGACATGTCATGTTCAATAAGATTAACCATGAAATATTTAATAATAAAACACTCACCTTTCAATTGCAAAATGTTCCAGGATGAGGGTTTGGAATCTTCCGTCATGGGGAACCTTCGGGATCGCCGAATGGTGCAGTCTAGTATGTCATAAGGTCTTTGTCAACCTTTAGTCAGATTCATGTAGTTTTAAGTCTGTTTTCATGTCAAAACAATCGTTTGGAATTCATTTTCTGGATTTTGCTTCATCTTAATTTTATGGATTTTAGGTATTTGAATCGAATATCAGTAATTAAACAAATTAATTTTCGAATTCTTTAATGTTTTATTTATTTTAAGTCGTATTTGCAATGTACAGTCGTAAGCGAAGAAAAAACGAGTATTACAAGGTAATTATGATAATCATAATCTAGACTTATTCTTAGGCAGTGAGTAACCGTTACCCATCAAATTTTCCCCAAAACACATTGATTATGGTAACATAGGAAATAACATTTTTGGTGAACTTAGAATATATGTTAATATCTAGTCAAGTACAAAAGAGTATTCATCCTTAAAACTAAACTACATCTATAAGGCACTATTTCATAGTTAACTTACTATGATACACTCGAAATAAATAACTAAACCATTACTATACACCTAACCATTTGTGTTCTTTCACGAAACGTCATCAATTAAACTTTGCCTCAAGTCTCGAATGGCAGATGGGCTTGCTGCCTTCACGACGTAAGTCGGTGATGCATCATACCTAATATGCCTACTTACTTCTCCCACTATACTTTCTAAACTTTGTGTTTCAACTTGGTTTTCAAGAGAACCATTGTTCAAATAATTTTCAGTTTCCAAAACTGCACTGTTATCGGTAAAGGACCCGCTAAGCTCTCTAACTGTAGGCAGCATAGATGGCAAAACTTGAACATTGTCATAATATATAGCTTCACGCTTTCTGACCGTTTGTGTATCATCTGACACCACTGTCGACAACACTGTACTGAACTCGCCAGGGTGTCTTCCTGATACGTATAATGTCACTACACTGGTCTGTTTAGGAGGAGCTGCAGGTACGGGTTTTGGACGTTTTTTATTTTTACGAGAAGGAGGTGGAGGTGGTGGAGCATCTTCTTCGGGATACTGAACATCATCAGAAAAGTCTTCGTTACTGCTTAAGTCCGGCAGAATATTAGGTTTGGGGCTATTACTAAAGATATCGTTGTTTAAATTATGTTGCTGATTAAGATTGGGAGTCAAACCGAGATTGTTAAAATTGTTAAGACCACCTAAACCAGTTAAGTCTTGACCTAAACCTAAGCCTAACAAAGGATTAGGAGTCGACAACGAAACTTGTTGTTGCTGCTGCTGTTGTTGCAAAAGAAGAGGAAGCAGTAACGAGTTCAGTTGAGGTGCAGGTGCTAAAGCAGTGGGCGTAGTCACAACTGTATCAGTGACAAATTCTGTCGCAGTAATTACGTTAGTTGTTGGATCAACAATTGTAGTCAAAATTGCTTTGCCCCTAAACGTTATAGGTAACACTGTTTCCCTGGCATCTACAACAGTGGTCACATAAGTAGTTGTTCGAGTTTTGAATTCTGTGACTGGCGTTTGCACTACTGGTTGCTGTGGAAGCAAGCCCTGTCCTTGTAAAGCAAGAAGTGGGTTGATACCCGGCTGCTGTCCTCCCAGCAATAATTGAGAAAGCAGTAAGTTGGCGAGTGGAACGTTAGCGTTAATCTCGGGTGCAATAGTTTGAGTAACAGGTTCTACATTATAAATAGTGCTGGGTAAAATATGGGAGAAAGATGTTTTGCGACCTCGGATGGTAGTAGGGGTAAATATCACGGTAGTAGTTGGAGTCTCGTGAAGGAGATATTTAATAATTTTAGTAGCTCCGTTGTCAGCTAGTTCTGTGGATTCTGCAGCCAGAACTAACTGTTGATTACCGAAAGGCCCGAAAGTAGTCAAAACTTGATTGTCTAATAGCGTTTCTAAGCTAGGTGTTGCAGATAATAAGTTTTTGTACTCAGTAATTTTGCCATTTACTATTGGTACTGTTATTTCAGTTGGTATCTGATGTGTTATAGTAATCTTACCATCATCTAAAATATTTTTGTAGTTGTAACGTTCTCCACTTACGTTTTCAAAAGAGTTTCTTTGTCTGCTAGATGCCCTACTTGTAGTAGTGCGAGGTCGTGACGACCTTGCTGAGTTAGAGCTACGGGATGTACTTGACCTAGTGCCTAGACCAGACGAGCTTTTGTTAAGTCTCGGAGGTTTTGGTCGAGATGCGGTTGTGGTAGTTCTTGACGATGGCCTCGGAGCTTTTCCTCTTCTGTAGGCTGGGGCACTTGTAGTCGTAGTAGTCCTCGTTTCTCCACGGACAATAAAAGGTTGTCTCGCAGCTGATTTAGGTGATGACACTGTGGTACTTCTTGAATTTGCACGGTTATTGTAGCGACTAGATCTCTGTTTTACAGTAGTTGGTGGCTCAGTTTCTGGTTCGGGTCTGCGAGTAGTAGTTTTCGTTCCCGGTCTTCTAAAGTTGGAAAATTTTCTATTGCCGTAATCAACTTGACGTTTGGTACGCCTTCTAAACGTAAAAGGTCTTATTTGCACTATATTTTTCTTAGAAGTCGTAGTGGACGGTGTAGGTACTTGTCTTTCTTTTCGATCAGACGAATCATAGTCATTGTCTTCATCAAATTCCTCTTCATCTAATAACTCTTCACTTTCTTCGACCTTCTGTTCCTCTTCTTTAATTTCTTCTTCAACTTCTGGTTCAGGTTGTCTGAACAAGTTTCTTCTAGGAAACAATGCATTAGGTCTCTGCCTACGTAATGATAGAAGTGGATTTGGAGTAGATCTTGTAGTAGAACGTTTAGTTGTAGTTGTGAATCTACCTCTGGGAGTAACTGCACCACGTCGTGATGAAGATGTAGTTGACCTAGGAGTAATTGCAGTTCCTGGTTGTCTAGCAATTGGTGGCCGTCTAAACCTTAAGAGTGGATTATTAGTACTTCTGACTGGCGACTCGGTAACCTCTTCAAGCGCTTCAGTGACACTTTCTTCTTGCTGAGTAGCTAATGTTTCATCGTTCTGATCTTGAGGTGAAAATGTTATGGAGGCAGATGGTCTTATATTTCGAGCCGGAGGAAACCTGCTGGAAGCAGTAGGCCTAATCCTTGGCACAGCGGATCTACTGATATAGTCTAAGCTGCTACCCCTTACAGAGCCTGATCTGAAACCTGACCTTCTAGATGTAGGTTGAATACTAGCCCTTTGACCAAACCCTCCAGATCTTGACGCTGATGGAATATTACCGCTTGGATTTCCTACACTACTTCGCCCAGGGAATCGTTTACCAGCACTCGAAGAACCAGAGAAAACTGACACTTTTCTATTACCGCTGTAACCCGAAGATTTTACAGACTTCAAACTAGGTGTAGCAGTTATAACAGGGGGTGTAAAATCAGCACGAGTGATAGTAGTTGCTCCACTTGCCAATGGCACACGTTTTGGAATAAAAGTCGGCCTGTTACGAGAAGCAAACGGAATAATCACAGGCGTAGTCGATGGTTTTTTCGGTGTAAATGTTAATCGGGATTTCTTCCTAGTATTTAAATTATCTTCTTCCTCTTCTTCTGACTCATGTGCACCTTCAGTTGTGATTTCAGGTTCTCCAACTGAACTTTCAATTACTTGAGGTGTAGGGCTAATAATAGAACCTTCAGTAGTAGTTATGGGTTTTGAACTAGTGCTAGTAGTATCAGCAGCTAGTGTTTTATTATCACTTGTAACTATTGTTGAGTCACCAGATATAACAGCTACTTGAGAGAAAATTATCTTTTTCTCGCTCTCAGGAGCGGGGGTTATGGGTTTTTCTTCTGGTTTTACTTCGGCAAATAAGTTATCAATGTAAGTACCTAAAAGAACAGTGGATGGCCCAGAAATGGGATCAGGCAATTGAGTTGGAATTATTTCCTCTTTTACTGTGGTTATAGAAATATATGGTTTTTCTTTGCCATCTTGGATAAGGTTCTGATCTGCCGGTCCGACTGGAACTTTCCTACCTAGTTGGTTATCTTCGACAAGTTTTGAATCATCAGCTATACTTGCTACGCTTGTTACAGTCTGCAAACTACTTCTAATCTGAGATGTATTTCCTGTGTAAAAAGTGGTAAAATATGTGTAAGTCGTATAGAAAGTTGCTTGGCCATCATCTTGATCAACATTATCAGTGACTAAGGAAGGTTTCAATTCCAGTTCTAAATCTTTGGGAGGCAATACATTATCAACATCGATAGGAGTTGTGTCAATGGGGCTAATGGTAGCAATAACCTGAGGAACTGGAGTCACAACATTTGAAACAATTTCTTCCCGACTTGTAATGGTAGTTGATTTATCCTTGTAAAGCGTAGTCCAATAAGTAAATGTTGTATAATATGTGATTGGTAAGTTACTTTCTTCCTCAGGTTCTTTATTTGGCATTATTGTTTCTGTTACGACATTTGTAATAGTCTCTAAGCGACTTTTGACTTTACTAGAATCTTTTCCAATGTACATTGTTGTAAAATATGTAAATGTGGTATAACTTGTCTGGAGCAAAAGAGTAGGTGATGGAAGAATTTCTTCAATATTACTTTCTGAGCTAATCTGATCATCCAATATAATGTTGTTATTATCCAGTATCTTTCTTTCTCCTTTAGAGGACGAGGATTTTACGTCAGTTACAAAAGAATTTTCGGATTCTAAGGGGTTGGATTCAACACTGAATAACATGTCTACTTCTATTGGAGTCGGTTGCGGAGAAACATCACTCTTAGAATCTTCAAAAGGTTTCACAACATCTTGCTCTACACTTACGCTCGACTCCATAGACGTGTTTTCCTCTTGATTAGCAGGTCGTGCCATCTTAACCTGTTTACAATTTCTAAAATCAAATTGAGCCCTTGTATTAGCTACTGCCAATGGATTAGCTTTTGTGGGTATCAGTTCATCAGGTCCAACGTAATTAGTATACACTTCATTCCGACTGCATACATTAGCATCAGTACCAACATAAATTGTAGTAAAGAATGTATAAGTTGTGTAATATGTCTTCACGGCATCCGGCTTAATGCTTGCCGCAATGTCGTCACCTAACGATGGAGTGGGTGTCTGAGAACTATAAATATTATCAACCTCTACCGATTCAATCACTTCCTTATTTTTAACAAGATCTATAATGCTGTTTCTATACAATAATTCAGTAGGACGCCCTATTCCCACACTAGTTGGTGCAATTTCGTCATCATTAAAAGCTCCCAACAAAGATGGGTCTAATTTGGAGAGATCAATTGTTGACGTAATGATATTAGTTAATACTGACTTGTGACTAGCCACACTTGAGGTCTGATCTCCAAAGAATGTAGTGAAGTATGTGTAAGTAGTATATAATGTTTTATAAATGACGTCGATTTCATTTTCATGGTCTTCAACCTCTTCAGTTATAGGAGCAGGTGAAGTCGGTTTTTCTGTTGGAACTGTTGCTTGTTCAGTACTGATAGAAACTTCAACATGGCCTTCTTTGATGTCAATTTTTTCAGTAGTGCTTGTCGTGGTAGTTGAAGTAATTTCAGGTTCTTTATCTTCTGCAACCGCTTCAGATTCTTCTTCTGCATCACCCGCCTTATTTTTTTCTTCTTCTGCAGTAGTAGTTTCTACTTCTTCTGGTTGTGTGGTTTGAGGTACTTCCGTAATTAACTTACTTTCCACAGATGATTCACTTGAAGAAGCTTTAGTTACAGTTTCGTGAGCTTTTACTTGCGTGTGTACAGAATAATTTAAATCAACATTTACTACGGCTGTAGGTTCAATGTTAAGATTCGTTCTACAAACAACGTTTGTTAAATAACCAATATTACTTTCAACAACAACGTCAGATTTTATAGATGTACTAGTTTCTGTACTTTCTAAAGGAATGAAATAAGTTGTCAAGTAAGTCAAAGTTTTATAAGCCGTTGTCATTGTAGATTGTGTTTCAAGGCCCTCAGTACACACTACTCCCTCTTGGTTATCGTCATCAGTGTCTTCCTGAGATTCAGTTGGTATGAATTTTGATTCAGTAGTGGTTTCAAAGTCTTCGTAAGACTCTTCACTGTGTCCACTTTCAGTAGTAGTCATGACATCTTTGGGAACATCAGTAGTTACATCTTCTTCATTTTCTTCTTCAATTCGTTCCGTTACTTCCGCCGCTGTGTTGTCAGATTCCTCTTCAGAATTTGTAAATAAATCAATTATATTTTGTTCTGTAACTGCTGATTCCTGAAGTACTTCTTGTACAGTAGATGTTGGTGATAATGAAGTTAGTGGCTCAGTCGCATGTGAACTATAATCCTGAATAGGTAATACTCCTAATTCTTCTGAAGTGCGAGTGCTTTCTGTTGTAGATACAGGGGTTTCAGAAGGCTGGATAACATCTACATTAATATTGAAACCGTTATTATACTGAACACTTATAGCATCTGGTACCTTATTATTAACTTCGTACAACACATTTTTGAGACTTTCTTCGTCATTAAATAGAGCTTTTTCGGACCTATTATCTCCATCTGGGACTGCTACAGTGGTAGGTGAGGGGGTTTCATGGTTTTTAAATGTCGATGTAGGCACAGGAATATCAGATGCAAGGAAGGTTATTTTAGTAGCTAGTTTATCAACCCGTTTTGCTGAAGGAAATACATTAACTTCATCTGGATTTTGTAGCTTATTCGTTTCTGTATTAGGTGTAAATATAATGACTGTATCACCTACAACTGTCGTGAAGTCAGCAAAACCTGCATAAGTAAACGTTTTCTTAGGCCTAGGTTCGCTCTTTTGACCAAACAACTTTTTAGGTGTTTTGGTCTGCTGTTCTACAGGAGTCTGAACTCGTTTTGACTCAACATTATCTATATAATAAAATATGGGTGAAAATTCGTTCTTGATAGTGAACGTCGGTAAGTCGTAATTAGGTTTAACCTTAACTATATTCGTTTCATCTATGACACTATTGGAAGGTCGTGATTCTGAATTAACGGATTCATTAGCCGATTCGTAAGATTTGCTTTGTCTATTAAATGTATTTACATCGTTTACAATTGATGGCTCTATTATTAACTCTTTTTTTTTCTCAGTATCGACATATGGACCGTCAAGGTAATTGAAGGCTTCATTTTGAACATACCGAGGTATTTCGTTAATAGGCTGTACCCTACGAGCTGTAGGCTCTTCAAGAATTACGTTTTCAAATTGACCCTCAGGCACAGATGGATTATCCCAATATTTAAGTATATCCTGAGCTGGTTTGCTGGCGTAAACAATTTCCATTTTACTACTTGGAGCCAGATAGTCAGTGTTTTTAAGAATAAACTTTTCATTTTCATCAATGAAGCCTAAATCCTGCTTGACTTTCCACTCGCCATCGAAAGCTGAGTGTATACGAGTTTGCTTAACAACAACAGTGTCTTCAACATTTGTAGGCTTATTGTAAAGAACAAGTGAAGATTTAGTAAGGAGTTGTGCGTAAATCCGTCCATTATCCAACGTGGTACCAAGAATCTGAGTAGCAAATTCAGTGGTCACACCATCCTGGATGAACGTTCGCGCCGTTGATGTCAATAGGCCGATAAGGGGTTTCACACTGTGGTACCGGCCGATCTTCGTATTATAGTCATTCCTCTGCTGGTTTACGAGGAGAACAGTCAAGTCTGCAGTCAAAGTCAACGTCATCGTCGATCAGGTGGGATGTCGTTGGAGGTGCGTTTTATTTTACAAAGTCCATTTGAGTTGTTCCACGACCAACAGGATTAGATGAAAGAAAAGAAAAAAACATACAATTAATAATGCAATATAAATAGAATAGATACTACTAGATTTTTGTTTTTCTTCATACAGTTAGCACTAATTTTGTACAGCTTATTAAAACAAATGAGGTTTATGATGATAAATTTATTTTAGCACATTTTCCTTTTCTTAATTTCTTTTAAACATCATAAACCTCTTCAAATATACAATTGTTTGTTTGTTATGTTAAGAAGAAAGAGTTAAAAAAGAAAATAATGTAGTAATAGATTTACAAATAGGTTTACTTGTCAAGTCCTCAGTACTAGCATACCAGAGATTCAAACAAGCATTTTTATACAGAAAATTTGGAAAGAAATTTTGTTTAAAACAAGAAACTTACCCCTATTTTCGGGGACACCTTCTCTTTTTATTCTTGATGAATCAATTTCTTCATCTTGACTTAAATCTGTAAACAAAAAAAAACTATTTTAGGAAAGAAATATAAAATGATAATTTGATAACTTATAATTTGGTTACTGATGTGCATATTCACATTTCACCACCATTATTTGATAAGCTACTGACTTAAGAGAAATCATCAGACTTTGTTTTGGCATTGAGAACTTCCTAACAGAGAAACACAAAAGTTCGTCCAAGCCATGAACTTACGAGCCTAATTAGGTATTTCTTTTTAAAAAGACAACTCCAGCATTAGAAATATTTCCTGTGTCGCGGGGGACTTTACAAACATACATGAAACGGACACAAATAACACCCAGACTCAGAACAACAATTTGTGGATCACACAAAGTGTCGTCCCATGTGGGGATCGGACCCACAACACAACTCAAAGTAAGCGGCGAGGTGACCACTTAAAACACTACGCCATCCGTGCAGTCGTTAAAGTCTGTGTAAAAGGAAAAAATAATGACAAAACTCATGCCACTATGCAAGTTGTGAGAAACACCACTATGCAAGTACGAGTAGTGTTTTGTTTCATATTAGAATATGAAGTAGCAAATACAATCGCTTATTGGGTATCTTGTACATTAAGCAAGACGGATAATAAGTGAACTAGTTGAATAATCTGAGTTCATTTCATAACAGTCACGGTAACCCAAATGCATTGTAGAAAGTATTATATGAAGCAAGGTCGTTTTAAACTTGTAAATTGTTTGTTAATACTTCGTTTCACTCTAGAATATTATATCAGGGTGAATGTCAAAATAATTTGAAACGGGTGTTATAGAAAATTGCTAGCATACAGGATATCGTAAAGTGACCAAGAAATTCATTTCAAAAAAGTTTTTAGGTCTTCTATTCTCAGAAACTATAAGAAACTAAAAAGCAAGACACCTGTGTATGTAACAGTGATGAAACATAATATTATTTATAATTATAACTATTAAATAATAATAACCCACACATCTCACAGACATTCCAAACTATAGCGCCTGTACTATGGTAACCAGAATTTCTAAATACACACACATTATAGATAAATTACACCCAGCCACAGAACAAAATTATAATAATCATCACACAATTGGTCCTGGGTGGGAATCGAACCCACGACCTCTGCTTTAGCAGTCAGGGTCACCAACCACTAGGCCAATAGGCTAGTCATAGTATACATATTTTGTACAAGCTTTTGCCTGCTTGTAAGTCGGTTATCGCGGTAAAAAGTCATCATCATCATCATCAACAGCCTTTAATAGTCCACTGCTGGACATAGGCCTCCCCTTAGAAAGGAGGTTTTGGCCTACTATACCACGCTGGCCAGATAGGTTGGTATAGGGTTTGTTTGTTTATAATGATAATGGTGACTTAATTATTTTGTAGTGAAATAAGGGATCTATAATTGGCTTACTGATGCAATCCTCTACGTTAAGCTTTGTCAAAGCTGTTGGTCCTCCGAGTTATAAATGAATAAATCCCTTGGGGTGGCGTGGGTGTACGTAAATAATTCACAAATAATAGAAATCAGACACTTTAAGAAAGTGGTGTGTGGTATTGGATTAAGAATACAGATTGTCACCCCTCTTCATCCCATGGGTGTCTTAAGAGTCGACTGAGGGAGCAAACCACGTAGGACAACGGCACTGCAAAGAGAAGGAAAACTTGACACCAACCCTATACCAACCCGTCATGCCAGCGTGGTATCGTAGACCAAAACCTCTTTTCTAAGGAGAGTACTGTGTCCAGCAGTGGCTGTTAATGAAGGATGATGATGAACAAAGTTAAGAAAATATTAAAAGTCCTACAGTGCGGTTATAGGAAAGTTTTAACTTAAGAAAGTGTACAACATAATGGAATGGTACTATTCCCTTTTAATTAAATTACGCAAACCCGCTAACAATAGTTATTACCCACCTAAACGATCAGTGTTAAAAATAAAAACGGTTACACATTGTTTTTCACACGACTGCTTCGCGCTCACATGTTTGTACTATCTCTGTTAAAGATAAAAGATTTATCAGATGTTTCTACTGTGAATAAGGTCAAAGTTAGTCTCGCGGCTAATATCTAAGAATATACATGAAAAATATATTTCAAATAGATGTTGCTTCGTTTGCTATCAAGGTCTAATTATCAAATCTGCCCACAAACTCCCTGCACGTAAGGGATCAGAGGATATGACGGCCTCACAGGAAACTGTTGTTTTCATTAAGTGAGTAGATACAGGAGGTCATAGGAAGCCCTACCAGCCTGCCTCCTTTTTTGGTAGGGGAAAACTCAAAGGGCACCCCATCGGCCATCGGGTACAAAACAACTTTGTATTCTAGCCTTCCAACTTCTAACTTGTAAGATATAATTTAAATTACAATATAATTTGTATGGATAATAAATATTCAGATGATTAGAAGATAGAATTCACACGTATAATATAAGTATGAGTTTTTATGCTTCTCCATACATAAAACGCAAACGGAGTCACACTAACAGTTAATATGTCTTAAAAAGGAACAATGACATTCAAACCTCAAATACAAACAATTCACGCATATTCGTGAGCTCTTTAACCTCATCTAATATCATTATCGTTAAACAAACACACATACACATAACTAAGTACGAGTGTATCGCACCGCCATGCCTGACCAACATACTTGTCAGTTTTCACTGACACAGTATGTACAGTCGGAAGCACGACTGAAGCATAATGATCTGGCATGACACTGTTTTTATTGGGTCATTGGTTCGATTACAGGACGTGCGTATAATGTATGCTCGGGTTTATATATTAGGTGTTCAAAAGTGTTCAAAGGTGATTCTTATTGTGAATAGTAATGAAGTTTTTTGTTTATTCTTTATTTACTTTATATACACGTTATGTAGCATATAAACCGGGTAAGTGCGTGTCTAACTCGTACTGTTTTAAAAGTTTGTCTGAATTATACTGAAGATGGACAGCTTCAATATAATTCTCTTTCAGTAATCTCGTCGTACTGTAAGTAAAAAAAAAGACTTTGAAATTCTAATTCTATTTTTTTTTCTATACGTCGATTAAGGTTATAGACAACTTTCTAAAAAAAAACGCTAAATATAACAAGAAAAAAAAATATTTTCTTATCTGATATAGCAACAAATTGAAGACTGTATATTTTAATGTTGAATACAATTATTGCGTAAGTTTTTCACTTGTAATCATCAACCGACTTTCTTCCTAGTTAAGTAGCTTTAGTAAATGATTTAATGCAGTACGAATAAACATCTTAAAGTAGTTACTTACATTTTAATGATCGTGTAACATTTACATATTCTCTTGATGTATTTTATTATGTATTTACTGGCAACATTGCTATGTAATTGTTCGGCTTCATTATTCTTTACGTAACTAAATAAAATAAGAGCATCTCAAATGTTCTACAAACGAATTGCATTTCCCATTTCAAAATAACTTCCGTAACAATACACCTCACAAATTATAGTATATTATTATTATAAGCAAGTCTCAGTCATAATTTCATCATGTTATGAGTGAAAATTGATTGTATTTTTTTACTTTAACTGAGGTCTGTGTGAATAGCTGTAGCGGTTAATTACACGCATGGAATTGTCAAAACAGTAATCATTCGCACGGTTTCCTTTCTACAAGATTAGTTGTATGTTGTCAACTTTATCACCTTAGTTTAAAGGTTAAATTTGATTAGCAAGAAACTTACGATGTTAAAGTAGTATATTCGAAATAGATATTATAGTAGGGTGGGAATGTTTCTAAAGTAAGTCATTATAATAGTTCAAATTGCTAGGTAAGATAAAGTACTGTAATAAACACTGTTTTGCATATAATTAAGATTCAAATCTGTTTAACCCGTTTTTGAAACTTAAATTAGCTATAGATTTTTCCTTTTCACAAACGTAAAAAAGAAAACTTTAAACTTTTGTAATTTTGTTTCCTGTGATAAAAAAATGACGACGTTATCAAAAACGTTTCTAAATTAATTTAAAACATTCTTAGGGTGTCATTTTTTTTAAATATCTGATATCCGAGCGTTGCAAGAAATCCAGCAATGTGACATTGTCTTATGTCGGTGTTCTCTTCTCTAAAACTATTTTCTGTGTCAAATCAATTTCTAAGAGTAAAAGTTTAATACGAATAAATCAACAAGAAACTGAATCCCGTATTTAACAGATATTATCAAGAAAAAACATTCGGCCGGCGACTGTACCCGTCCATTTTTACTTTTAGTAACAATTTCACTTTTATCTGAAGAAAGTACGATGGTATTCTTGTTATGTCTGCTTTCGAAATACGGAGATTGACCCTATCGATTAAACTAGGTATGAATTATATAAACAAGCAAAAAAGTTTTTTGACTTTACAACAATGAGACTGATAACTGATACAGCATTCCGGACTCAGATAGTGTTGCCAATAGAGGATATGGCCATTATTAATTTTAATAAAAAAGGTTTACCATTTCAATTATTATTACCATTAATTCTTCGAACATTAATAAATAAGTAGTATAGTCTTAAAAGAAACAGTTAATAAAATATTTTTTTTAAAAATCCTCTGACACACTAATTCGTGATTTTATTCTTGTTCTTAAAATATTTTTATACACAAAAGATTTACTAATTTGTAATAAAATCATCCCAATTCTGAATGGCTAAGATAGCATATCATACACCCCTGTCTATTCCACTCGACGACTTTTAAATGTTCCGTGGATTTCTGTTTGTTCTTTTAATTTATTTATTTATATGTAGCTGTATTTAGTGATTACAGTTTCAGACGAGCTTAAAGGTATTTGTAAAAGATGCTTTTAATCATTTCTAGTGCATTACCGCTTCCTAAGTAGCTGACGTTTCGAAATGAGTACTCAACTTTTATGGCTGGAAAAGTGTCGGATAAAAAGTTGCATGCTGGTGCGAGACAGATATACCGTTCAGTGTAAGAGTGAGGGTGACAGAAAGTGTGTTAGTGGGTGAGCAGGCCCTGTGTCAATGCACTTGCCGCGTTGTGAACGAGCAAAAACAGATGGCAGTGTGTTATTATTCTAGGCAGGTATATCCTCTACTGTTAAGGTCAGCGCTCGTAGGGACTACTGTTAGTGCTTTCCGAAGGATGAAGTACATTTGAAGACAGACTTCTGGCCTGTTGCTCTAGTGGTTAGTGACCCTGACTACTAAGTCAGGGGTCGTGGTTTCGATTCCCACCGATTTTCCTATGGCTGGTGTGATTTATCTATAATTTGTATGTATTTAGAAATAAGTATGTTTATCAGTATTCTGGTTACTATAGTACATGCCCTCCCTAGTCTGGGATATAGATATGTGAAGTTATTATTATTATTTGTGTCCTTAAACAACATAAGTAATAAAATCAAATCATTGTTCAATTTGTTTTGATTGTCGAACATACTAAAGTAGCCGCCCAGCGCTGTGGAGAATAAAATAGAAGTAGGTAATAAAACCAAAAAATTATAAAATCATTTCGATATTTTCGATTTTCGAATTCCAAAGTAGCCAATCAGCGACCAGCGCTGTGGAGAATAGAATTTAAAAAAACTTTATTATATACGAACTAAAATTTTCTAAGAAGTACACGTATTCACCCGATGTACGGGTGAATACGTGTAAAGGGAAGCATTATAGTTAAAAGCAATTTCTCCTAGTCAAACTTTCGAGATTCGGAAATGCTTCTTGCAATAGGATTAAAATAGGATGGACGGTTGTTACTCAATTATGCCAAAGCGGTTCAACGGATCTGGATGAAGTTTGACATAGACATGGCTTCAAATAAGCTTACATACGTTTAAAGTCAAATAATATATCAATCCACGAATGAGGAATTCGTCTATTGCTCTAAATAAATACCAACAAATTCGTCTCCAAATGTTTAATGTTAACAATTCGTCAATTGTATAAGAACAGTAAGAACATACGGTATGCGACATTTTAATTTTTTACTGAAATCTTGATCAACATTTAATTTAATATAAGCTTGAAGTGATAGTCGTTATATTAATAAAAAAAGTTTTAGTTGTATAATGGTCCCTTTTCTCGTTTAAGGTACAAACAATGAATTTTATTATTATCTATACAAATAAATAAAATTGAAGTGTCTTTTTGTAATGTCTGTCTGTCTATTTTGTTAGAGGTAATGTTCAAAACGGCTGCACCGATTTTGATAATATTTTGCTACCCGGTAGCTGTCTATACAAGGAGTAACTTAGGCTATTTTACTCTCAGAAAACCATATAAAAATGTGCCCGGTCCGGGAATCAAACCCGATGCCTCATGGACTGCAGTCGCACAGCATACTACACCACTAAGGTAGCGCTTTTGATATTCCTTTCGAACCAGCAGTCCAGCTAGTTATACAATAAATATATATCCTGAAACGACGAGACAGAATGCAGGTCATGTGCTGGTTTGAAAACTTAGTTTTTTGTTGTAAAGATCAAGATTCGCAGTGCCTTGAAAATAACACTAAACAAAAATCGTCGTCTCAAACAATATTCAAAACAAAATCACATTTACTAAAGGATTAATACATATAGAAATTAATTACTTTGCTTATAATTTATATGCCGCTTAGGTGTGTCCAGTAGTGGGCCTGATTTCTACACAGTTACATTAAATGTATACGAAACAGCAAGCTAAAAATATACTTTTAAATGTCAACATTATCATATTATGTCTAACATAAGAGTATCTATCTCTTCTTACAAAATATATTTCTCACGTTGTACTATGTATAACCGCCATTCATATTTACACAACTGTCTGTCCGTTTGTGCACTGATGACACTGTTGCGACAACGGATTTCGTTCGCATGTACTAGATAAGGCATTTCAAATTTGTAATATAATAAGTATGTTTTAAGTTTGTATGTCCCTTCCATTTTGTTTTGAAGTGCCTAATAATCACATATCGCTGTTATCGTTGTAGTTAACTCATAGTCGGCGTTTACTATTAACTTCTGAGGACTGCAATTATCCAACTCCTGGCTCCGTGATGGTACTATCATCGCTGACACTTAAATACCGACTTTCATTTCGACATTAAAATTGACTTCAAAGATCTATTGGCATGGTTGGCATTAAAAGGAAGCAGTTTGTTAATTTTTTTATGGTAGAGAAGATGAGGAGACGAATCACCTGATGGTAAGTAACTACCACTGCCCATGGACGCCTACTACAGATGCTTGCCCCCCCCCCCCTCCCCTTCCCTACCTCCCGAGAATAATGATGAGAGAGAGGTTTGGGGCTCCCGTAAGCTCACTGACTTGGTAAACAGCAACGAAAGAACTGCTTAACACCAGTTTTCTGTGAGGCCCTGGTATCACACCGGTCTAGCCGACCCATTTTTGTCGAAGCATTAATATGAACACGTGTCTATTGAATTAAAGAATCCAAAAAAATCGACAACTTTATTAAAAACTAGCTGACCCACGCAACTTCGTCTGCGTCTCTCAATAGTAATAAATTTTCTCCGTTTTTGAAACATTCTTCATTGGTGCTTCGCTCCTATTGGTCTTAGCGTGATGATATATAGCCTATAGCCTTCCTCGATAAATGGGCTATCTAAAACTGAAAGAATTTTTCAAATCGGACCAGTAGTTCCTGAGATTAGCGCGTTCAAACAAACAAACAAACAAACTCTTCAGCTTTATAATATTAGTATAGATATATTTAATTAATTTTGACTGCCTCGTTGGC